CAACAGCTCTTACAGTCAGAAAGTTCCCCCTGATGTTGAGTCAGAATCTCCTTTCCTGGAACTTGAAGGCATTGGTTTTGGTCCTACCCTCCGGAGCAGGAGAAAACAAGCATGCTCCCTCCCGATATTTGAAGATGGCTATCATATCTCCTAAGGGATGCGGATGGCGCTGTGGGTTAAACCACAGAGCCTAGGACTTGCTGATCAGAAGGTTGGTGGTTCGAATCCCAGCAACGGGGTGAGCTCCTGTTGCTCGGTCCCTGCTCCTGCAATCTAGCAGTTGGAAAGCACGTCAAAAGTGCAAGTAGATAAATAGGTACCGCTCTGGCGGGAAGGTAAACGACATTTCCGTGCGCTGCTCCGGTTTGCCAGAAGCGGCTTAGTCATGCTGGCCACATGACCCGGAAGCTGTACGTCGGCTCCCTCAGCCAATAAAGCGAGATGAGCGCCGCAACCCCAGAGTCGACTGGACCTAATGGTCAGGGGTCCCTTTACCTTTACCTATCATATCTCCTCTCCATCTCCTCTTAACATACTCAGCTCCCTCAACCATTCCTCATAAGGAATTCCTTTATTATCTTGGCCGCCCTCCTCTGCACACGTTCCAGCTTGTCAACATCTTTTAATTGTAGTGCCCAGAACTGGATGCAGGACTCCATTCGGGGTCTGACCAAGGCAGAAAACATACTTCTAGAATTGCTAGAATTTATAAAAGTAAAGTGGCTACCCTCTATCAGCCACAAGCACCCCACTGTTTCCTTCTAAAAGGATTCCTTAATTCCTAAGCGCCCAATACGTTTCTTCACATGGCTGAGCCGTTGCCAATGTAGACAACATTAAACTAGTTGGGCTATGGTTCACACTATATGAAATATATTCAGAGTTGAGAGTGGATTTCATGCTCTTTATTCAGCTCATAGTGGTGAGGAGGAATGGAAGCTCCCCCAGAATGTCTGCTTTATATACATTATTTACACAATGGGCCCCACTGATTGGCTAATTCTGGGATTCTCCTGTAGGCCAATCAGGTTGTGGATTCACTTCCACCTGGAGCTGGATTGGGTGGCTCCTGTGAACCAATCAGCCTGCTGCATTCTGGATCCTATTGTTCTAGGACCAATCAGACTGCTGCATCCTGAATCCTATTGTTCTAGGACCAATCAGACTGCTGCATTCTGGATCCTATTGTTCTAGGACCAATCAGACTGCTGCATTCTGAATCCTATTGTTCTAGGACCAATCAGACTGCTGCATTTTGGATCCTATTCAACTCAGTACATAACACTATACCTTTAAAGCACCATTTCCCCCCTCAAAGAATCCTGGGCACCGCAGTTTCTTAAGAGTTGCTCAGAATTGTACCTCTGAGAAGGATAAACTACATTGCCCAGAATTCTTTGAGGGGGCGGCGGGAAATATGCTTCTCCGTTTACAGCGGGCTTTATGCAGGGTTGAGGGCTTTTAAAACAAAGGGGGGAAACGGCCGAGGCCTAGAAGTCCTGCCACAGCTGTGTGGAAGGACCACGCCAAGGCAGAAAAGCTTTACCAGGATGGCGACGACGAGAGGCTTTGCTGCTGCTGGGTAAGAGAACTACGCATCCCACAATGCCCTTGGGTGGCCGAGCGCCTCCTGGCCGGGAACTACAATTCCCAGCATGCTTTGCGGGTGAGCCGTGCGCGCAGGTATAGAACTGTTGTTCTTACGAAGTCCGCGGCTGGCCAGGTAAGTGAGAGGCGAGCCGCCTGAGGGGATTCGGCAGCGGCGGCGTTAGGACAGCCCTGAGCCCCCGAAAATAGAGAGAGAAAGAAGAAGTTAAGTAAAGGAAGGCGAAGAGGCCGCCCCTGCAGCGTTTCGGGGGGGGGGGGGCCGGATTCCCAAATTTGAGAAAGCTATTCAGCTCCCTTCCCCCCACAACATGTGGGGCTCCAGCGTCAATACTCTGTAATCCTGGAGCATTAATCCTAAAGCAGTAACACTTAAAGGCATTGTCACTGTTTGGTTTATAGACTTCCCCCACCACACACCCTTAGAAAGGCTTCTCAAAAGGTGATTTGCATTGTTTGATATGTGCAGAAAAACAGTAGCATGCTAAAAACAGCAGAGTAAAAAAGAAAAAAAATTCTTATAAAAGCCAAACTGTATTAATATTTTTATTCTTATTTTATGGACCTAGATACCCCAGCCTTCTAGAAAGCCTTCTCAAAGTGATTCACAAATTATTTACCCAGGTATCTAGATAAAATAACAATATAATGTCCACGGTATAACGATAAAATGTGCACAGTAGAAAGGGTTTGTTATAGAAGCCAGCAAGCATGCATGTTTTTTTAAAAATTAAAAGTTAAAGTACAGTGGTGCCTCTGGTTATGTACTTAATTCGTTCCGGAGGTCCGTTCTTAACCTGAAACTGTTCTTAACCTGAAGCACCACTTTAACTAATGGGGCCTCCTGCTGCTGCCACGCTGCCGCCACGCGATTTCTGTTCTCATCCGAAAAGTTCTTAACCCGAGGTGCTATTTCTGGGTTAGCGGAGTCTGTAACCTGAAGCATATGTAACCCAAGGTACCACTGTAATCCTAAATAGCCTTGCTGAAAGGAAATGTTTTAAAAGCACTCTTAAAAGCAGAAAGGTTTTGATGGGTTTGCTTAGGCAGCGTTGCTGCACATGGGTGCCTTACAAAGTTTATAAAGCAGGCAGAATACTTAGAGCCTCAAAGAGCTTATAGACTGACATTGAAGGGGAAAGACTAATGGGGGAGTTACCCATTCTTAAAACCTGGTTACATCTGCTGGAGTAGCATAGAAGCTGAGAGACTGAGCAATGAATCTATGAGTTTGAATTTCTTCTGTGCTATGAATGGACTACTAGGCAGCCCATTTGCAGTATGTGGGGGAAGAATACTGACTTGCCCTTACTGGATTGTTGTGTAAGGATTGCACAACTAGATGAAGCCTGTGAAGTGCTTCAGATGTGATATAAAGGTTAAGCTGGATAATTCATTAACTATCTACTATTAGTTAAGCAACGCCATCCTTAAGGATGAGGATTGCCTGAGTCCTTCTAACCCAGCTGGATTGCTTAGATCAGTAGTCTTCAACGTTTTCAGACCCAAGATCCACTTTTAACCCAAACATGCATTTGGGAACTCATTTCTTAATATCTTACCATATATTTGCATGATGGTAGTGCTCCTGCTGTGACCCACCTTGCATCAGGCTGTGACCCAGTAGAAGACCAGTGGCTTGAATTGCCTGGAGTAAAACTATGGGTTGACCCTTGTGTTGCAGAGCTAACTGGCCTCTGCTAGAAGTTCGGCTGCTGGTCCCAATCTGTAGTACATTCTTCCAGTAAATATTTGGCAGGTATCCTTGCTTTTGTTTTTTTAATCTATAGTTTATTAGATATTTTCACATTATTGAGGTAAAACAGTACAGTCTCATATTCTCTCCCAAACTTCCTCCTGGTTATAGCATTTTCTTTTTTAATGTTCCGTTGTTTGGCAAGTAGTACAGGGTTCAGGCTCACATGCTCAGATAATAATTAGGATAAATGAGTGTCAATGCTCAGCTTTAGTCCCAGATTAAAAATTGCTATATTGGAGAAGTTTCCACCTCCGTTGTGCCTTCAACTTCTAAATATGATTATTGCTTGGTGGGGAGTTCCATAAATGCACTGGAAGTTAGTCTTCTTATGTAATTTGTAGAGCAGGATTTTCTCATGGGCTGGTAGGTGTAGTTTTGACTTCCAGTATTTTTGAAAGAGTGTTTTTTTACACCAAGGGGCCTATGCAATTGTTTATTTTTATTTTTGAGTAGCCAGTAATATTAGAGGTTGTTTTGGATGTTTCTTATATTTCTGTGTTGCTGCACACCACCCTGAATTTTATGAGAGGGTAGTATATAAATTAAATAATTTGGTGGTGGAGGAAGACAAATAAACCAAAAAGGATGCTAGAGATATACCTGCCACTGCTTTCTGGAATGCATGATTTGCTAATATCCAACCATTTTCTGATAAGCTTGGCAGGGAAAGCTTGTTAGAGCTGAGGGAGCTGAAAATGTTTAGCCAGGGGAAGAGATAATTAAGAGTTGATACATTAGCTGCCTTCAAATATTTGAATGGCTGTCACATATCTGATGAAGCAAATTCGTCCTCTGTTTATTAATTTAAAGCATTTCTACCCAACTCTTCAGCCAAAATGGTTCCCAGAGCAGCTTATACTTCAGTGAAGGAAACCAAGACAGTCACTCCCTTTCAGACCTGCGGTCTAGAAGGCATGACACAAAAAGCACTCCTAAATTTTAAAAACGTATGTGTGGGGTTGGTGCAAGAGTCAATTGGGGGCGGGGAGAGAATGTGTATAGCAGCGGTTGCCACAAGTGAAAATTGTGTAAATGGGGGGCCACGGCACGAGACTAGGGGGCCACAGAGGGAAATGAGAAGTGAAGAGAACAGAGAAGTGACCGAGAAAAGAAAGAAGAAAAAAAGAAGTTGATGTTTCTTTGCAAGAAGTGCTCATAGAGCGACATAGCAGCCAAAGTAACTTTCAGTCAAGAAAAACACCATTTTTGGATAAAGAGTATAATATCTAAAAAGTTTTCCATAACTTTGGGATAAAGCAAAATTGTTTTCCATGGCATTTCCTACTTTGTATTTGGTAGAATAAGGGTTCAGTAGTGTGAATTATTTACTCAGCCTAACGCAGAATCACCTTAACATAACGGACAGAGATGATCTTTGGTTATCCCTCCCGGCAATAGAACTGGATATAAAAAAGCCTTTTTTGTGTGTCATCAAGCACAAGGGTCACATTGATACAGAAATGGTATAAATTTTTATGTAATTGTATTTGTATACATTATAAAAAATTATAAATAAAACATGCTCTATTTACAAACAAAACATTTAGATAGCTACCTTTCTACTGGTAGGATGGGGGGGGGCGGTCACAGGAAGGAAACAAGGTCGGAAGGGGGGCACAGTTGCAAAAAGATTGAGAAACACCGGTATATAGTATTGAGTGTTTTATCCATGCACATGGTTTTTATTACAGTTTATTAACAGCATTTTTCTATAAGAAACTAAGTGCATAACATTAAGTTCCAATCTTTTCATTAACAAACTCACATTTCCCCCTAATTATTTGGAGGGTATGTGTGCATGTTAAACTAGAAATGATAATTTGAAGTTGTCTTCAGTTCTATCAGTCAAGAATGAAGCTGCTTGGCCATGGGTAATCTTGGATATGAAGTACACCTCTTTGCCTCCCAGCTGTTTCTTCGTAGATCAGGTCAGCTGGCAGCATGTGCTGGGCATAGTGATCATTATGTAATTTGGGGCTGTATGGAAATATTGCTGGTTCTTTCTCCCTCTCAGGACTTGTGATGGCTGTGTCTTGTTTTCTGCAGAACTGTCTTGGAAGTCATGTCCCAGCTAGGCTTTGCTTGCCAGCCTCCTCCTGATGTTGACACTGATGACTGTCTTCCGGAATACTCCTACCTCTTCAGTCCAGACATTCTCAAGTGAGTACTACCAAGTACTCAAAACACTGCTTTGAAACCTTTATCTAGATTAATTTACCCTGTGCAATTTTCATTCCTCACCTCTGCTATGTCTACCTCCTCATCTGCTCCTCTTGATCTTTGGTGTTAGTCAATTTATACTTGGTGTTGGTATATTAATAGTGATGTGTTGCTTATTTTAACTTGTGTTCTTTTAAAAAAAAGTGAGTAGGAGTGGGAGTAGCCACAAAACAGTGTGTTTTGTAAAAAAATAAAATATTAGGAAGATGTGAGATGCATCTTCAGAGCTCAGGAAATCATCTTTACTGAGCCCTCCTTTCAGATTTTGTACCAACAGTTTACATGTTGTCAAAGATAGGGAAATGTAACATTTTTAAAATACTGTCAGAGACATATTTAAACTAGAATAAGGTACACGTGGCATAAGAGATGAAGGGCTCAAATATCTCCCCCAGAGGCAAAACCGATGCATCATAAGATGGATTTCGTGCAGTTTCAGTTTATCTTTTTATACTATCCTCTTCATTCCCTGCTAGTATAAGCCTCCTTCAAGCTTGGAATGACTGTTTGCTTTGTAGAAATATGTCCATGTCTTAGGCCTGCTTGGAAGTACATTGCTCTCATCTCTAAAGATTTCTAAAGGTGCAATTTCTAGTCACTGCCTCTTTACCAGCAGCAGATACAGTGTGCTTTTTATTTACTTCTGAGAATTCATATTTTTCCACTCAAACAGAATTCCTTATTAGGTATGTGTTTATGCCACTACTTGCAGCAAAACAGGTATTCTGTAGCAGCTGAAAATGTTGGATGGTTTTGCCTTTTGAGGGCTCATGCAGTTGAATTGGGCAAGTGGTTATCTTTTTGCCTAATCTACTTCACGAGACTCCCGTGAGGCCTCAATTACTTTCAGTACAAGCGTGACAAATCAAGACTGACTCTTAGCATATTAGTAAACTGTCTTCCTTTTTTTTTTAAATAATTTTTATTAACCGACCAATCAAATCAAATCAAATCACATAAATTCCGAATTACAAAGCCGAATTTTAAATTTTTGTTGAGGGGACCCATATTTCAAGTTCCGAAAGGGGATTCCGATCATCTTCTTGCTGCTGCGTTAATATCCACAAATCTGTCCAAATAATGTTCATAATTCTATCCAGTCCTATCTTGCTGTTTCCACATCTCATCTTGTTCGTATATTTTTCTTTTTTTCTTTATGATCTCTTCTGATAATCTCCTTAAGCAGGTAAACACCAATTATAATCCTGTGTGAATTTTTCCGTTTGTCCAATCATCATATCAAGATGGTTTCCATATATCATCACTTTCATAAATAACAGCACTCTTTCCATCATTAGTCTCGCAAAACTGTCGCCTTCTTTTGTCCCTCTGAGGAGGCTCACCCACAATATGAAAACAGATCTGTTCCTCCTCCCAGACATAAGTCTTTCGACAGAACTTGCCAATATGGTGACGCTATTTTTTGCTGCGTCATTCCAAAGCTCTTATGCTTTCCACGATCTTCTTAAAACATGCTTTGGTTAGAAAATTATCTCCACACAGTCTTAAATCCACAGCTTAAGTCATTTAAATGGCATTTCTGACTTGTGACTTGTGGGGGGGTGGATTCTTGGTTAATCACATAGAGAAAAGAAAGGAAAGTCCCGTCCCCCCCCATCCAGTCCCATTGCCAAACATACTGAGCCTTGGTGTGTCTTCTCATGATTTATTCCTGTTCCTCCGACCCGTCTTATTTATCAGAGATCTCTTCAGTTAGCAGTCTTTACTCCCCCTTCTTCCTTGAAATATGTGCATTAGCTTCCACCTAATTGTTTCTTTTGAAGTTGCTGCAGCTAGAGGCGCGAATCAGAGACAGCATCCAGGAGCGCTGAGATCCGCACAAGGGCTTTCTGCCTAGTGCCCCCACCCACTCAAATTCGGGGGTGGTATAGGGCACAGCAGGCAAGGGCAGTCCCCCCCACACGCTTGGGGGCGTGGCGGGAGGCTGTTTACTCCCATCACAGCCTCTTAATTACCTCGTGTGGGTCGGAGAGATGTTATTGTCAGCCATCTTCCGATGCGCCCCTAGTGGCCCCTCAGTAAACTGTCTTCCTATTTCAGACATGCATTTCATAGTACAAGTGGCATCTGCTAAGTGGAGGACGCAGGAAACCTCTGGTCTGCCTGGGATTGATGTGGTCTGACCTGACTGAATTTCCCTCATTCCTCCTTTTTGTATGTGTCACGATCTTCACTGATGCTGCTCTTTCTGAACGTGCATTATGAAAAGTCTATATGGATCCCACTTGCCATGGTTTCAGACGTCTTCTTTCTTTCTAGGGGCAAAGTTGCATTCATCACTGGCGGCAGCTCCGGCATTGGATTCCGCACAGCTGAGATTCTGATGAGGTATGGACACTCTGGTGCGGGAGCAGCTTGGCTTTACTTAAGCTTGCAATGCTTTTGGTCTCTGCTGTATTCTCCTGCAGCAGCCACCAGCCTGTTCCTAGGAAGCAAGTCCTTCCTTCCCTTTGCAGCTGCATCCTGCTTCATGCCATTTGTGTTTTCTGCAGCTTTTCTGCAGATGTGTGTCCTATGGTGAGATGTGCCATGGAACTGCAGCCGTTTGGGGTTCTCTACTGCATATATCGGGACGTATCTCTGCATTTTGCATGATCACTGCAGGAACGCCCAGTTGCCATGTAGCAGCCTGGTTGGAAGGAAAGGTGACAGGATGTTATCAAGGAGAGTTGCCCCCCCCCCCAAACACACACACACACACACACACACACACACACACACTTGTGAAAAATCTGAATGCACAGCTCCACATCCGCCCACTAAGCATAACCAAATTAAATATACAAATTACTATATCTAAAACCTATCCAAACTGCACAAGTATTGGCCAGTGTTAATACCTGAGCTTTATGGTTTCTGGGTTATCCAATCTGATGGCAGGTTGCAGACACACATGGAGACCACACAAGCATACTGAATCCCCATGGCTGGTAGCAGAGGTGTGTCTGAGTAGACAAGCGAGTGATGAGCACAAGGTGTTCTGTGTCACCCTCACCATCTAAGGTTTTGCTTGCAGGCATGGCTGTCATACTATCATTGCCAGCAGGAACCTTCAGAGGCTAACAGAGGTGAGTGGACAGGAGACTGTTATCCCTTTCAGATCCCTTTCAAATCAAGGCCTTGGCAGAGGCACTTCTGCTGGAGTCACCTGTCTCAAGCAACAGATTGGGGAGGTGTTGAGGATGGTATAGACCAGCGGTTCTCAAAACTTTTTTCTCTGGGCCACACTTTCAGAATAAAAATTTGCTCGCTCAACACCAAATTTCTTATTGATGAGAAATACATTGGAAGACAACACTGGAAAGTTTAAACACACCTCACTGAAACGCTTAAATGTTTCTTTGATTGCCCTTGAATCTTCCTGCCACACTTGCCACCCTCTCCAATGTGGCCTCACCCTTGACAACTGCTGGCATACACGGAAGACAGATGGATCTGATCTGTGGGCACTCTTGTGCAAGGTCTGTTCAGAGGAAGAAAAGTTTCACAAGACAATGGCTTCCTTCTTCTTTAAGTTAAGAAAAAGGTGGTAGATAAGAGAACTCGTGAGTGAGGCCTGAAGAAAACTTGGAAGCTGGGTATGGAGGGGAGAGCATCCTAAACTGTGTTTCTCTCTTAGGACAAACTGCCCCACTAACCTCCGCCTGCCACCAGCCAGCCCCTACTTACCTGCCTTCTTACATTCAGTCTAGGGATGAAACAGCCAATCAGCTTCCTTCCCCTTAGTCTCAGGGTTGGCCTGGTAGAACTGAGCAGGGGGGAGAAGGACAAAACTAAAACTAGTTGGCTCTGTCACGGACTGTGATGCCACCTACTGTTGGTCTCCCCATCTTCCACCCAAATCGTTGCAGAAATGCAGAGAATTGAGATTGGGGGAAATAAGAAATGTAGGGAACAAAAACTCCATTATTGTCTATCTACAACTGAGATGTGGTCCCTCCCGTGAATATTCGTTGTCATCTTAAATGCTGCTGGGTGCACAGCCCTTAACATACCACATCATAGATTCTCAGAGGTGAGCCTGTGTTTCCACGTAAGAGGTACCTGAAACATTTCACAGAAGCCTTTTGAGAACCTTCCTAAACAATGCAGTATGTTGATGAAACCAGGAAGGGTTTCCCCATCCAACAGCACAGCAGGTGCTTAACATGGAAATCTTGCACTAATTCTTGACACAAATCCCTTTTCCCAGTCTTTCATGCGTCCAGCTCGCCATGCTGCGGCAGGAAGACAGAAGACGGTGGTCATTTATTACCGAATATTCTTTTCCTTTTTTTATAGGCTGCCAAGAAACTGTCAGCAGCCACTGGCCAGCGATGCCTGCCCCTCACGCTGGATGTCAGGCAGCCACAGATGATCATGGCAGCCGTGGATGAGGCCCTCAAGGAATTTGAGAGGATTGATATCCTTGTCAACAGTAAGTTATTTGCGTCAGCAGAGGACATTCATGGGGTGTACTGCTGGCCACCTGTCTACAAGCTGGGAAAAACTGCTCACTGTTGCATGCTCTGGGAGGGTGATCTTTGAGGGTGCTGGCAGGGCTGTTTTAGTAGTAGGCCAGGGATAGGAAACATTTTTCAGCCCAAGGGCCACATGACCTTCTGAGAAACCTTCTGAGGGCCATATTCCAGGGGTGTTTTGCAGGGGGGCAGGGACAAAAGTGGGCAGAGCAATGAACGTAAACTAGATGCTCTGCAAACATACACTCTCCCCAGCTGCGCCCCCCGCCCCCCAGTAAATCAAGTAAATAAATAAAAAATACTTAACTAAAAGTAGAAAAAAACCAGAACATTTGAAATTGAAAGGCTCACTGAGGTCACTTGAATGATGTTGTGGCGCATTCTAGCAATGCAACTGGGAAACTGAGCAATAAGCGTGGCTTCCGCAAGCGGGCCAATCACGTCGCAGATAGCTCGGTTCTGGAACAGGACAGGTGGTTGTCCTTCCCCTTCACCGCCCCCAACCCCTCCAAATCCTGGCTACACCGATGCACATACCCCTCTCTTGCTTGTCCAGGCAAGCAAGAGGCATCCTCGAAGTTCAAGTTCAACCCAGCCAGGCAAAAGCAGGGTCATTGAGGGGTGTGGCTTGGGGCCAGATAAAGGGGTCCTGGAGGGTTGCATCACGAACCTAGGCTGGATGTTCCCCACCCCTGTAGTAAGCAGTGAAATGGGGTGGTTTCTGATGCCACAGTGGGCCCATGGCATGCCCTTGTACCAGCCACGCCTGCCTTGCCATGCTGATTCAGTCTCCAACTTCTCTCTCTCCCTTGTCCCCAGATGCTGCTGGAAACTTCCTGTGCCCAGCCAGTGCCCTGTCCTTCAATGCCTACAAAACCGTGATTGAGATTGACACCTTGGGAACATTCAACGTCTCCAAAGTGCTGTATGAGAAGTGTCTCCGTGTAAGTTTCTCTCCTCCATCAGAGGCTTTTCTCCCTGCGGACAGACTTTCCTCAGCTCCTGTGCTCTAGGGTCAATTGCCCTGGGCAGGGGTGGGGGGAGCTTTTTTTTAACACCTGAGGGACACGTTCCCTTCAAGAAAAGAATGTGGGGAAAGGTTTCTATTTATGCCAGCTATGTTCATTTTGGTTTGTGCCTGCTGCACTTGCTGTTAATCCTTTCTGTCATTGTTCCCAGAGCTGACTTTATTTTGTTGATCTAGGACCATGGCGGAGTCATTGTCAATATCTCGGCAACCCTAAGCTACAGAGGTCAGGCTCTCCAGGTGCATGCGGGGACAGCTAAGGCAGCCATAGGTACCGTAAGCAATTTGGCTCCCCTTCTCACCTACACCCTTAATCGAGTTTTATTCCTCTCCCTGTCCCTCCCACCCAAGTGGAAGTCATGGTGTTCTGGCACCACCTACAGTCTGGAAGAGATGTTGCAGCTTCCAGATTGAGCAACAGAGAAGCCTTCTGGCCCACAGTGATAAGACCACTTCTAGGACATGGGTGCCCTCCCTGTCTGAATTTTTAAAAGAAGAGTTGCCATCTGCAAATGCATATAGTTTTATCATATTGACTGTGTCTGGATGTAATGCTAAGCCATGGTTTGCTGTGTTTTTATTATGCTGGAAGCCACTCAAAGTGGCTGGAGCAACACAGTCAGATGGGCGGGGTATAAGTAATGAAAGTATTATTATTACTACTACGGTGAGCCTACAGCAGTGATTCCCCTCCCTGGCATGGCAACAATGAAGTTATGGGAAAGTTCTGCTCTAGATTAATTGCAGTTCAGCATGTTGTCTGAACTCCAAACAGTGGTTCACCTTAACTTCAGTTAGTGAAAACAAGTTTGACATTAGCTCATTTCGACAGTTTGTCCAGGTTCAACCAAAATGGTTAATCAAAAACAGAAGCAAAAGCTTCCAAAGTCAAACTTGTAGCTGTGCTGGAGGAGGAAGGGAAAGTGTATGAGTGCTTGGCTCGTGCTCCTGGCACTAAACCAGGCTTCCTCAACCTCGGCCCTCCAGATGTTTTGAGACTACAATTCCCACCATCCCTGACCATGGTCCTGCTAGCTAGGGATCATGGGAGTTGTAGGCCAAAAACATCTGGAGGGCCGAGGTTGAGGAAGCCTGCACTAAACCATTAACATCTGAATCAGCCCAATGTCTTGTCAAGGGTTTTGCAAATTCAGCTGGCTTTCATTCATTGTTTTCTGTGTGGTGGGTTTCACTATTTCTTTTCTTCTTGTGAAGTGCTGAATGTCTTGAGAAATTCTGTTTCTTTTGCTTCTGTTTATTGTCCTAATAATATATATATTTTTAACACACATACATGCAATGTAATTCTTCCCTGTGCAAAAGGAGAATTCCTTTCCAGCTTGTTGTGGATAGGGTCTCTTTCAATCACCAAGAGACTGGCAGAGTTGATGCGGGGAGGATTGTGCCTTGTGAATGGGCAAGAACCAGATTTAGATTTGATGACTTTCCAGTTCTTTCTAGTGCTGTAATTCTTAGCTTTTCAATATTTGTTCTTGATCCTCTCTGACTGTCTTCTCCCTTACAGATTCAATGACAAAACACCTGGCTGTGGAATGGGGTCCTAATGGAATCAGAGTGAATAGCTTGGCGCCAGGTCCTATTTCGGGTACAGAGGGTCACCGCCGCTTAGGTAAAGCATTAAATATAATTTGAAGTGCTGTCTGTGTGATTTACCTGGAAAAGAAACAACTGGGGAGACCACCCAGCTATGAAGGTCACTGGGCAACCTTGGACCAGTCACCTCTCTCACAAGGTTGTTGTAGGAGTAAAGTGTGGGAGAATGCATGCCATCTGTACCTCTTTGGGGGAAGAGCACAGCGTAAATAAATTAAAGTAAATAGGCATGCCTATACTATCCATTAGAATTTCCAGGGTGGATCGTTCATAAGAATTAATAAAATTCAGTAGATGACTTGAATCAAGACTTGTTAGACTGAGACTCGATGAACTTGCAGTGAAACACTTCCAGAAATCTTCTGTGCCAAGCAGGGAATCGGACAATATGTTATTTATACTCGAACATCATGGAGCATTCGGAGTTGCTTTTGCAACAGGGGTGGCTAAGAGGGGTGCAGACCACATGCATACATTCGGACTGCCCCCTCTCTGCTTGTAAGCCAATCAGCTGAGGAGAATGGGGGTTCTCCCCCATTGCAGCTAAGCAATGGGGTACAAAAGGGAGGGAGAGAAAAGAAAGGCCATTTTTAAAAGGGGGGGGGCTCTCCTCCCTTTGAGGCACCACCATTGGAATAAGGTCTTAGTGCTTAGGAAACGTGAATAAGTTCTTCAGCAGATGTTGGGCTTTGTTCTTTTTTTGTGGGCTTCCCAGAGTAATTTGGTTTGCCACGGTGAAAACAGAATCCTGGTTTAGATGGCACATCTGTGCTGACGGACCTGCAACAACAAGGCCTTGTTGTTAACGTTTAAAGCTCTGAACAACTTGGGACCAGGTTTCAATTTGTATTCTTCTACAGTGGTACCTCGGGTTACATACGCTTCAGGTTACATACGCTTCAGGTTACAGACTCCGCTAACCCAGAAATAGTGCTTCAGGTTAAGAACTTTGCTTCAGGATGAGAACAGAAATCATGCTCCGGCGGCGCAGCAGCAGCAGGAGGCCCCATTAGCTAAAATGGTGCTTCAGGTTAAGAACAGTTTCAGGTTAAGAATGGACCTCCGGAACGAATTAAGTACTTAACCTGAGGTACCACTGTATGCTGGTTTTCATGTTGCATTTTTTGTTTTAACGATACTGTTTATGATGTACACCACTTAGAGCCAGTGTGGCGCAGTGGTTGGAGTGTTGGAGTAGGACCCAGCAGTCCCCACTCGGCCTTGAAGCTCCCTGGGTGATCTTGGGCCATTCGCTCACTCTCAGCCTAACCTGCCTCGCAGGGCTGTTGTGAAGATAAAATGGGGAGGGGGGAGAACTACACAGGCCACTTTGAGCTCCTTGGAGGAGAGGTGCACTACAAATACAATAAATAAAAATTATGTGCCATTTTGAATTAAAGACATTGCTTTCCTCCTTCTTGTTTTTAGTTCAGCCTCACCCGGAAGCACAAAACCTCTTTCGGAACATCCCCCTCCAGCGGGTGGGGAACAAGACGGAGATTGCCCATAGCGTCCTGTACCTGGCCAGCCCCCTCGCCTCGTACGTGAGCGGCACAACCCTGGTGGTGGACGGCGGGGCTTGGATGACCTCCGAGAACAACTTCCCCGCACTGTTGGGTATTGCCTCACACTCTGCTAAGCTCTAGGTGACGTTTCTTTCCCCCTCTGTGGGACTGGAAGCAGGGGCGTTGCTAGGTACTCAAATAGAATAAAATAAAAGAGGCTGCAGGGCCATGGCGGGGCGGGGGTGTCCATGTGCTGTGGTGCGCACATTTGCACTGAATTAGTACATGCTCATGTGTCTGTATGGATGCAAACACACTTTGCAGCATGCTCAACAGCCCATTAAGAATTGGAGAGAAAAGAAAAGAAATAGGCCTTTAATAACAGGGGAGGGAGGAGCAGGGTTATCCAGAGAGCCCAGCACAGAAGACCTGGGGCCTGGCTACCCCCTAGCAACGTCCCTGATTAGATAGTTATAAAGCAGGCTTGGGGAACCTTTGGCCCTCAAGATGTTGTCAGACCACTACTCCCATCAGCCTCAGCAAGCATGGCCACTGGCCAGGGATGATGGGAGTTGTAGTTCAGCAACATCTGGAGAACCAGAGGTTCCCCACACCTGCTGTAAAGGTCCTTGTGTCAAGAAAGCCACAGTCTTCAGGTGAGAATTTTTGTCGTGTGCCCCTCCAGTGCAGGGGGAAGCAGAAGATAAATTGGAGGAATGACAGTAGATCCGCAAGGTATTCTGATTCTCAAGTTATTTTAACATTTGCAACAATTTCAGCCGCTTGCTTTGGATTCCATCTCAGTTTTTCTCCAACCTCCTTTCTCTCTTACAGGCGTCTGGGCTACAGAATTAAAGAAAGAGAAATGAAACATGACCCTGGGAACCTGACGGATGGGACACTGCAACTTCAACGCTACTCTCCGCAGAGCCAAAGGAGTCAGCCACTCGCCTCCTCTAGCAACAAGATAACTTTTAGACAACAGTGGTAATGGTGCTGTTTGAGATTGATGCTGGGCGCAGAGGCTAGGAGGTTGCAGCCTATTTTATTCTCACCTAAAAGCTTTCTCTTGAATGCCCATGAATGCCTTGTGTGGCACAAAACTGTTGTCTGGAGTGGCAGCCTGGAAGAACAGAGATTTGGCTTGATTTACATTTAAACCTTGGCATCCTTTGCTTTGCCTGTGCTCTTTACCATCTGAGCCTTTTTGTCAAGGAAAGGGAGGAGTGTGTCTGTCCGTCTGTGTTGTGTATCTGCCCCTCCAGCCTGAATCCTCTCCACCTCTAATCTTCATGATTCTGGACCAAACAGGGTGATTCTGCACTTTTTTGCCAATGCTCTTTATTTTTCGGTTAGGGGAAATACCTCTCTCCCCATCAAAAAACCCCAACACTCATCTTTTTTATCTAATAAATTCCATATGCAATCTTTGCTTCTTGCTAAGCTTGTACTTTCAGTATTGGTCTGGTTCCTAATGCAGCATGCTTTTCCTATGAGACTCTCTGCTCCTTGAAGGAAGAATTCATTATTCCTCTCGACAATATTGTACTGCCTTATGCTGCGCTCCCTAAAATGGCACTTTATGAGTTGCAGTCAGCACTCGAAACATGAGCTGCATTTGGGTGATCACATCTTGGTTTAATAAGCTGAGACATGCACAAGCTTCATGAACCCACATGCAAACCCTTTGCTCCAGCTCCACTGCCCTTTGCATGAGAGGGGAGAAGGCTTCGGCTAACCATGGTTTCCTGTTACATCCGAACCCGGTTAGTGACTCTCAAACAAGCTGGAATACAAAACCATGGTATAAAGTTGCCTTCTAGATCCTGGCTGTTTTGGAAGCCGCCAACCACAGTCTCCTTGTTTGGGTGTAACAGGAAGCCGTGGTTACCTTCAGCTTCCTGTCTTGTCCACTCATAAAAAGGGGGAGTAAAATGGGATCAAAGGGGCTGTATATGGGTGCATGAAGTTCATTTTTATCTCATCGTATCAAGCTGAGATTTGATCATTGGAATAGGGCCTGTGTTGGATACATGTGCTACAGGAAATTTATTAGCATTTATTAATCACCTTCCACACATGTCTCAAGACATATGAACAGCGAATTAAGTCCATTTTACATACTTAGAAAGTAATACTACAGGTATTTGTGTTTTAAACTTAGTACATTTCTTACAAAAACAATCCACACACACACACACAAGGAACTGCAGATCATAAAAAATAAGTGGAGCAGGCTCTGTTCTTGGTAAAGCCCATATCATAGCTGTCAACTTTTCCCTTTTCTTATGAGGAATCCTATTCGGAACAAGGGAATTTCCCTTTAAAAAGGGAAACATTGACAGCTATGGCCCATATATTGCCTCAAAAAAATCCATGAAGGCAGCTTTGCTTCCTTTGGAGTCAGACGTAAATCCCCCATCCCTGGAGTAAAAGCCATCTGAGCTCAGGGGCCACATTATCTCATGCACAGCCTTCCAGGGAGCTGTCACACGTGAATGGTGGGTGGGAGCAGAAAGTTTCTAATCACATGGAGGTCTCCCTTGCTTGCCACTGAATGAACTCAAAAACCCCCGATCCCTTTTCTCCCCTTCATGCCCTCCTACAATGGAGAGGGACAGGGTGCTTGCACTGTGTGTTTGTTCTTTGCTGTGATGCTGATTCTCACCAGCATTTCTGCTCCTGCCCACCACCCGCAGGCAAGTGAGGAAATTATGCAATTGCTATTGATTTTGGAGATTGCTGAGCAAAGTGGCAGAGAGAGGGAAGTGCACACGGATCTTAAGCTCCCTTAAGTGTGTCCTTTAACTGCAGTTTCCTCAGTGAGCCCTGTGGAGCGGGGGAAAGGGAAAGCTGCTGGTTAAAAACTGATTCCTACTAACGCTACACCACACACACACACACACACCAAGAAAACACTACTTAATAACTTAAAAGGCCCCCAGCTACCTTGTCAGGCAGTCATATTTTTATTGCTTGTAGCCAATAGTCATTCCAATATGGGCTGTCGCGTGGAAGATGGAGCAAGCACATGGTTGAACGACGGAAAACACAGGAAGCAGCAACAGCCACTGACTTAGATGGCTTCAAAAGAGGATTGGGCAAATCCATGGAGAGGGCAATTGATGGCTACTAACCATGATGGCTATTCTCTGCCTCCACGGTTGGAGGCAGCAGCACTACTGAATGCCAGATGCAAGAAACCACAGGAAGGGGAAAGGCTCTGGCTTGCTGGTTTGAGAACAGGATGCTGGACTAGATGAGCCATTGGCCAGATCCTGCAGGCTCTTCCTTTGTTCTTAAGCTTGTTTTCTGCTGCTCCAGAAGGTAGGACCCAAACCAATGGGTTCAAATTACAAGAAAGGGGCCAACTAAACATTTGAAAGAACTTTCTGATGGTAAGAGGTGTTTTGACAGTGGAACGGACCACGTGGGAAGGTAGTGAACTCTCCTTCGCTGGAGGTTTTTATGCAGAGGTTGGGTGGCCATCTGTCAGGGGTTCTTCCGCTGTGATTCCTGCATTGCTGGAGGTGGACTGCACAACCCCTGGGTGTACCTTTCAACTCGACAGTTCTAGGATTCTATGAATATTAAGAACAAAAAAACCAATCCAAAAGTAAGTTAAAACATATCAATTTTTGGAACTGCAAAATATCGTGGGTGTCACTGTGGACTTGCTGATCAGAAGGTCGTGGTTCGAATCCCCATGACGGGGTGAGCTCCCGTTGCTTGGTCCCTGCTCCTGCCAACCTAGCAGTTTGAAAGCACGTCAAAGTGCAAGTAGATAAATAGGTACTGCTCCGGTGGGAAGGTAAACGGAGTTTCCGTGTGCTGCTCTGGTTTGCCAGAAGTGGCTTAGTCATACTGGCCACATGACCCGGAAGCTGTACACTGGCTCCCTCGGCCAATAAAGCGAGATGAGCGCTGCAACCCCAGAGTCGGTCACGACTGGACCTAATGGTCAGGGGTCCCTTTACCTTTAATTATTGTCATGGGGCAATGGAACTGCAATGGCTCAGCTGGTAGACCATTAATCTCAGGGTCATAGATTCAAGCCCCATGTTGGGCAAAGCATTCCTGCTCTACAGTGCTATGATTCACAAACATACCATGAAAATAGTTCTAAAAACAGTACCAAAAGAGCAACTAATAAAAGGATTAAAAACAATACAGAATGAACCCGAATCATTTAGATTAAAAAGAGATTTCCTTGACGCTTAACTTGATTTGAATCAAAACAGCAGCAATAGCTTTTGTCACTGTGTTCAAACCTATTGTATAGGTCAGAGGTTTTCAACCTTCTTGAGCCCACAGCTCCCTTGACCAACTACACTCTTTCTATGGCACCCCTGTGGGGCTCAGGAGCCCAGTTATGTCACCCCTTGCCGGCAGATTCTCACCCTTTTTTGAACATCCTCCCTTGTGGAGTGTTCCCTCAGCCTCCTCTCCCCTCTCCTTGGAGTCCTCTGGGCAGCCATGGAGCTGCCTTGTCCCACCTCAAAGAGAGGGGACTATAGCCAGGGCTGCTGCAACAAACACCTGTACAAGCCATTGGGAGGCAGAGACACAAGAGGGCATCAGAGGAGTGAGGGAAGGAAAGAAGGACAGAGGCCAGTGTTGCCTGCGCGCCCCTGACCAACATTCAAGGCACCCCAGGGTACCATGGCACTCGGGTTGAAAACCACTGGTATAGGTCATAAACTTGTCTATGATTGTTCAGCAACCATCTAATTTTGAAATCATCAGATTGACCCGGAAAATTATGAAATGAGTTAAGAAATTCTGTTCCTGGGTGAGTTGTGTAAAAGGCCAAACAAGATATAGTGCACAATGTATTTGATCCGGCCTGATCTGTGTACACAAAGGCCTATTAAATAATTTACTCCTCAGGTATTGTATGGACATAGTTTGGAATCTAAGCAAAGTAAATGCATCTCTAATGGGGGAAAACAAGTTAATCCCCACAGATAAGCAGCCCTTTTATAGCTTTGTTAATACACCTGTTTACTAGGCACTCGCTTCATTTCCAGGGCTGGATTTTTAATCTCTGTTCACATTACATTTATCCCAAATGCACATTTATCCTTGACTTCTTTTTAAAAATACTGGTGTTCGCTGCATTGTTTCTCACACTTGGATAGCTCAGTCAATAGAGCATGAGGCTCTTAATCTCAGGGTCATGGTTTGGAACCCCATGTTGGGCAAAAGATTCCCACATTGCAGGGGGTTGGACTAGATGACCCTCTTGGTCCCTTCCAACCCTACAATTCTCTGATTCTATTATTCTAAATCTGTTTCACACCAACTGGAGTCCTTAAGCTATCCCTAATCCATATCTAGGCAAGGTACATAGGGTAAAGACACCCCCATCCCCTCTGGTATGTACACAAACAGAAACAAATCTGACACTGATGAATGTTTGCTAGAGGGCACAATGACCAGAAGCTATGTGTGGTCCTGTGGTCCTGCCCACAACCAGTGGGAATGTCGGTTAACCTTCAGCAGTTGTTGCCCACACCCTTTCACACATACCTTTACTTCCATGAGGACCAGGAACTTAAAGTGTTCTTTTCCTCTTAAAATATAGTTGAGGGGTTTTTTGTTGTTGTTGTTGTTAAGAATCTGAATTCTCTCTCCAGCACTGCTCCTGAAGAATTAGGGCATGCAGATAGTCGTGTTCATGAGGCAAGAGCTCATTTACATGAAGAGCCATACTTGAGCCTGCCCCTCCCCCCCAGCTCTCTTCGTCATCCTCATGTAACTCCTGAGGGAAGGAGAATGAGGCTTAAAAATAGTTTTTGTCCTGTAACCTCCTGTATATTATATCTTTGTTGAATTCCTGCCTCCTCTTTTCTTGCGGCTTTCACACATCCATCAGTGAATGTTTAATCTTCTTGCTCTCAGTAAAGAGACCTGCTTTCTTCCTTGTTCTCTGTGTTGTCTTCTATTTACCGTACTTTTGGTTTTTAATATTCGCATTTATTCTTAGGACTAAATGACGTCAACAAACAGGACTTGCCTGGCGCCAATGTCATTGGCCTTTAATCATGCCTGTTCATCCAGGCATTTGGGTCTTCATTTAACCCTAATGTAGAATGATTCTGGCCTGACTTGGGGCTCACCTTTTTAGGAAATTTCCCTTTTCATGCTTGCTGATGGATGGAAACTTGGTGATGATGGAGGGGTTTTATTCTCCCCTCTGGAAGGATGGGGAGATATGAGCCCATCAGTTATGCCAAATGTGTCCCTCCAGGTCTCTCTCTCTCTGGGGTCATGGACTGGCAAGATGCAGAGGGATGGTGGAAGGAACCAGCTGGGGATCCCCCAAGGGAATAAGGCTCAGAGCTAGGGGATTGGTGGTGGGGGGACGATGAGGCGTCAGGGTTTAGTGAGCAGGAAGAGGCTGGGGCACAGGGCAGTCCAGACTCAGAGGCAGGAGAGGAGTGAGGCCAGGAGACAGAGATAAGATAAGCTGCTGAAGAACCCAGGGAGTCTCCCCCTCCTGCTTCAACCAGCTCTCGTCCCCCTGGTGTCCCAGAATATGCAAAGAAATGAAGAGGGCGGAGCAACGAAAGACAAGGTGACATAGCATAGACTACTGGGGAAGGAACCAGGGGTAGAGCCTTAGGGAGCCTCAGTCCTTACAACTGCCTCATTAGGGCAAGACGTGCTGGAAAGAGTTGCTGGGGTCACGAGGCCTGAGCTGTTTTGTTTTCTTTGAATAAAGAGTTAACTTCACTGATGCCAGGTACTTTTTATGTTGACCTATGCCTGACTCCGGGGACGTGGGTGGCACTGTGGGTTAAACCACAGAGCCTAGGACTTGCTGATCAGAAGCTTGGTGGTTCGAATCCCCGTGACAGGGTGTGCTCCCGTTGCTCGGTCCCTGCTCCTGCCAACCTAGCAGTTTGAAAGCACGTCAAAGTACAAGTAGATAAATCGGTATTGCTCCGGCGGGAAGGTAAACAGCGTTTCCGTGCGCTGCTCTGGTTCGCCAGAAGCGGCTTAGTCATCCTGGCCACATGACCCAGAAGCTGTACGCCGGTTCCCTCGGCCAATAAAGCGAGATGAGCACCACAACCCCAGAGTCAGTCACGACGGGACCTAATGGTCGGGGTCCCTTTACCTTTACGCCTGACTCCAGCTCCTGACAGCTGGACCTTGGAACACCCCTTCTGCAGCCCCCCGCCCCTCACCTGCTCTGCTTTGCACCCTCTTTGAGTGTTTTTACCTGGCCAGAAAGTGCCCTTGAACTGAGATAATCCCTCTCGCTTGCCCTGATGGACAAGCGAGTGGGCAAGTGGGTACAGAAAACGGCCTACTGTACAAAGGTAAAATTCACATTTGTTGCTCCACCCACTTTTGCCTCTAGGCCCACCCACCACTGGCCTGCGGCCCCCCCAGGGAATGTGGCCTTCAGACTGAAAAATGCTTCCTCCCTCCCCACCTCCCATCCCCGACTTAAGCCATGCTTGTTGTAGGCAAGCAATGCAGTTGCTGCTTAGGACTGCGTAGTGAGTGGGCAGGTTTCTGCCTGTCATTCTTCCTTCCTTCGCATGGAAGGTTGTCAAGTGAACCGTTGCTAGGCAATTAATCCATCCTCCCCTCTGTGGCCAATGGGATTTCTCAAGCTGGCACCCTGCAGCACTTCCTACTACTGTACAGAAGCCCTTGTAGCTATAGCAACCAGCAGGTGATATGATAGCATCATCCCCATCAGTGCTTTCAGGATGACTAGGCTTGGGTGGCACCTGAAGTCTCTGGCAATGCAGGTGCAGGAGCCCACACGGCCACAATCAATCCTCAGAACATGCAGTATGAGTTCAGGTGGTTTCTGCACAATCCTGCAAACCTTTGCTTGTCAGTGGTTTTCATTAAAAGTAATAATTTAAGAAGCCAAGGCAAATGTAGTAGGGCAAATGTTTTACACACAGATTTGGACTTCAGCATCTCCAATGAGAACGATCAGGCAGCATGGCAAGAAAGCTCTGCTGGAAAGATGCTCCCAGGAGAGTGTTTAAAAACAAGCTAATGAGGACTTAGCAAGGCAGATAGATCTATCAAATTTGATTCTCTCATTTTATCATTTTTCCAGTCACAAATTCAGTTCTGCAGCAATTTGCAATCCTCAGGGAGATTCACCAGCATTTTAGTGTGACTTTCTCCTAATAAACACATTGTCATATGAAATATTCCCTAATAAACACATTTTGGCCAGACAATTACCTCTACTATAGCATATTTTATGTCATTTTCACTAATACGTGAATTTTTATATGCACATATTAGTGAAAATGCATTTTAGCATATGCATATATATATATATTGCATACTGCATCGCAAAATCCAAAGAAGTGTGAACTTTCAGCCAGCAGGTTCTCCTTTAAATGAAAACTGAACCAAATTTGTCCTTCATCTCTAGTCACAGAATACTGAGTGTCTGTTGGTGGAGCGGTGCTGGAATGGAGAGTTCAGGAAAAGAGCATGGCTGGCTGGCTGGGAGACTGGCTGGGACCTTGAAGAGGCACATTCCATGCCTGAGATCTCTGGGTATAGGGCGGTATATAAATTCAAACGATAATAATAATACTGCAACAACCTGCTACAGGTCCCACTTGTGCAAATTGAAGGCAAACTTTGCCTGGAGTACTCTCTGGAGCATGGGTAGGCAAACTAAGGCCTGGGGGCCAGATCCGGCCCAATCACCTTCTAAATTTGGCCCGCGGACAGTCTAGGAATCAGCATGTTTTTACATGAGTAGAATGTGTCCTTTTATTTACAATGCATCTCGGGTTATTTGTGGGGCATAGGAATTCATTCCCTCCCCCAAAAAAACATAGTCCAGCCCCCCACAAGGTCTGAGGGACGGTGGACCGGCCCCCTGCTGAAAAAGTTTGCTGACCCCTGCTCTGGAAGTTCCATCTGCTGGAGCTGACTCAGTGCAGCTGCTGCCCCTCACCAAAAGAGCTCATCTGCTCTCCCCCCCCCCTTATCCCACCCTCAAGGGGAAGGTGGGCTTTCAAGACAAAGCCAAGTCTGCTTCCATTCCTCTGCAGTTTGAGTGCTTCTTCAGTGGAGGAGAGAGGAATGACCCATGTATTTGACTTAGGAGAACTTCTTATAAATGACAATGATTTTGTTCATCACTGTTTGCTGTGCTAATACAGTACCACTTTGCTGGTTAAAGAGGGACCCTAGTTGAACTTTAAGCAGGATGGATGCCTGAAGAACAGCTATATTGCTATGCTCATCCCATTTCTCTGTTCAGTGAGGAGCTCACGAGGTGAGAAACTTACCTGGGTTTCACTTCCCTTGGAAGGGGTGGTGGTGTCACCGGGAGTTTGTATTATTTTTCAATGTTTTCGTTTCTTTTCAGGTGTGCTGCTTAAACACAGGTGGGAGCACAGCTAAAACCCAATGACAGATAGCCAAATCCACTGTTGGATTTTCAGAGAGGGCATCTCTGCATCTCCAATGCCATTAGCTTCCCAAAATTGAGCTTGCTGTGTAGTCTATGATTCTTTGCAATCTCAGATACCTAGGTTATAATATCCCCAGTCATGGGAGTGGCAGAAGAGAGAGAGAGAGAGGCACACCCTCTTTCAGGTACTCCCTAGCTATGCAGATACTTCAGAAACATGTTTCAGCAACCAAATTTATTTACTAACCAACTTGATAAATTGTCTATTGCATTAGTAATCTCAGGGTGGCTTCCAACTAATGTAGAAAGCATAGCATAAAAGATTGTTGTAACAATTAGTGCCCATGGAAACACAATGCCTATAGTTTCCCTAACAAATTAGGCACTTGATCATTTTGCCAGGGTCATTGAGGAAGTCTCCAGAAATAATACTGGGTCCATTAACTCCCTCCTGTCACAGACTCCCAGTCCTTAAAAATGGGAGGTGAGGGGAGGGAAGATGGGAACGGAACTGTATATTCTGAAACAGGGTGCGTCTGACTAGTTGCAACCCTGAACCAGAATGCTCCACAATGCAACGTTTTGTTCCCAGGTTTGTTTCTGGCAGGCAGAAAGACAGGATCAGAGATGGGGAACTGGATCTGGTCCACACTTCTTCACGGGTCACTTTTGGCAGGTTGACAGGGCTGTCCACCTGTCAATCACCAGACACCATACGAGGTCCAGTGTCAAACTTCAAGGGAAGAATCAGCAGTATTTGCTAGTGCACACCCAGCCCTCCCAACCTTGTTTCTACACACTCTCATGCACCCCTCTCTGCCCTCCATCCAGGCCAGCAACAGAGATTATCAAAGTTCAAGGGGGTATTCAGACCAGGCAAAAGCACTCAGAGTGGGTGGGAATTGGAGCTCGAAAGAGGTGCAGTCCAGAAGGGTGAGCGGAGCCTGGGAAGAACTCCAACCACCAGCCAGTGAGCTCTGGAGGCCGGTGTTTGGCTCCCAGGCCTGAGGCTCGCCTGCCCTATGTTGGGCACTCGGGGCCATTATGGGAGATTTGGAACAGTGCATTGTGCTCTACTGGAGAGCTGACACCAGGCCTGCTCTGAGATGGCAAATTTCACAAAGCAGCAACAGGAGCTGGAGAGAGGTGGCTCAACCCTCTCTCTTCCAGCTCCGTTTCCATTCAAAACAACCCACCTAGCTGCTTTTTGCCTCATGGGGCAAATCCAGGGACCTGGATCATTTCCTCTCCACGGATTGCAAAGTGTCTGGGAATTACTTTAAAGGGAATATGGTAACAAAAGTGTAGAGGAGCCCTTTCCACCAGCATTCCTCCACCCAAAATCAGATCAAAGCATCAGAAACTGCTGGGGTTTTGTTTTGTTTTTTAAAGCACCTTTGGAGAAAACCATGCCTGCCCATAATGCATAGTTTGAACCTCTTCTCGCTGGCTGTAAGATCTCATCAGCAACCGACACAAGCTTGCATATGCTCTCCTCCCGATCCTTGGTGTTATGTAATTAAATTCATCCCTTTCTATTTACTTCAAGTGACAGATTTCGCTTCCCATATTTGGACCTGAGTGAGTTTCTGCTGCAGGCTAAATAAAGGCATGATAAATAGCCCCAGTGTGCAATAATGACACCTTCTGTGGTGGTGTATTACAGCCCAGAAATGCTGTGTGATTCAGTGATAGGAACAGCTTTCTTCTTTTCGTCTTAATTTGGCACAGAGAGCTTATTTTAACAACAATGAATTCCTAAAATTGGGGAGGGGGGGGCTGGCAGCCTTCTCAGGAGAAAACAGTAGTATGCCCTCAGCAATTGGGAAGCCTGTCTTATTTTGGAAAACACAGAAGCATTTTCCTCTGAAATAGTGGTGCAGATAGGTAATTTAAGAGCACAGGGCTTTATTAATGCAGATTTTCCAGCAGTACAAACTATCTGTCAGATACCCCACACTAAAAAAGAAAAAAGTTGAATACATGCCAAGTGTATGGACAATGATTCTCCAGACGTCTAGACAGGGTCTTCCCTCAACCCTACCTAGAAATGCCAGGGATTGAACCTGGAACCTTCTGCATGCCAGTCAGGTCAGCCACTGAGCTTTGGTTGTTCTGAAGTTTTGGTCTGAGCCCACAGGGCTCTTAGGCTCTGTTGCGGACAAGAGCCTGCACTCAACATTAAGGACTAGGGAGCTGGCATGGCTGCACAAAGTAGAGGAAGGCAGTGCAGGCTGAAAAGAGAAGGGGCAAAGTCATGAGATTCTTGCTTTCTTTGCTGTTCTTTGATTTCTTTCTTTTGAAGTTGGTGAAGTGGAGGGGGGAACGTGTTGAGCTGTGCAATGAATAGTTGTGGCGGTGGGAAAATAAACAAAGCAGTGACATTTACAGGCTGCGGAGCATAACATCCAATGGAGCGAAGCCTCCGCTATTAATGCACGAGGCAGAACAGTTCACAGGGCAAATCTCCCATGCAGACGCCTTTGCCCCAAGGCCTGAGGTTCTCCACGCCTGCCATAAAGCATCTGAAGGAATCTTGGGGTGGTGATGATGCGGATTCATCTTGCAACCATTGACAAGGCCGGTTCAGCACCTGCAATTTCCACAGAGAAAAGGTCGCCCTTCGCATCGTCTTCAGACTCGGGTCGAAAAGGCTGAGCACAGGGTGTCTAGGATCGCAGGAGTTAACTTTTACCCTGAGCAGCGTGCAAAACCAGTTTTCCACGATGGTGACACCGGAATGCAAACTTCATAGGTTTAAAATGAGCTGTTGGCCCTTTAAATCAACCCTCTCCGTGCGCGTGCGCGACAAGGGGCATTGGCGGGGGCTGGGAAAGTGACTTAAGCCGCCTCCCCGCTTGCGGGTGTGACATCATCGCCGAAACTGCTGCAGCGGCGGCGGTCGGAGCCAGAAAGACAATAAATGTTGTGGTTCATAGATAGCATTTCCAGAAAAAAAGCGGCGCGGGCACTTGTTTTAGGCAACCCACCTCGCTTTAGGAGAGTTTTTCATTTATGCAGGCCTGGATAATGAATGGAATGGCATGTGAATATAGAGAAAACCGGTGCCTAATCTGAGCTTGCCGTTGACAGCGGAGGTCAGCCAACATCTACAATTTAAAATCTCAGCCTAAATAAATGGTACAAAATATTCTCAGGTCTACTTCACGACCTGATGGAACCAGTTTCCCCAGGTTGTGAAATAAAGACAGAAGAGCATAGCTAAGCATGCACAGAGTGCTGCCCCTCAACACTGGCTAACCACAAAGAGTTACCTAGGTGGTAGTGGCAGTTGGGATTTAATATTGCAAATGGGCTGTTGGCATTGTTTTTAAATTAGATTTTCGTGAAAAATGGGGCAGAAATAGGGGCTGGTATTGATGCTGATGTTTTGTGGACTGCAAAAAAAGCCTGCATGGGTGTGAACAGGCCCCATTCGATGATAAACACCCACCTGGAAGCAGTCTTAGTTACACTAACCATCTGATATATTTCAGAAGGCTGCTATTTTTGTAAAGCATATGGGCCAGCCACCAGCCTCAGTCCAACTCATTGGTAACCCTCAATGGTTCCCCTTGCACAACAATTCCCATTAATCGAAGCCAGCATAGCCAATGGTCAGGGATAACAGGAGATGGAGCTCAATACATCTCAAGGGCACCAAATTGGCCATCCCTGATCTAACCTACCTCTTGGGTTGTGAAGATAAAATGGGAACATTCCCCATATAAGTCGTTCTGAGCTCTTTGGAGAAATGGGAAGGACTCTCATTTGAGGAGTGTGCTTCAGACTGTGGTGCAGATAGGAGTCATTTTAGACTCTACATTAGCTCATGGGGAACCCAGTGGGCCATGTCTTTATATCACCCTACCCTGTGGGACAACTTTGACAATAATTGCATCAGGGGATTGACAAGTGCCCGCTGGCAAAAGTTGGCCCATGGGGGTGGGGAGAGTGACCAAGGAGGATCAAGCTTGCTTTCTGTAGGAATCAGCTGCACAATTTTACCTGCTCAATGCCTGATGACACTTATGACATCAGATGTGGACAAGTGGGTGGGGTTTGTTTTGTTTTGTTTTTTAAAAGGTCTTGCAGGCCAAATGGGGACGACTCACGGGCCAAATCTGGCCTGTGAGTCGATGGTTCCATATCCCGGTTCTGGACAGGGGAAGAGCAATGTGTATTGGCACCACTTCCTTCAACATATGTTAAGCCAGCCTGGCTGCTGCATTAGAGGTCACCTCCTGAACCGGGTTGCATATTAAAGAGTGGCGACGCAGGGAAGACTAGAGAAGCAGCAGTGTCTGGCATCCTTGGACAGTCCAGATCCCCAGCTGGTTGCTGAAGTCCACTGCTGACATCTGCTTTTGAACCACCCTTTTAAAAAATTCTGGCCCGGTGCTCCGAAGAGCCACTATTTTCGAGTGGGATTCAATTATGTGCCAGCAAATTCAGCTTGCACATTTAGTTGATTGAGAGGTTTTCTGCAACAAAGGTTTCCCAAAGGTTGGACTTTTTGTGATAAAGTGGTGAGGAAAGGCACTGGAAAATGTGGGATAAACACCTGCTTGAAGAAGCAACGTCATCTAACTGCCCCACAAACAAGTCCAAATGAACCTTCAATGAACAGGTTGTCTGAACAAAATATAAAAAATTCCTTCCAGTAGCACCTTGGAGACCAACTAAGTTAATTATTGGTATGAGCTTTTGTGTGCATGCAGATTTCTTCAGATAGGTTGTCTGAAAGCTACCTGAGTTAAATTTCCCATAATGCCCTAGAGCAAAACTATGTCACAGGCATTGTGGGAAATTAAAAGGATGGCTAGAGTCAGCTGTCTGCTGCTGCCTTGAGTGCTGTTGCTTCCACCATTAGGTAAACCCACCAGGACCTACCAATGGACATGGGGGGAGGGCTCATGACATGATGCTTTGCGCAGAGACTCCTCAAATCTGGAGGAGACCCCATACATGGGCCATTTGGGGCATACTTTGTGCAATAAAAGATAACTACATTAAATAATATTGCATGATCAAAGCAAATAAAAGGTTGCAGATAATGGGAAACACAAAGCATTTCTTCTGAGTAACAAAACACACTAATTAAAACTGGCAGATACAACAAAACAGATTCAAACAACCATCTATTAAGTAAAAACAACAACAATTGCAGAATCACATACACAGATTCAGATCTAAAATGCTTATCTTCCCCCAAGGCTAGATGTATGAATGAATATAAAATTATATACTAAAACAAGTAAAAATAAGTACAGAAGGTGCAAGTCACAAATAAAATATACTGCAGGGGGTTTGGGTTTTCATTTGGGGGTTACTGGGGGCTATTCAAGTTTGTATAACTATCCGGCTATGGTGCATTAGAGAAAAGTGATTAGAGCCTGTGTGGCTTAGGGGTTAGAGCATTGGACTAGGATGTGGGAGAACAGGGTTCAAGGGCTCACTCAGCTAGGAAGCTCAGGGTTGTTATGAGGATAAAATGAGAAGGGGGGAAACCATGTACACCACCTAGACCTAGAGCTCCTTGGAGAAAAGGGTGGGGTACAAGTGCAATAAATATAATAAAAAATGATGCTCCACAAAAATATTTTCTGGTCTATGTGTTTAATTCAGCTTCCACCTGATATGGTATCTGTGGTGTGTCTGAAGAACAGCAGGAGCAGTGGTTGTTAATGGCAGGCACAGCGCATCAAATATATTTGTAACTGGATTTTATTACTACTTTTTATTTCTGTCAAAGATGTCAAAGAGGAAAACAACTACCAGACTTTTAGAAGACACCTGAAGGCAGCCCTGTTTAGGGAAGCTTTTAATGTTTAATAGATTATTGTATTTTAATATTCTGTTGGAAGCCGCCCAGAGTGGCTGGGGAAACCCAACCAGATGGGCGGGGTATAAATAATAAATTTATTATTATTATTATTATTATTATTATTATTATTATTATTATATTTTCTATTGTGATTTCTATTGTATTTTATGGAACTCAAATTGTAATACAATAAAATGCAACCTTACAATGAAAAACCATACAGCATCTGACACAGTGCACTACAATGGCTACAACAGGTAGAAAAATTGTTAAGTGATCCACCAAGACCGTCAGCCATTTCCCCCAATGGTGGGGAGAAGAGTTTGGAAACCAGTGCCCCAAACATTCTGGTTATGCTATTTCTGTAATCCATGTATGCTGGCTGTTTGGCCATAATAAACATTTATTCATTCATTTCTGTAGTCCATATTGGTGTCACCTCTGACTTCTGCAGCTGGCCAAGGTGACAGGTGTCAGTCTGAATGAGGCAACACTTGGATGGTGAAGACAAAGGACTCATCTGGCTATGACTTTTTTGGGGGGGGCGGTCTCTGGGGAAGAACTTGTCTAGTGAGCCCCTTTCTTTTTTTGGACTTCTGCCGTGAGCTAACCTAAGTGCAATCAGCATGTGTGCTTCAAGCAAGGCTAGTTGCCACCATTTTAAATTTCCCACAGTGCCCTTGAACACCTCTGGTGAGAGCAGTGTGGGAAATTAAAATGGCAGCTGGATCAACTGGCTTGGTGCAGCTCAAAGTCCAGGAGTCGATTTGTTTTGGGGTTTGTTTGATTTTAGAAATGAGGTGGGTTAACACCCCAAGCCCCACAGCTGGAGGGCAGTGCTGTCCACACACTTGAGTAACCCCCAGATGGAGCCATTTTAGATAGACAGGGTGCTGGGACCATGGGCATAGCCAGGATTTTTGTTAGTGGGGGGGCAGAACTTCAGTTTGCTATGGATTTATATTGATTAGGGGGGCAGCTGCCCCTCCCTGACCCCCCTTGGCTATGCTCATGACTGGGGCCAAGGCAGTTGCCCCAGACTGCCAAGTGCCGGTGCCAACTTTATGCCCCCTCATAATCACGTGCCAACACGCTCTGGCCCACTTGTTGGTAGTGAGGTGCACCATCCCCTGGGGGTAGCAGAGCAGCCCTCCTTTTTACACTTACCTGCTGGGAGTAAACCTAACGGACGTCAATGAGGCTTACTTATGAGCAGACGTGGCTAAGATTCCCCTAGGAGTCCTGACAACCTTCTGCCTGGGAAAAAGGGGGGACTTAAGCAGTTGGCAGAAAGTTAGGATGTTGGGCTCCTGTATACCGTGCCATCTTTGGCCCGTTTCGCTTTAGAGGTTTTCTACACTTGTGCTAGAATTACAGAACAGAATTACGGGAACAGAGTTAAGAAGCAAACAAGTCAAGCAGAAGGTTAAAAGCTGTTTTAAGTGGCGAATGCGAACGCCGAAGGCTGTTTGGGAGGATATTGTAAATGCAGTCAATAAACACAATAGATTCATTCAGTGGGATCTCCCGCACGCACAGCTGGAAGGCAAGTGCTCCCTACTCTCTTGAGTAACGCCCAGATTGGGCCCGTTTTTATTTCTTAAAAAAACACCTTGTCTCCTTGCCCTCCCCTCTTCCCATCTCCCCTCCGGCCAGGCAAGCAACGGGTGGAGCCTGATCCGGAGAGAGACGCACACAAAGCCGGCCTCCTCCTCCTCCTCCCGTCCCCCCCGGCCGGGAGGAGCCTGATTCAGAGGCGCCGGGGCAGACGAAAAGCCAAGCCGCCCGCCCTCCCTCTTTCGCCACCAGCCGGCTTTGCTTGCAGAGAGGAGGAGCGAGACGGTCGCCGCCTGCCATGCACCTCTTGCCGCAAGGGGAGAGGAGCGCTGCCAGGATACAGACCCGTCGGGTAGGCGAGTGAGGAGGAGGCGACAGAGAGAGAGAGAGAGAGAGAGAGAGAGAGGAGGGAAAAAGAGGGGGACACCTGATTTCTCCTCCTGTACCCCCGGAGTGAGTCGCGCTTTCTCTGCGTCCTTCTGGATGCCGGCTTGAACCGGGGCCTCCTTTTGCAAAACGCTGCCTGGCTTGTTTTTTCCCCCCTCCCCTCCTTCTTGTGGGGGCGCTGCTGATTTCCATCCCCCTCCCTTTGCTCCTTCCATTGAATCTTTTTTTTGGGGGGGGGTTGTTCTGCGAGTGCGCGCGCTGCCGTTGCCTGGATTGCAACCACCTCATCTTACTCTTCCTTGAAATCGATTTTTTTCCACGTGATCTAATAGATCAACTCTTCTCTTTTCCTCCGGAGCAGAGGTGGTGTGTGCGTGTGCTTGCGGGCTGCTTTTTCCTTCTGGAAGGGGAGATGCGAAGGGTGTGGAGGTGATGGACGCGAAGCGATGGCATAGGAGCGCGGCTCTGGTTTGCAGGAGAGGCGGCGGCGGCGGCAGCAGCGATTCCTCCGAGGCGTCCAAAACGGCACCATAACCGGAGATCGGGTTTTTTTTCCAGTAGCGGGGCGGCGGTTGCTAAGGAGAAGCGGAGCGGCCTTTATATTGCATTTCTCTCCCCGCCCCTCCTCCTCGCAGTCCCTTTTTTCTATTTAAAAGAAACAAGAAAAAGCAACCCGCTCTCCTCTCCCCTCCCCCCCTTCAGTTTCTCTCTGATGAAAATGGATCCGGATTTGCTAATGACTCTTTCCGATCCAGGGACCAAACCGGATCGAGAGCCGCTTCTGACGCTGGGGCCCCTCCAGAATGGGAAATACCTCCTCCTGGAGCAAACGAGAGGACCGGCTTTGCCCAGCCCCGAACTCGTGCTGCTTTCCCGGGAAACAACCGCGGGAAACACCGCCTTGATCTTGCCCGGAACAGGGGACATAAAAAAGCCTTTGGCCCTGGAGCGGGTCCTGAACGGGATGAAGCTGGGTGAGATGGAGCGCCGCCAAGCCTTGTTCCCCGACGGCCCCCTTGAATTTTTGTACCGCGTGGAGAAGGAGCCGGAGGAGGTGGACCCGGAGGCCCAGGGGCCAATCAGCGACGGGGAAACCGGTTCAGGTGTGGGCGATAACAGTAATCCGGATAGCCCTGGGGAGGGTTTGGATTTGAGGCTTGCCCCTGTCCGGGATGGGTTGGCCTTGGAGGAAAGCACAGCGTTGAGGGAAGAGGAGCAGTTGGTCTCCTGCTCCTCCAGCCAGGCTGAGTCTCCAGTTCCTCAGGATTTACAACCGGTTGTAGAGGAGTGGAGTGAAGGAGAACCCTTTCCACAACCCCAGGAGCCTGTGGAAGGTGGTGGGGAACCCTTGATCTTGGCTGGTGAGCCTTCTCAAGAGGAAGAGGAGGAGGAGGAAGGCCCCTTAGACAGAGGCCTTCCAAGCCCCCCTTGGACTAAAGATATGGATGGCTGTGACTCTCAAAAGTGTCCGCAGAGCCCTTTGCTGCGGCCTTTGGATTTGGCTCTAGCTCCCCAAATTGGCACGGGAGTGGACCTCTTCCCTGCTTTCCATTCTCCCAATAATCTCAGCCCACACCTTGAATTTGGGCACACTGAACACATAGAGGATGAATCTCCAAGTTCTCCAGATGATGCTCCCCGACTCCGACCTGTCTTCGATGCCCTGGACCGTGATGGTGATGGATTTGTCCGGATAGAGGAGTTTGTCCAGTTTGCTACGGTTTATGGAGCAGAGCAGGTAATAGGGTTTTCTTTTTCTTTTTTTAAGGCTAATTTTGTTGAGGGTTGATGGCTTCTCTTCTGTATAGTGAATTACCCTGTGCTTTAAAATATGTGTATCTGATATAAATCTTATTCTGTTCTGTAGCCAAGCCAACACATAACTTTGGTTCTATGAGGGAGGTTTTCATGGATGCTTCAAGTGTTGAATTGAGGAAGAGCAGTTGTATTGAGCAGTTCCAGCCAATGCTTATGCTCTTAATGGCACTCTCATTTCACAGCCCAGCCTATTCATGTTTACTCAGAAGTAAGCCCCAGAGAGGCCAGTGAGGCTTACCTTCAAGTCAAGTCTGGTAAGATATTCTACTGCACAGCCACCTTACGTCAAGTGGAACTTAGTACTCAAGTGTAGCCAAGTTACATTGACACCTGAGACAGAAAGTCTCACAAGTGCCTCTCCATGGGAGTAAATATACAATGATAATTGACTTATGATAACGAAAACAAATAACTAATGACTTAGCCTTTCATGATGTCCTAAATTGGTTGCCTGGGGAGGCTGTCTCATGATGTCTAATAGCAGGACCAGCGCTGACTTAGTACGGGTAAAAAGAGTGCAGCCTTAGGCCCAGTTTATACCAGTAACAAGGCTTTCTTCTGAGCTTGTCTGTTTTAGGCCACTGAGAAGGTGAGGCCTAGCCAGCTCTACCACAGGCATAGTCAAACCTGGCCCACTAGATGTTTTGGGACTACAATTCCCATCATCCCTGACCACTGGTCCTGTTAGCTAGGGATCATGGGAGTTGTAGTCCCAAAACATCTGGAGGGCTGAGTTTGACTATGTCTGCTCTACCATATATACAAGGCATTTTCCACTGTGCGTTTGGATGGGGAAAGCATTCACACATGGCTGTTTTGACCTGTAGGAAAAAATGACATAGGCCGTGAAAAAAACCCCAACTGTGGCTTGATTTTTATTTTTTGTATATAGAAATGGGGCCAAAGGCTCTGGAAGCTTTTAATTTCTTCATCTGCTGTGACCATCACCTATGTGTGTAACTGTGATCCCACCTACTTTTAAGTGGTATTATGGAATCTGATCAAATTTGATATCTACTTTTGTGCTTGGTGTGTATCTGCTTCCATAGACGCTCTCATCTTGAACAATAGAGAGAACCATGAAAGGAAGGGGTTGGGAAAAAATTGCCTTTGTAGCCTTCTTTACATAAGGCTGTAGTCCTAACCCTGTTTATGTGGGAGTAAGCCCCATTGAATTCAGTAGGAGTTACTGCTGAGTAGCTGTGCTTTGGTTTGTGCTGTCAGTCTTCCAATTGGCTGTAGAGATCTGATGAAACAGTAAAAAGACTAGAGTTGATGTGAGGGGCAAATTCAGATCTGCCACAGGTGTGCCAACTTAACTTTCTTTAATTGGCTGGGAGGGTCTGCTGTTTTTACCTACTAGGTTTAACCTGGGGTGAAATGTCGGTTGTCTAGTGCCACCTATTCTTAAGGGACTTATTGAAGATTGCTTGAAAGCGCACACACTTCTTTACAAACTGGGACTTTAATTTTGCCCTTTCAAAGTGCAGTTGTGGCAAATATGAATTCTCCATGGCTTTTGGGCGTGTTTGAGCCTGGTGGTGATGATAAATCTGGACGACTCACTGGCTGCAATAAGCAACTTTGCTGGTAATGCCTGGTCATGTTTTGTTGCTGTGTTAAAGACTTCTCCACTCTTCCCTCATCCTGTTTGTGTTAAGGGGAGGGATTACCTTCTTACAGACTTGCAGTGACATTGATTTGCACTTCCATTGCAGTTTTGGGATGATTGTTCCTAAGAGATAGGATGGTGTTGTACCAAATGTCTTTTTGTTGCTCCCAACTGCCCAGCATGTTTGAATGCTTCTGAGGACACCTGCAGAAGACCAGGTCTTTGAACATTCTTCCTTATTGGTTTGCAGGGAGATTAGCCAACATTGACTATTCAATGAGCATTCGTTCTGATCTGTTTTCCGGGAGGTTAGACAGTGTTGCATGAAAGTGAGTGTTATCTGACACTTCCCAGTGCATTATTGCTGTTGTTGCTTTGCTTATTGCAAAAAGTCCAGTCCTTTGTGGAACCAGGTTTGTTGTGCAAGACCTGCTTCCACAAAGATCTACTGTACAGTATATCGGTTACCTGAATTTGTCAGTATGCTATTGAGTGCCACCCGAAAACAGTGATGGTCTGGAAGTCCTTGCTGCTGCTTGGAAAATAGTGACTGTCTGGAAGTGCCTCGAGTTTCTTTCCAAGTCCTGTTGGCTACTGAACGTTCTTGATTACTGTGCCCTGCTACATGCCGTTGAAGAGTGTGGCCTGGCTCTTTCACATGAGCACCTAGCATATATATTTGCTCTGCAATCTCTCCTCCTGTGGCCTGGATTGCATGACACCCTAAATCATGGCTTGCAGCCTTTGGGCTTGTCCCCAGTCCATTCTACCTGTTGCACCATACTGAGCTGTCGCCAAAGGTTGGCTTAGTATGTCAGTGCTTGCAACAGCTTATTGGAGTTGAAGTCCCAAACATGGAAGATACCATCTTGGCCTTCTCTAACAAACTGGAAGGGAGCCCACCTGCTCAAAAAACAACATTGGGGGATGTAGTCCAGATATTGCTGGACTACAGCTCCCATCGCTGCTGATCTTTGGCTATGCTGGCTGGAGCTGATGATGGGAGTTGTAGTCCAGCAATATCTGGAGATTTCTTGGTCTAGGGCCTCTCTCTATCTTTCATTTTAAAATGCCTGCATCAGAAACAGGACTGGTTTGTGTGTACCAAAGCCTTTCCTTTGAATTTTCAGCTGTCTTCTGGAGGTCTCTCACCCTTGAGGAATAAATGTGCAAGCAATTTCTCAAACCTATGTGCTTTAAAAAAAATGAGGGGGGGAAATGAGGAAAGAAAAAGAAATAAGCTTATTTCGTCTACATGAATTTGTGGCTTCTTCTAGTTCAGTTTCTGCTGCTCCATCAACCAAGGATTCCACCTCATAGCCATAGCGGGGCAGTGTTGTGCAGTGGTTTGAGGGTCAAACCGAGGAGCGATCTAGTTTCAGATGCCTCCTTACTGAAGAATCTCGCTTGAGTGTCCTCAGGCTAGCCTCTTTGCCTGTCCTACCTCACAGGGTTATTTTGAAGATAAAATACATTTTTGTAGGGTGAGGTCAGAACTGCCTATGCCGCCTTGACCTCCTTGTAGGAAAGGTGGGAGTAAAAAGTCATGCCGTGATAACATTTCTGACGGTATGCCTGACTTTTTTGTTTGTTCTTCAGGGACAAACTGTGCCTGCATAAATTACAGGTGGGCAGTGGCGACTGGTGCCCCCTGGGGCTGGTAGGGCAGGAGGCAGGGAGACCAACAGCAGGTGGCGCCAGAGCCAATAACAGGAAGGAGCAACCCCCTGACTGGCTGTAAGTAAGAAGGGAGGCAGGTGGGGCTGCCTGAAATTGGTGCGGGGCAATGCCCCAATCACCCTAGTGGACCAGCCTCTACTGCAGATGGGAGCATCAGCTTTGCGATGCTAAATTGTGCACACCTGGAGACACCTGGGAAACATGAATTGCATACCTGGTCCCCCACTCCCCATCTCCCACCTAGATTCCCATTAAAACAAATGTTGCTAGGTTTGGGAAATTTGCTATCTGTTTGCATTGATACTGGCATGACTTTAGCTTTCAGAATATCACTTTGCTGCAGGTGAAACCTGCTGCGATTTTCTATGTGATGCAATCAAAAATTGGGTGGGGGGGGGTGAATAGTGAAGGGTAAACAGTGATTTCAAAGAGCAGGAGGAGTTCTGGCACGTGTTTGCATAATGCTAGCCTAAAACTGTGCTACAAATCATTATTCTGTAGGGTGTGTGCCTGGGTGTAACTCTTGAGATGTGCAGTTGCAGGTAGCCTACTTTATTCTCGGTGAAGATGCTGTAATTGGTCTCTTTTTTAAAAAAATCAAAAAAATCCAAATTGGACACCTTACCTTTCCGTTTGCTTAGAAGATGTTGGAAATGGGAGTTCTAAGAGAGGATGTCTGAGTGGAGTAATGTGGCATAATAAAAATGAGAGTAATCCAGCAGTGTCTTGAAGGCAAGATGTCAAAGGCGTTCTACATCAAGGCTTGTGTGGGTGTATATATAGCTCTATTACACACACCATATGGGAGCTATTCAGCCTAAACAGTTGGCTGAGATGGCATTCCTTCACGTGGATTTAATTCTCATTACAGGTCGTCGTGCTTATCTCACAGGTTTGCATTTTTTTAAAAACCCTTTGAAGTCACCTTAATTGCAATTAATCACCCTTGGGGCTCCCATAGTGTGCATTTGAGGCTCTTCAAAGAGTGTGCCAATGTGATCTTGGATGTCATTGCAACAGTTGTGTAATTCTGATGCTTAGGCTGTGACTGCCATTGCTTTCTGTAGCCAAAACAGCAGCACCTACACACTGGAGGGAGCCATTGGCAGACTTGGGGGAATCCTGACAAGAAAGGCATTGTCTAGGTAGTGTTAACCCCTGAAGCGGTTACTTCTTTTGTTTTGCTTTGGAAATGTTAGTCCTCTAGTTGAACCTCCAAAATGATATTGGGCATGAACTACTGGGTTGACCAGTAGTATTGTCAAAACACTCCAGTCAATGGAAAGGTCTCCTCCATCATCTTTAGAAGGCTGCTTCTGCTGTTGGCCTGGTTTGGGAGGGGACATAGCTTAGTGGCAGAGCATATGGTCTGCATACAGAAGGCTGCAGGTTCAATCCTTGGCATTTCCAGGTAGGGCTAAAAACCTGGAGAGTTTCTGCCAGTTAGTGTAGACAATACTAGACTAAACAGACCAGTGGTCTGACTCTGTATAAGGCCACTTCCAATGTTCCAAGCAAAGATCACTCTCCCATCACCTCCTCTCATTGAATGCTGGCTCTGTCCCAAAGATCTTGGTTTTCTGTTAAGCCAGAGTTCCTTGTTCCATCTGAACCGGGCTTAAACCAAGCTAGAGTTTACTGGTTCAGGCACCTCTGTGAATCATGGATTTTCATGTCAAAAACAGTGTGTGGGGGGCAGAGCATTTAGCCCCAAGCTTGTTCCAAACTTTGTTCTTTTGGAGCCCAGAACCACCAACCAGCCTGAACCATTCCCTGCCTTCACTTCAGATATCTGAACATGGTTGGAAGGATCGAAGCACATTTCTGTTCCTCTACTCTCCACTTTCTCCGGCTGGATAGGAGTATAAGCAGCTGCCTTAGAGCAGTTCAGACTGTTCAGCTGGGTTAGGGGTAGGGAACACTTTTGGCTCATCAAGCCAGAGCTTTTTCTCCTTCCACCAACCCTTGCAGATCTACTTTGATAGTGGGACATGACATTCCCCACCTATCAGTAGTCTGGAATCATCTGTCAATCATCGCAGAACAACCCTGTGAGGTAGGTTAGGCTGAGACTAAATGTCCCATTGGCCTGAGAGTTCCCCCAGAATTCTTCCTATCTTCTTACATCTGGAAAAATGCTTTTCTCACCTTTATTGTGATCCTCTGTGAGAGGCAGAAATTCACCAGCTTGCAAATGGACAGGAAAGAACAGTTCCCTGCAGTCTCAGGTTTTAATCCTAACTTTAAATCCTACCTGGTGTTTTTTTTTTAAAAAAAATTATAGATTGATGCTCCTCTTCAATCTCTCTCCTTAAATTTCATCCTTTTCTTCCCCACTGTATATCGTTTTCCATGGGGGTTTTCTGTTCTGCCTTGAAAAAGAAATCGTTCAAATATTCATGTACCAAACCAGCAGCTTCCAATCATTCGCTGCTTTGCCCTGGTCACTTGCAAAACTATTATCTCTGACCCGTTCCTTCACCCTGAGTTTAATTCAACCATCTTGCATGTATTTAAAACCCTTTCTATTCCACTTCTCACAGAGATGATGACAAGGCAGTTCACAAAATCGAAGACCAATACTATAAAACAAGGCAGCAAAGTAAAATATACAAATACAAGGCCCAGCAGGTTGCGGGGGTAGGGTGGGGGTGCATATCTGGTATTAAAATATCCCAGGAATGCCTTTTAAAATTATTGCACCTTGCAGCTTTTGGTCTGGATATCTTACTGTGTTTTAATTTGTAATTTAATACCCAGAGTGCTTGGGGTAACCCAGTCAGATGGACGGTGTATTAATAATAAATAAATAAATAATTCCAGTTTGCCTTTTATCTCGCAATGGTGGTTTCCTGGATGTGCAGTACTTAGAGCTGCACATAGAAAATCTGTATTGAACTGAACAGATGTATCCTTGGAAGAGTGTGCTAGATTTTCATTTTAAAGATACCCTAATTTATGGAATATAGGGACGCGGGTGGCGCTGTGGGTTAAACCACAGAGCCTAGGACTTGTCGATCAGAAGGTCGGCAGTTCGAATCCCAGCGACGGGGTGAGCTCCCGTTGCTCGGTCCCTGCTCCTGCCAACCTAGCAGTTTGAAAGCACATCAGAGTGCAAGTAGATAAATAGGTACTGCTGTGGCGGGAAGGTAAATGGTGTTTCCGTGCGCTGCTCTGGTTCGCCAGAAGCGGCTTAGTCATGCTGGCCACATGACCAGCTCCCTTGGCCAATAAAGCGAGATGAGCGCCGCAACGCCAGAGTCTGCCACTACTGGACCTAATGGTCAGTTGTCCCTTTACCTTTACCTTAAATTATGGAATACAATTGGAAGTACTGTGGAAACACAGAATCCTTCTGCTCATGTTGCCAGGTAGTGAGCCTTCTTTCAGGGAAACTCCATTTCATTTCATACCCCCCCCCCCAAAAAAAAATATTGGTCTGTGTTCTGTGGCTGTTGATCGTGTTCAATCTTCACTGGACTGTTTTTGTACTCCATTCAGTTTTTGCTGAATGTTCTCACTGCTGCCCATCTGAGTAGGGGTGGGGAACTTTGGCCTCTCCAAGTCTCTCTATTTGGCCCTTGGGAGGCTCCCTGGTCCCCCTGTTCTCCCCAGGCCACACTCTTCATTACCTGTGATTTTGTTTGTCTAGAGAAGGGGTGTCTAACTTCAAGAGACTGTGATCTACTCCCACTATAAATACAGTGGTGCCCCGCAAGACGAATGCCTCGCAAGACGGAAAACCCGCTAGACGAAAGGGTTTTCCGTTTTTGAGTTGCTTCGCAGGACGAATTTCCCTATGGGCTTGCTTCGCAAGACGAAAATGTCTTGCGAGTCTAGAGATTTTTTTTTCGCTTTCCCCCCCCTTTATCTAATCTGCTAAGCCTTTAATAGCCTTTAATAGCCTTTTAGCAGCTAATCCGCTAAGCCTTTAAGCCTTTAATAGCCGCTAAACCGCTAATAGCGCTAATCCGTTAAGCCGCTAATAGGGTTGCTTCGCAAGACGAAAAAACCGCTAGACGAAGACTCTCGCGGAACGGATTAATTTCGTCTTGCGAGGCACCACTGTAAACTGACAGTGATCTACCCATTGGATTGACCAGAGTTGTTGAGCTTTTTTAGGGGTGGATTAGCCAAAGTTGTTGATCGACCGGTAGATCGCAATCGACCTGTTGGACACCCCTGATCTAGAGTATGTAGGCCCCTCCAGTCTCCATATCTGGCCCTTGGAAATCTTCCCCAAGCCATGCTCCTCTCTACTTTGAACCCTCCTTGAATGTTCCTGCCTGCCTGTCATGTGTCCTTAAACTCCCACAATGCCTCTTGCTTACCTGGCTAGAGGACAGAAGGAGCATGCGTAGAAAGTAGCCTATTGTATTCATATTTGTTGCTCTGCCCACTTTTTCTGCAGGCCCCGCCATCTTTGGCATGTAGCCTCCAAAAGGTTCCCAGAAGGGAATGTGGCCCTTGAGCTGAAAAAGGCTTTCTGCTCTTGTAGAAGGGCCATAGCTCAGCAGTAGAGCATCTGCTTTCCACCCAGGTTCAATCCCCGCCATCTGCAGGTAGGAATTGGAAAAATTATTGTCCTGACACACCCGGAGAGCCATTTCCGGTCAGTGAAGCCAATCTTGAGCTAGATGGACCAATGGACTGACTTAGTAGAAGGCAGCTCCTTCTGCTCATAACATGTCTGGAGAGATTTTGGAATGTAATGGGCTCCTCCTTCAGCGGCTGGCGAAAAAGGAAAGCCCAGGAGTTCCCTGTCTTGCGCTAAGTGAGCTGTTTGACCAAAGCCCTTTGGGCTTCTGAGCTCTCTTTGCTCCAGGTAGCTTCTGCCAAGAACTCTGCCGTAGTGATAATAATGTAGGGGAAAAGACCCTGGCAGGCCTAACAAGGATGTAGATTACACTCCCTCCCTTCTCTTCTGAATATTGCGGTTTTTCTTCTGTGGTGCAAGAGAGAAGAGCGGGATCCTCCCAGAGTCTGGTTTGGCTGAAAGGATTTATCAGGCTGAGAGCCAGCATCAGGCCTGGCCACGGAAGCTGCCGTTGCAGAAGTCTGTACCCTCTGATCTCAGGCTGCCATGGGGTGGTCCAGCCACTTGGAAGGCCAATTATCTCACTCCTACTGTGGTGGGAGCTGTGGGTTAGTTACCTTTATGGCTCTCTTCTCTGGAGTGCAGTAAGTCATTCTTCCGGCAGATTTCCAGCATGCTGCTGCCCATGCAGTTAAAGGCACAGGCCATGGCTTGCGCTCTGGAACGAACACATGACATTCATCCTTCGGGTTTAATCGATTTAAATGACAATGGAAAGCCTTGCAGTGCTTGTGGCTTTGGAAGTAGGTTTGAAGGCAGCACATGAGAAAAAAGAGCACCTGATTTGTAGGTATGTTCCACTGCTGGGACACAAGTTTTTTGAAAACCTGGAAACGCTTTATGGGGAAGGGATGTCTTGAAGAGGGCAGGTCTCCCATAGTCTGCACCAGCTCCTGATAATTTTCTGTGGCTGCTATTTGTAAATTATAAATAGCATTATAACTGGCACACACACACATACACACAGAGAGATATATATAAAAATCAGCGTGGTCCATAGGGGGCCACCCAAGTCACCATGTGTCTTACCCAAATTTTTCTGCTCCCATGCTTTTCACAGTGTTGGGAGCACCATTTCAGTGAGGAGGAAGGTGCACAGGGAAGGTCACCAGGGCTGCCTATACACTGTAGATGTAAATCACGTTCTCCTCCAAAGAATCCTGGGAACTGTAGTTTAAGGGTGCTGGGAATTGTAGCTCAGTGGGGGCAAGTTACACTTCCCAGTATTCTTTGTTTGGAGGGGCATGTTTTTTCAACGTGCTTTAAATGTATGGTGTGTATTCAGTCCGTGGACTGGGAGGAGTGTTATTGCGATGGGGAGACTGGTGCCTTGAGAGGGGTTACTCTTCCCTGTGAGGGTGAATGAATGAGCCCAGGCAATTCCCACTGCTGGCTCCAGTGCTCATTGGCATGTGGTCCCTGGTCACCACCCATTGTGGTCATGGGCAGTCAGAAAGGTTGCCCTGCCTCATCCTGCAACACTTCTTTCCCTATCCCTGCTGCTTCCAAGGAGCTCCTGGTGGCTATATAGAGTTCTTCACCTTCTGCTGTTACCTGCACAACAACCCTGTAATTTATGTCTTGAGTGAGAAGCCCAAGGCACACAGTGAACTGAGTGAGGATCCGCACCTGGGTCTCCCCACTCCTAATCAGCTACTTCACATAGACAGCACCCCATCCTTTCGTCCTTTGCCACGGGGTAGCAGGATAAATCAAAGCAGCCCTCTGAAAATGTATACCCATTTTGCAGAAACCTGAATTTTCTTAACTGTTGACTATTAGGTTATTTTGAGGGGAGAGGGGAAAAGGAGCTCACAGCTTCCTGCTTCTTTGGCAGCAAACGGAAAAAGAATCAGACCTTTGCAATGCCCATCAATCTCTTCCTGACACTTAACCATCTGAGGAAAGATGTTTCACTTGTGATACACGCCTATCTCAAGATACAAGTGAAAACTCGGAGGAGTGTCTCATTTTGGAACAAAGTAGGCGGTGGAGGAAATATCTTGTTGAAAACAGAGCTCGCTGCATAGTTCCAGGAAGAGGAAAAATTGATTTGAGGCTGTTCATATTTGCGGTTGTTGTTTCAGCCAGAACAGTAGTCTGTCCAGACTTTTGGTCCAGAGCATGTGTATAGAAGCTCGAAATGATTTCCTGCCCTTCCCCCATTGTGTCCTGCCCGTCCCCCTCTGGTAAAGTCAACAGCAGCATTGTATTATCCCAGCTATTGGTTTCAGGCAATGAAAGCCTTTGCTTGAAAGGGCAGCAAATAACTAAAAACTTGCCAGTTCAGTTTTGTGCTCTATTCTTTAACAAAGATGACCTGTCTTCATGGCCAGCTTCAACAGGGCAGCCACGGTGTTGGTGCTTTTTTTGGAGGAACACCAATCACCAGTGAGGTGCATTGCAGAACACGCATGGTGAGACAACTTTGCAAAGTTGCAAAGGATGCTGGGAGCTCTCTTGAGAGGGGAAATTAAACTCTGCCTCCACCTTATTGACAGCGCTTGGGAAACAACCCATTCTTTAAGAATAAAAATATACTAGCTCATGGTGACCCTCTCTCATGTTATGCTGCTACTCTCTGGTCATGTTTGCACCATGCATTTGAGGCACTATACTACCACTTCAAACAGTCTCCACAAGGAATTCTGGGAGCTGTAGTTTGTTAAGGGTGCTGACTTCTATTTCCCTTCCAGAGATACAATTCCCAGAGTTCCCTTCAAAGAGGAATTACACCACTCTGGGAATTGTAGCTCTGTGAGGGGAATGGGAAGTCTCCTAAAAACAAACTACAGCTCCCAGAATTCTTTGGGGGAAGCCATGATTGTTTAAAGTGATATCTTGGTGCTTTAAATGTATGCTGTGAATGTGGCCATTGCCTGCCTGTGCCGTTGCTGAGGTTTGCCAGTGGCACAGACCAGGCTTTCCCCAGTGTGGGCAACTTGTGGCCCTCCAGCCCTTGCTGGACTCAGAGGCTTCCTATCATCCCTGACCATTGACTGTCAGCTGTGCTGGCTGGGACTGATGGGAGTTGGAGTCCAGGAGAATCTACAGAGCCACCAGTACCTCATCTCTGCCATAAGCACAGTGCAGCAGCCGACAATATATAGGTTCACGAGGGGTGCATGGCTTATTTATGTTTAAACAGCGTTGAGAAATGCTGGTGTCATGTATTGAGGTGACGAGGATGACTTTTGAAACGGTTGCAGTGCAGAAAAATTGCAGGTTTGCCCCTCTGAAATCCAGGCTTCTTTGTTTTGTTAATGTCAAACCACATTCCGCATATGTTGACTCCGCTCTTATCTCTGATTTTTATGTTCAGTTCTGCTTGTTTGGCTTTGCTGGTGTGTGTGTGTTCAGCAGTTTCGGAGGGGAGGAGAAAAGGTGCTCTATGGCCGACAAGAAGCTCAGCAATCAAAGGTGTTTGGTTTTTCTGAGACTTACATAACCAGACCTATTGGCTGCTTTTGCACAGTGATTCTTGCAGACTTTGCTGTGCTCCTAGCTCATTTGGTGGTGGTGGATCTCCACCCCCCACCCCCCGCATTCTGTTTTTGGCCACTTCCTTGAAAATTTAAATTCTGCAAGCAGTGTTTACCTAAGCTCAGCCCAATTATGTTGAGAGATGTTTCTCCACTACCCCCCCTTGAAAAAATAATGAGCAATTGATGTGCAAAAGGCAGGAAGTGGTGGGGCTGGGAAAATATATCTGGGGTGGTGGGAGGGAGAATTTTGTTCCTCCTTTTTATATAAAAATTGGGCTGCTTTCAAGCTCAGTGTGCTCAATTATTATCTTGGAAGAATTTTTCTCTCCATCTCCCAGTGGCAGAAATACCTCTTCCAGAGCCTAAGAAGAGAAAGGTGGACTAGTATGTTTAGGTCTTTAGCTGGTGGCACCTACCCTCTGGAATTCCCTTTTGTTGAATATTAGGCAGGCACTGTCTCTGTTGTCTTTTGGGTGTCTGCTGCAGACTTTCCTCTTCCAACAAGTCTTTTAAGTGGAGATCTTTATCTCGGTCTGCATCAGTACTGGAATGATTTTTTTAAAAAAATGCTTTTAAACATTTGTATTGCTTTTATCAATGGAATTTCCCCCTTTCCTTTTATATGGAGGAAGGGTCTGCTTTTGTTGTTGTTGTTGTTACACTTCTATGTTTGCAACTGTTTTATTTGTTACATGATCGTATATCTTGTTGCTGTGAACACTGCCCGCCCCTCCCAGGACCTTGCAATAAAGGGTGGGTAAGAAATCAGCAGAAAAGTTGTCCAAATAGTGTATAAACAGTAATTTCATAATTACTTGTCTTTGTATTTCTAATAGTATAACCAAATCAGTAATTTGTGATATAACTGTAAAAACTACTCTGAAAATTTATTATTTCAAAAATGAAACCTTCATCTGGTTGTAAATATTAAGATTATACCAGCAAGAATGAGTCTTTCTGTTAAAAATGATTTAAATCAAGTCTTACTGACTAGTGATTTAAATTGTGATTTAATTCGTGATTTAAATTTAAATCAAATCTACCCTGCTTTAAATAGTCCACTTTCCTCTGAAGAATTCTGGGAGCTGTAGTTTGAGGGTGCTGAGAAGCATTAGGACAACCCTGCTCCCTCCCAGAGCTACCATTCCCAGAGCAATATTAACAATCAGTCCACAGGGAACTCCATAAATTGTAGTTCTTAAAGGGGAATAGCGGGTCTCTTAACAACTCTCGGCACTCTTAACAAACTACAGCTCCCAGAATTCTTTTGGGGGATGCCATGACCTCTAAAAATGGTACCATAGTGCTTTAAATGCTTGGTGTGAATATGCTGAATGCATAGAGAAGGTGCTGCCTTGCTGCTCCTGGTACGAGTTGCTTCTTAACCTGGCGATAGCTGCAGGCTCAAGTTGGTGACTCATAAAATAATAAAAAATAATAATCTGGCAATAGTTTCAGACAGCAGGTGAGGACATGTCCAGAATGGAACATTCCCACCCTGCCTCCCATTTGGGCCCATGCATGAGGAGCATTTCCCACTGTGAGGGTGACTGAGTTTGGGCAAAGATCTCAGTTAGGAATCCTCAGGGCACAAGCAGGCATTGCTGCCAGGATCTGAAATAGGAGCTGGTTTGGCCAGTTCTCCTGTGTATTTTCTGCCCCTATAATTCCTTTCTCTTCACAGTTTTTGTGACAGGTGCAGCAGTTTGGGTAGCTGCAGTTTGGGGAGGACGGGGGGGGGGGAATTGCCTGGGGTGAAGAAGAGAACTTGTTGTCCTGCTTTCCATTGCTTTGGAGGTTTTTTTTGAAATGCCCTTTTCTTGATGATGATTTAAATTTGGTAAGTTTCTGTAATGCTGTAGTAATGAGGCAAAGATTGATCATGAGAGGAGGGCAAATATGCTGTGACCAGCTTCTGACTCATTGGAGATCTCTTGCCAAGTGTGTTGTAATACCACATAGTCATAATATGGGATGTGAAAGGTGTACATACCATCCTCCCCCCCTCCCCGGCCGCCCTTTGTGGGCCTGGAACAATTTGGTAGCTTGCTAGTGTATATGTTACGCTAGAAAGACTTGCTCATACAGCTTCAAAATACAGTCCTGGAGAAGGGCGTCTTTTAAAATATAAATATATACTTCCATCAACTATGCCAAAGTGTGTGTGTGTGTGTCTGTCTGCCTGCTGTTCTTTATTCGCAGATCAGTACTACACAGAACAAAAAAAAATAATTTTCTTAATGGTGTTAGTGATCTTGAAATAGTTTGCTTGAAAGAAAGCCGCAAGCCTTTCCCATTTGTTTTCTGAATAGCTGGCCCCTCCGTGAAATGTCTTCCTTGGGGAATGGCTTTGGAGTCTCTTGAGTCTTTGAATGAGGCTGGACTACAGATCCCATCATCTGTGGCCATTGACCATCCCGGCTGAGGATTAAGGGAGTTGTAGTCCGACAGCATCTAGGGAAAGGCTGTGCCAAGGGGAGATCTTATGACCCACACCACAGGAGATTTGTCTGCACAAGCCCCATGGATGTTAACTGGAACTGTGTTGAGGGAGCAGTGGGGAATTGTACCCTGTGTGAATCTGTCTGTGTTGATGGTATGAGCAACTTGGATTTTCTGTTGGGGCCAGACTCCATATGATGGAGCAGACACGTTTGCTAGGCCGCTGCCTGTCCTAAACCAGGAAGTAGCTGACGTGTTGACCTTCAGGTGTTGTGAAAAGTAAGGTTTACTTTTTACCACAAATGGAGCAAATGGCTGAAGAGAACAGACCATCTCTCCCTTCCTATGTGCTGCCCACACCAGACATTTAAAGCAGTAACATACCACTTCAAACAGCCTTGACTTCCCCCAAAGAACCATGGGAACTGTAGCTTGCTAAGGGTGCTGAGAGCTATTAGGAGACCCCTGATTTCCCTCATAGAGCTATGGTTCTCAGGGTTCTCTGAGAAGAGGGATTTTTTTGTTAAAACACTTGGAACGGTAGGTTTGGGAGAGGAGGATGGGTCTGCGAAGAAATCTCAGTACCCTTCAAACAACACTTCCCATGAATCTTTGGGGGCCTCTGTGACAGTGAAATGTATGGTGCAGTTGTGACTTCTGCCTCTTCACACACTTTCTCCCAATGAGTCCAGACTATAACAAAAGATTCCTGAAGGGCTGGGAGCACAGAAAGTTCCCTTCCTTTACTCTGCCCCTTTAGCTATAAAGACTAGATCTCCCTCCATCACCACCCTTGGGTATCTTGGAAATTTTAAATTAAATGTATATGGCCTCTCATCAATAAGTATTCCCTGGGCAGTTTTCCAACAAACGGGTATTTAAAAAGACACCCGCAGGTAATTAAAATCAAGCAGTAAAAATACATGGGGCAAAGTAATCATATACCACTTAATTGCCAAAGTGGTTTACAAGTATAAAGCCTGTTGCAAAATAAATAAACAGTTGTGTCAAAATACTAAAATAAGCACTCGCAATTAAAATGTTCAATAAGATAAGCCAATTAAAACATCTCCCTTATTGCAGATGGGGGCAGGCTGTGGTTGAGAGCCAGTGACTGGTGAGTTTGTGGCAGAGGCGAGATTTGAACCCGGGGCTTACTGACTCATAGCTTCGTCATAGTCACTATGCCTGCCCCCATGGTCATAACATGAGGGTGGAAAATGATTAATAGGAAGCCGAGAACTGTAGTTCTTCATTGGCTTTGCATAGCAGTGCGGATCTCCAGGGGTATATAGTGTTGTGCTGCAATTTATGTGGGCCTTGGGTGGAGAGCAGCGCCAGCTAATACAGATGTTAACCCACAGTGTGGAATAAGTTAACAGCTTCTCCTTTCCCCCTTATGCCCAGAGGAGTTGGGATTATCATTATTTTTGAATACGTGAAAGGATTTTATGCACCAGAATGCTGTTCACGTAGCAAGCTTAACACGGTTAAAGTGCTTACAATTTGTAGGCACTACATGGGAATACGCAGTCTCTGCCTCGGGCTTGCAAACTTTAAAAAAGCTGAGACTTCCAAGGGAATAGAAATGGAGGGGGGAAAACGGAGAGCTTTCAGCAATGTCCCAAAATGTTCAAGAACAGTTAGCGACAAGTAAGCTGAGTTATGGGACACGGGTGGCACTGTGGGTTAAACCACAGAGCCTAGGGCTTGCTAATCAGAAGGTCATCAGTTTGAATCCCCGTGACGGGGCGAGCTCCCGTTGCTCGGTCCCTGCTCCTGCCAACCTAGCAGTTCAAAAGCTCGTCAAAGTGCAAGTAGATAAATAGGTACCGCTCCGGCGGGAAGGTAAATGGTGTTTCCGTGTGCTGCTCTGGTTCACCAGAAGTGGCTTAGTCATGCTGGCCACATGACCTGGAAGCTGTATGCCGGCTCCCTCAGCCAATAAAGCGAGATGAGCGCCGCAACCCCAGAGTCGGTCACAACTGGACCTAATGGTCAGGGGTCACTTTACCTTTACCTAAGCTGAGATATAAAAAGCTAGTGCCGCATTGTCCACACCAGAGTTTCCCAAACTTGGGTCTCCAACTATTGCTGGACTACAACTCCCATCATCCCTAGCTAGCAGGACCAGCGGTCGGAGATGATGGGAGTTGTAGTCCAACAACAGCTGGAGACCCAAGTTTGGGGAACGCTGGTCTGTATTGACCAGCAGCAGCTCTCCAGGGTTTCAGGCCGTGGGTCTTTTCCAGACTTGCCTGGGGATTGAATTTAGGACATTCTGCAAGCAAGGCAGAGGCTCGACCGCTAAGCTGAAGCTCTTCCCCATTACTGTCAAGGGCAACTCACTCCCCTGCTGATCTTCAATTGGCAGGTCAGGAGCCACAGCTGATACTATATTTATATCTCACTTTTTCATTTCAAGGGGCTTGCGGTGCCATACGTGGTTCTATCCTCCTTCCCATTTTATCCTCTCAACAACCCTGTGAGGTAGGCAAGGGATCTCTCCCATTGCTCCACAGACACCACATAGCGGTAGACAACATAGCGCCTTCCAGATGTTGCTGGACTTCATCTCCCATTCTCCCTGACTATGGACCACTCTGGCTTGGGGCTGTTGGGAGTTGAAGTCTGCAAGATATTGGCAAACACTCCTGTGGCATCACATGGCGATTTCTTGGGCAGACGAGCCCTAAGATAAAGCACAGGCAGAGCTTGCCTTCCATCTCCTCAAAGTTCTTTTTAACACAGTTCTTTTTAACAGCGCCAGTTCATATATTCATGTGGGAGTAATAGTGGGGGGAAGAGAAATTGGATTCAGTTCGCACTGAAAGGCGGATCTACCTTATTCACGCTTTTCAAAACAGTATGTGAATGGAAGCTCAGCCGTCCTTTGAGATTCGCATTTCTCCAAATTTTGCAATGTGGCTCTCCAGCCATGTATTCTGTACAGAACTACACAAACTGCAGAAAAGTGTGCATTAAAATGCACAACAACATAGAAAAATGCATTATACTGGGGGAAATTGCAGACAAAAAAAGTGTATGTTGGAGAAATTAGCACTACAATTCTTATTTATTTTCGTGAGGACTTGCGGTGGGGGGAGAATCGTAGTCTGATATGGAAATGTGGCAAACTGATCTTAAGTTCGGAAAAATCTACAACTTGAAGAAACTAAATTGACAGACACCCAACTCTAGTGAGTATTCAAGTGCATAAAGAGCTAAGGGGTGCATATCTTCCTGCCTGAAAGTCCCATTGAGAACGTCCCATTGTAGGTGGTTGGTTTGTCTGTTTTTGTCTAATTTATCTCCTTTATATAAAACTAGTATACACACACACACACCGTATTTTTTGCTCCATAAGACGCACTTTTTTCCTCCTAAAAAGTAAGGGGAAATGTCTGTGCGTCTTATGGAGCGAATGTGTGGTCGGTCGCTGGCTCCCTTTCCGGCCCTGGCCCCTATAAAAACAGAATTCTTCCACTTTGCAAAGTAAGCTCAACAACTGTGAGCTGATCCTCAAAAAAGGGGCTTTCCCCCTTTGCAAAAGAAGCTGCACAACTGTGAGCTGATCCCCCAAAAACAGGGCTTTTCCCCTTTCCTCCTCTAAAAACTAGGTGCGTCTTATGGTCAGGTGCATCTTATGGAGCGAAAAATAAGATCGATCTCTCTCTCTATATATATATAGAAAGAAAGAGAGTACTGTGATTCAAGGTTGAACCATGCTTAACTTTCTGAACACAGGAAGATTAACGCATTTACTGTTTGGACGCACCCATTCATTCGGAGTTCCTTGCTTTGGCATTGCAGCTTTGCGGTTAAGGAGTCGGGAATATTTTCTTTTCTTTTTTTACTTCGTAGGCTTACTATTTCCTCTCTTGGTATAATTTTAAAGACCCGAACTTCAATAAATCTTTTTATGGGCTTCCCCCACCCTTCCTCTCCATCTGCCTGGCCAGGGTGAAATATTTTGGTGGTTTCTGTAAAGGAAGCTTGATAAAGGAATTCTCAGTGAGAATAAGATCCTTTCTGGACTGCCCCTGAAACAGGAGCCACAGTGCAGGGATTGTTCTCTGTAGATTGTATCAGACTTCAGCTCCCTTGGTTTTGCCAGAAGTAAATATTCCTGCGGAGGGCAAACACTTGGTGTGCCTGAAAGCCAACCCTTGTCAAGATGAAATAACTGGTTTCCTCTTCTGCGGTCCTGTTACAAATTATTCAGAGGCGATCTCCCTTGTCCTGAGTTCTTCTGCAAGCAATTATAAATAGAGTAAAATTTGAACAATACCTTGTACATCAAAGGTTGCTTATTTTGGTAAGATGCACCTATGAAGATGAAACATTTTAACCATGGTTGTCCCCCGCCCCGGTTGAGCAAGAGCAAGTCTCCCATTTTTGAATGCTTAAACCATGGTTAGGATGGCCAACCAGCACGTGAAATCACACTTTGTGGACAAGTCTGTTTAAACATGGTTAAACACTACGTGAGCGCTGAACATACCATGGTTAAGACAGGATGGTAACAAAAATAATTTGAAGGTATAAGTTTTTCCCTTTTGAATGCAGCATTTTGCAGATACAAGAGTAGTAGCATTAAGGACATCGGAAATTAGTTCACACTTAATTATAAAGGCATCACATATGTTAGATAAAGAATTAGAAATTTGCTTCAAATTGTATTTTTTTTGGGGGGTGGGGGTGGGGGAAGCCTTGTCTCTGCTTATGTGCTGTAACTTCAACCAGTACTGAATCAAAACAGTGGCCCGCTTGGCACATAATGCCAATCTATAGCACTTTGTGTCTTCTCTGGTTCTGAAAAAAAAAGCAGCACAGAAAAAGCTAATGGATTTGGTGTTGGCAACAGGATCCTGATCTTTCAGAATAACTGAAAGCCAAGCTTCTAGTCTTTCTGATTGCAAGTACGGGCTTTAGAGAACTTTTCTCAACTGTGACAGGAGGTGCGTTCACCCCTACAAGTGATCTCAAAAGACCAATGTGGAATACAGGAAAAGGAAACAAATCCATGCTGCTTTGGCGGGGTGTGTGTGTGTGTGTGTGTGTGTGTGTCCCGCTAAGTCTTTCAGCCTTTCATTGTTGAGGACCCTGATAATGGGGAGACAGCCCTGTATGTCCTCTTTGCTGGCCTGGCCTGTCACCCAACCTTGCTTGAAGCTCTTTGAGGATGGGGGGGCTGCGGTCCAGCATGATGGCTAAAAGAAGGGAGACGCCAGCCTTGGCCCAGTGTGCAGGCTTGGGCTGATGGGATATGTAGTGCAAAACATCTGGAGGGTGCTAGGTTGGCGAAGGCTTGTATACAGTAGGTCTACTGTCTTGCTGGAGGGTGTCGGCCCCGTTCTATACAGCCTTGTGTGTGTGCTTTGGCTCAGATCCCACCCATTCCTTCCTGTATGAAAAGCTTGCGCTCTTGACAGAAACAGTATCCTTGCTCCCCCCCCCCCGCCTTGTGCCCAGCCAAATCCATATGGTGAAACCCTTGATTTAGGAGGGGCAATACGTGCTATTACATACAGGGCTCCTGTTCTCAATTGCACCTCTTGTTTTTCTTTCTGGTTTGGGTTTCTCCTGCCAACTTCCTCTCTGCGATGCACACTTTTCTCGGTTCATTTTAACTGGCGCCCGTGCAGGGATCTGAAATCCCTTCTTCATTGCTTCGGTACAGAACAATATCAATAATGGAAACATTTCACCTAGAGGCAAGGAATGTGCTTCCTGGCACCCGATGCATAACCTTCTGTCTAAGGAATGTGTGTGTATTTGTGTCCCAGGCTGCCTAACACACACAGAGAGAGTGTGTGTCTCTGTATTACACAGTCTATAAATGCTAAGCTCATGAAGTTGCTCCAGATGCTGCTGGACTCCATTTTCAGCAGTCATGACCAGTGGTCAGGGATGATGGAGGTCATAGTCCAGCCACATCTGGAGGGCCACAGGTTCTCCAACTCCGTGCTAAGCTTATAGCTCTGTGTGCTTAAGTGCACTCTTCTGGGGTTTGCATCTTCCGGAGCTTTGCAGGCTGGTCCCCATCCTAGCCCTTAGAAATCTATACTTACGCCATGAAGAGCTTAAGGTGATGTCAGCTGATGATTTTATTCCAGAAGGGGATAACTTGTTGCCCCCTCCAAAGCGGGATGGCTTGGAAGTACAGTGGTACCTCGGGTTACATACGCTTCAGGTTACATATGCTTCAGGATACACACTCCGCTAACCCAGAAATAGTGCTTCAGGTTAAGAACTTTGCTTCAGGATGAGAACAGAAATCGGGCTCCGGCGGCACAGCGGCAAGCGGGAGGTCCCATTAGCTAAAGTGGTGCTCAGGTTAAGAACAGTTTCAGGTTAAGAACGGACCTCCGGAACAAATTAAGTACTTAACCCAAGGTACCACTGTATGTGCGGCTGGGTTTATGAGACTTAACCCCATCATAAGCATACATGGCATTGTAGCGTTAATGTTATAGCTCACTCCCAAGTTTGATAGAAGTTAAAACAACCCTTTTGAACGGCACAATAAACTTTACCTGCACAGATACTTCCCTGGAAAGAAACTTCCTTTTTTGGTGTTATCCCACCTTTCCTCCAAGGACTTCCAGGGTGGAATCCATGCTTCTCCCCTTCCACATTTTATCCTCTTAAACAGCCTTGAGAAGTAGATTAGGCTGAGAGACAGCATGGACTAGCCTAAAGTCACCCAATTAGCTTCCTGACTGAGTGGGGGATTGAATCCTGGCTTCCCAGGCCCTAGTCTAGCACTCAAACAACTACACCACACTGGATTAAACACCAAGGCAAAGCTTCAGTGTAACAAACAGATTGATTGCTATCCAAAAGTTGTTTTTTTAAAAAAGAATCATTATCCGTATACTCAGTCTGACCCAACAGATAATTGGCTAAGTTTTGTTTTAACTTGGATAGAGAATCTGCCTTTGCTCCCTTTATAATCCGCCATTGCTGTGATTGGATAGGGTCTCTGGAGGGGATTTTTTAATGATTGATTGATTGGCTATAATTGCAATAGAACGGAAACGTGCTCCTGGCGAAATGCAGGGTTGCATATTAACAGACGTTTAATCCCCCAGTTAGCCGGTTAACAACGGGAAAGCAGATCGGGCTTTTGAACTGGGTTAGCAAACCCGACAACCTGAGCTGTTGGTGATTTGGCACCTTACCTGTGGGTTGTGGCTCCTTCCAGGGAACACCTCCGGGGACTGTAACGTTTTGCATTATTAGCACTGTAGAGCTTAGTTTTGGGGAAGGGCCATAGCTTGGTGCTTAGACCATCTGCTCTGCATGCAAAATAGTGAGAATCCACCTTGATGTCCTGGAAAATGTTGAATGGGGCTAATGCAGAGCAACTGATAAAGCGGGCTGATGCGTCGATGATAAATCAGCAGCATGTTGTTGTATACACCTGCAATAAAACAGCAGTCTGGATGGAGTTCAGGGTTTCCTGCGTGCAATACGTCTGTGGCATGTACCTTCCCACACCCCAAAAGTAATGGGAGGATCCCTCTGCATCACGGGAGGAACAAAATCATGTTGCTTTCCCCCCATGCCGTTGCTCTAGTTCAGAGACAGCCAGTGTGGTGCTCTTCGGGTGTTACTGCACCCCAGTTACCTCCTGTTCCCATCAGCCCCAGTTAGCACGGCCAGTGGTCAGGGGTGAATGGGAGCTGTGGTCCAGCCTCACCCACAGGGCACTCCACAATTAACCACAATGGTTTCCTCCACTGTTGGAGGCAGTACGCTACTGAATGCCAGTATTGAAGTACGCCTGCTGCTGTTGCACTCAAGTCCTGCATTCAGGCTTCCCAAGGGCATCTGGTTGTCCACGGTGAGAATGAGATGATGATGAGGATGATGAGGATGATGATGCTAATAATTTTATTTATATCCCGCCCTCCCCGGCCGAAGCCGGGCTCAGAGCAGCTAACAACAGTAAAATATGCAGGACTAGATGGGCCTCCTTTGGCCTGATCCGGCAGGGCTCTTTATAGGTTTATGAGAGAGGCGATACTGGCTTGGGGAGCCTGGCTGCCTTGCTTCCTGACTTGGGACAGCTGGCAGCTTGGGAAATTTAGGAAGAGGGGCTTCGGCATCATATCTGCCTAATGGTAGAGCCGGCCCCACCTGCCTAATAAGGGGCTTCTGAGGGTGCTCTTGCCTGCCTGTTGCTTATAGTGTGCCTTTTTGCCTCCCCGTGACGCTTGCTGTCTTAGGCCATCGATGCCAGGGAAGAGAATTATCCTCCTAAGAGAAAAAGGCTGTTTAGTATGAAGCCCGTATAAGCTTCACGATATCCGATTATGGGTTGCGCTGTGCCATATGGGTGCCATTTAGTGTACCTGCAAGATATTAAGCTTTTTAGTTGGCCTGCTCTTTGAGTGCCTAAGTGCATTATATCAATAAAATCTCGTTTAAAATCTGGCACAGAACGGCTTGAATCGGGTTTTTTCCTTGCTTCTCTGCACATGGTTTTCATTAGGTAGAACATGCATTTGATGGAGCAGACAAAGGGATGTGTGCTTCCTGTCTCTTGTCCTTTCCTTCTGATATTTGGGGAAGGTAAATCGGACACCTGACTAAGTTTGAGGGCCCAGCTTATAGGGCAACTTCAGAACTTTGTGAGATGAAAGTTCACCAAGAGGAATGCCGAGGTGGTGAACACCACCATAAGCAATTTCTCCCTTTCCTAAAAAAAACCACATCAGTTGCAAATTAACGTGGCAGTGTGTTCCTCTGTAGTGCCCTTTTCTCAAAACTTCTGATCTGCTTCCTGTTTGTTATGTGCTGAAAGCAAAACTTTCCGCAGAGGAATGCAAGAACGGCAGAAGTCTGCATGCATCTTTTTACTTTTCCATGCTGCTGATTGGCTCAAGGGTTGATGTTACCTGTAGATGCTGTAATTTCCACATGCCCTGAATGGTACAGAAAGGAAGTGGTGACTGTTGGCTTTTGTGAGGGTTGAAATGAGTCACTGCGTGTGAGTGCATTGGTGGGAGACTTTCACTCCCCAAACAACTAAAAAACATTTGGGGGTGGCAGCAGCAGCAGCAGGGGGTGGGTGGAAGCTGATGCTATTAATCTAGACTAGAGCTGGGAAACTTCAAATGTGGCCCTCCAGATCTCTGTCTGCTTCTCAGGACTCTTCCCAGGCCACACAGCCCTCACTGGTCTTGCTTCACATCTTCCTTGAGTGTTTTTGCCTGGCTGGAAATGGGCCCTTGAACTTGGACAATCCCTGGTTGCTTAGATGGAAGATGCTCTGCCCAAGTTGGCTTCTGCTCCAGCACTGGCATGTGGCTCTGGGGTGATGCCCAGAAAATATTATGTGGCCCTCTGTCTGGAAAAGAGTCCCCATCCCTGATAAAGGCCACCTCCAAGATTTTTTTTTAGTAAAAGCCACATAATCCAACACAAGCCCTAGTCAGAGCAGACCAACTGAAGTTAATGAACCTGACTAACATAAGCCTCTTAATTTCAGTCGGTCTATGAGTAGGATGCTTAACCTGACTTCTACACTAGATTAGATTATTTCTAAATTCATTTATTCAAAGTGTTTTTATATTGGGTGGGGAAAGGTTCTCAGAGCAGCTTGCAGATGTATCAGCAATAAAGATAGCTCCTGACCTTAGATATACAGTCAAAGGGTTGCATCCAGATAAGTTCTACTTGGAGTAAACCCATTGAAACGAAAAGACCTAGGTTAGTCACACCCATTAATTTCATTGAGTCTACACTAGGTATGGCTAATGTTGGACACAACCCAAGGACCACAACACACAAGGAAAAGTGATTGGGAGGGGAAAGGGGGGGGGAGCAAAAGCAAATGCTGGTTCTTGTTCCTAGTTGCGGAATTCCCAGAATGCAAACTATTAAAAGGCAGGAGGAGTTCAAATTTGCTGGTCTCTCAGCTGAGCCAGTGGAGAATCTCTGCTGCCTCATCTCTCCCTCTGATATTGCTTGATTCTGAATAGCCCCTTTCTGCCTCCCGGTTACGTTGCCAGAACCCCGGCGCCTGCTAACCTGATTTCCGCCACTTCTCACTAATTGCTACGTGGTTACAAAAATTTTCTATTACAGGCATTGTTTTGTCGAGCTTCTAAATGTAGAATCCTCTTAATTGGGACAGCATGTCAGGCTGCGTATTGTCCCCAAAAAACACAGCTGGTACCAAATATAAAAGGCCTTTTAAAGGGACATGATTATTGCAACAGCTTACTAAAAATAAATCCCCTCGTTTCAAAATTTCTAGCAGGTGAAATGTTCAAAACACCTTGCATGAATTATTTTGGGGATGCTTACAGCGTAAAGTGGTACGATGCTGCTTTAAATGCATAGTTCGACCGAAATGCACCTTAACCCTGTTAGATTCTGTTCTGCTCTCTCTTGACAGCCCTCCAGGAAAGTATTGTTTAAAGTAGGCATAGGCAAACTCCGGCCCTCCAGTTGTTTGGGACTACAGTTCCCATCATCCCTGACCACTGGTCCTGTTAGCTAAGGATGATGGGAATTGTAGTCCCAAACATCTGGAGGGCCAGAGTTTGCCTATGCCTGGTCTAAAGCCCAAGCTTAGGGTCTAGTCTAGCTGTGTAAACCTGGGTCATTGATTTGCTTTCGGGTTTTTTCCACCTGCAGGTGAAAGACCTGACCAAGTTCTTGGACCCCGCCGGGCTTGGAGTAATCAGCTTTGAAGACTTCTATCGAGGAATCTCAGCTATCAGGAACGGAGGTTGGTTTTTATTCTTATGCCCTGAGATTGGGAGGAAGACATTCCAAGCACTTCCTGAACCTTCCCAGCATCGAGGCATTTCCTGACATTGTTGATGTACCCCCTCCCCTCCCACAGGGTCTTTCATGCCTCTTCCTTGAAATGTCAGTGTCCTCCTTTGAAAGAAATGAGAGATGGGTGTGTGTGGTCATTTAGGCCATTACTGCAATGCACTCTACGTGGGGCTACCTTTGAAGGTGACCCGGAAACTGCAATTAATCCAGAATGCGGCAGCTAGACTGGTGACTGGGAGTGGCCACTGAGACCATATAACACCGGTCCTGAAAGATCTTCATTGGCTCCCAGTACGTTTCCGAGCACAATTCAAAGTGTTGGTGTTGACCTTTAAAGCCCTAAATGGCCTCAGCCCAGTGTAGCTGAAGGAGCGTCTCCACCCCCATCATTCAGCCCGGACACTGAGGTCCAGCACCGAGGGCCTTCTGGCGGTTCCCTCACTGCGAGAAGCAAAGCTACAGGGAACCAGGCAGAGGGCCTTCTCGGTAGTGGCGCCCGCCCTGTGGAACGCCCTCCCACCAGATGTCAAAGAGATAAACAACTACCTGACATTTAGAAGACATTAGAAGGCAGCCCTGTTCAGGGAAGTTTTTAATGTGTGACATTTTAATGTATTTTTAATATTTGTTGGAAGCTGCCCAAAGTGGCTGGGGAAGCCTAGCCAGATGGGTGGGGTACAAATAAATTATTATTATTATTATTATTGCTTACTAGGGAGTAACACAGGGAGGGAAGGCACTGTGCATCACTAAATTATAGAATCCGCTCCCACAAGAAGCAGTGGTGGCCGCCAATTTGGATGGCTAATCATCTCTGGTTAAAAGATGGGTTTGGACAGCAGTACTGAGAAAGGACTGTATCTGTCACTGAAGGGCTGCTGCCAGTCAGAGCAGACAGTAAAGGACTAGATGAACTGACTCTGGCCAGTGCTGTGTCACATGCACCAACTTCCACTCTGTTTCTTAGTGTTGACTTGACTACTTTTTGTCTCAAGGTAGTTCCAGGTTCATGGCTCTTGCATTAATATACAAAGCCCTCAAGCACTGTTAGCAGCTCCCCTGGGTCTCAGAAGCCTGACTGGCCTCAACGAGAAGTTGGGACGTTTCGTGTTGCTGCTCTCATGCTTTAAGAACGTAAAAGGAGCCTGCTGGATCAGGCCAGTGGTCCATCTAGACCAGCATCCTGTTCTCACAGTGGCCCTGTGCAGTACCCCCGCAAGCAGTGCCTGAGAACAAGGGCGCTCTCCCTTCCAGCGGTTTCCAGCAACTGGGATTCAGAGGTATACTGCCTCTGACTGTGAAGGCGCAGAGCACAGCCTCCATTATGACTAGTAGCCATTCATAGCCTTATCCTGCACAAATCCTCTTCTAAAGCCATGCGAGTTGGTGGTCATCACTGCCTCCCGTGGGATCAAGTGCCAGAGTTTTAACTATTAACTTATATGAAGAAGTCCTGAATTATCTAACGTTCAGCTTCACTGAATTTCCATGAGTTCTACTGTTATGAGGGATCAAATCTTTTCTCTATCCACTCCCTTCATTCATGCCGTGTATAATTTCATAAGCTTCTAGCATGTCACCTCTTACTTCCTTTTTCCTCCTCCAAGCTAGAAAGTCCCAAATGTTGCAACCTTCCCTCACGAGGGAATCTCTCCAACCCTTTGATCATTTTGGTAGGCCTGTTCTGAACCTTTTCCAACTCTACAATATCCTTTTTAAGGTGAATACTCTTTTCAGCAAGCATCTTTGCTGTTGACTTTTAGACATTACCGTATTTTTCGTTCTATAGGACGCACATTTCCCCCTCCAAAAATTAAGGGGAAATGTGTGTGCGTCCTATAGAGCGAATGCAGGCTGCGCTGCTAAGCCCAAAGCCAGAACAGGAAGACGGAGCACTGCGGAGCGCTCCGTCTCGCTGCTCTAGCTTGGGGGCGGCTGCGCGCTCAGCCTCTCCAGGGCAGCGGGGTGCCTTCACCCTGCTGTCCTGCAGAAGCTAGCAAGGCTGTTCCCAAGCCAGAACAGCGAGACGGAGGGCTCCGTTTCGCTGCTCTAGCTTGGGGATGGCTGCGCGCAAACCTGTGCAGGGCAGCGGGGCGCTGCGCTCCAGAGGCTTCAGGGATCTTTGAGGCTGGCAGTGGGGAAGCAGCGCTTCCCCACTGCCAGCCCCACAAGCTCTGGTGAATGTACCTTGAACGCACCTTGTTTTAGAGGGGGAGAACAAGAAAAAAATTTTTTTCCCTGTTCTCCCCCTCCTATGATCCGGTGCGTCCTATGGTCCGGTGCGTCCAATGGAGCGAAAAATACGGCACTTGAAGACCTTTTCATGCTGCGAGGCCTGTGCAGATGCTTAAACTTCTTTGATTAATCCATTTTAATGACTATTTTGTATTGTTCTCAGCGGCATTTTATGTTCTGTCAAACTTAAGTGTCTTACATGGCCTTGATATTTGAGTTGGCTTTCTGTAAAGTAATAAAAGTTAAATACTCCCTTGCAATGCGTAGAGCGTCCAGAGGTTGCCGCTTTGGAAAGCACCACTCTGTCCTCTTTGTATCTGTGGCCGGGAGGACTGAAAATTCTGTTCTGTGCTACAGAACCATGGGCACGTCAGAAGAAACACTAACTTTGGAATCTTCCAAAATTGACATCGGAACAACCTCTGCTCAGCTCCAAACGCTTTAGGGGCAATTGTCCCAGGATAAAGCTACAAATGTATGTTTAAAAGATACAGCTTGGGAGGGGACAATGGAAGTCTTAAGAGTATTTGTGCTGTGCTCTCTAGAACAGCTTTCTCGGAGACATGGCTTCAGGTTTCTCTCCATAATTCATTGCTTGCAGTATCATGGTGTTGCGCTAATTAGATAGAAGTAACAGCTAACAAAGCCCTTTAATTCAGGGCTCCCTTAACTGTAAGTCTTTGGAGTTGAATATTTTTGGGCTTTCTTATAGTGACTGAATTTGAAGTAGCCATCAAACCCTGTTCTTTCTTTATTCCTGTTGACAACTAGGGACATTAAAAGATTCCAGAGCCTCTTGGTTTGAGAATAGTGGTAGTTTCTCCCAAGGTGTTGGTACTGGGACAGCAGCTGAAGGTGGCACCTCATCTGGAGTAATGTGCTGAACATAGGAGTATGCCTTATACTGATTCTCAGAGTACAGTGGTACCTCTGGATGCGAATGTGATCCGTTCCGGAGCCCCGTTCACATCCTGAAGCAAACTCAACCTGTGTCTGCGCGCATGCGCGGGTCACGATTTGCCGCTTCTGCGCATGCGCGTAATGTCATTTTGAGCATCTGCGCATGCGCAAGCAGCAAAACCTGGAAGTAACGCATTCCGTTACTTCCGGGTTGCCGCGGAGCACAACCCGAAAACGCTCAACCTGAAGCAACTTTAACCTGAGGTATGACTGTATTGGTCTATCTAGCTCAGAATTGTCCACACTGTGTGGCAGTGGCTCTCCAGCGTATCAGACAGGTACAGATACCAGTGATTGAATGTGGGCCTTCTGCATGCAAGACAGATAGATGCTCTAGGACTGAGGATTCAAGCACAAGAGCACCATCCCCTTCTGTGGTTTCCAGCAACTGGTATTCAGAAGCATTTGCCTTCCACTGCGGCAGCTGAGCATAGCCATGAAACCGAAACAGGGGAGAAGCCCAGTTCCTGGCAATTTGGCAGCCTTGAGGCGTGATGTGTTTCCTATGCCTACCCTGCACAAAGCCGTTGTTGGCTTCCTCCCGACAGCAATTCTTAAAGCTTCCACTGGTGAAGCAAGCAGGTTTTGCTGACTAATGTCACACCTGAAAGTACACGATGCAGTTGGCAACAAACAAAATATCTTTTTTTATACCTAGCCTTTCTTGCTTAGTCTGCTGACACAAATGCTAACTTTCTTCCCACCCCCTTGTGATATATCTGCATTGCAGTTCACTTTTTCTCAGCTGAAGGGAAATTGGAAGTTGTTCGGTCACATGGATGGGTAGGGCGGGGGGGGGGGGAAACTCCCTACCTGGAATTAAGTTTGTTTTGTTTTTACAATAGTATCAGATCCAGATTGTTTAAGACTCTAAACTATAAGCAAAAGTTGTCCTTGGCTCAAATGCTGCTTCTGTGAACATGCTAGGGCAAAATCCAGTGGTGGTAGAGCCCAGAAATGATAGTTGGGCTGTACCACATCAGATTGCTGATGAGCGAACTCCTTTGTGCACAACGCCCCCACCCCCCAAGAAAAGAAAAGAAATTCTTTGTAAGTGGAAAGCTAGTGTAAAGGTAAAGGACCCCTGGATGGTTAAGTCCAGTCAAAGGCGACTATGGGGTTGTGACGCTCATCTCACCCCTTTTCAAACACCCTCGCTTGTGGAGTGTTCCCTCAGCCTCCTCTCCTCTTCCCTCTCCTTAGGACAGCCTCTCTGGGCAGCCACTGCTGCTGCCCCTGGTCTCTGAGCTGCCCCCCCAATCCCAAGGAGAGGTGCTTCCTCACAGTGCCCCACAGAGGCCTTGGAAGCACCCCTTGGGCAGCCCCAGAGGCACCATTTGCCTGGGGAGCGTGTAGCCAGGGCTACTGATGCAGCAAAGAGCCGTGCAAGCCTTTGGGAGGCAGAGAGGGCATCAAAGGCAGGAGGGAAAGAAAGAGGGACAGAGGCCATGTTGCCCGTGGCACCCCTGACCACCATTCAAGGCACCATGGCACACTGGTGGAAAACCACTGATTTAGTACCATCAGCAAACTTGACTACCTCACTGTTCACTCCTAATTCTAGACTGTTTATGAGCCAGTTAAAAAGCACAGATTCCAATACCAATCCTTTGGGAGGGGGGACAATGACTCTATTTTCTACTTCTCTCCATTCAAAGAACTGTCCATTTATTCCCACTCTTTGCTTCCTGCAACCTAACCAATTCCTGATCCACAAGAGGACTTCTCCTGTTATTTCTTGACTGCTAAACTTACTCAGGAGTCTCTGGTGAAGTCCATAAAGACAACCCTAAGACTAAGGAGGAAGAAGCTTGCAGGATAGACTCCTCCCGCATTTTCACCAGTGATCTGGCGGTCTTCATAGCCTCCACTTCCTCTACTAGCTTAGCAGCATTTGAGCAGATGATCCAATGCGTTGACCTACTTTTTCCGAGAGGAGAAGCAGCAAGGAAGTTTGTAACAGTGATGTCGGTTTGCCTTTGCTACTGCAGACTCAAAATGGGGATGGCAGGAAGCTACCCAGATGTGGAGCATTGCGGTCGTTGCATTGACATCACAGCCTTGAGGCTCCAACCGAATGAAGGATTTGCAGGAAAATCTCTGGCCTTCTCGAAGCTTCTGCCTGTCTTCTTTTCTACTCTGCTCTTCTGCTGTATTCACTGGGCAGTTCTAGCACCAAGCCATCAGCACAGGAAGAATGCTAGACTCAGTTATTCCACTGTGGCATATCTTGATAACGATTTATCAGAATATCTAACATGCAGTGTTAGAAACTCAGCTATATAATGTAATTGCCTAATGACACCTTAAACCCAGGTTATGATCCGCCACAATAGAACAACCCAGAATAAAACAAATTCAAGCTTCAAGCGAAATATTTCACATTCTTCTCTCAGGGACATTTTGCTTTCACCCTGTTTATTTACCTACTTAATTTATAGTGCTGCCCGTAGCAGAAGTGTTCTAGGAAGCTAGTGTGGTGTAGTGGTTAGTGTGTTGGACCTAGGACCTTGGAGATCAGAGTTCAAATCCCCACTTAGTCATGAAGCTCATTGGGTGACCTTAGTCACAGTCTCTTAACCTACCTCACAGGGTAATTGTAGGGGTTTAACTGATGCAGAGGGTGAACCATGTACTCGTTGGAGAAAAGGGTAGGATCTAAATGCAGTAAATGAGTTGTTCTGCTTATATGCTTAAGAAAGCTCGAGGAGCTAGCCAGATGGAGATGTCAGTTGCCAGCCTGATATCCAGAGATCTCCAAATGGTCGCAATTGGACCCACACCAGTAGCAAAACGTGCCTGGCGCCTGGCTAATGTCTGACACTGGCCACATGCTGGTTAGCAGAATAGCTGATGTATTCTCCCCCCTCGTAATTTAGGCTAGATTCTGCTTCCACACCCTCAGCCCATTCTATCCTTCGTCCACACAAGCAAAAGGATTATCAGTTCAAGGACATGCTTTAGTTGGGCACAAAAACTCAGGTGACCAAGCAGGGCCAGTGAGGGCCCTGGGGAGAGTTCTGAGGGCCAGATCAAGAGGTGGGGGCTGCATTTGGCCCCCAGGCCTGAGGCTTCCCACCCCTGATCTAAAGAATGGCAGTACAGTGGTACCTCGGGTTAAGAACTTAATTTGTTCCGGAGGTCCGTTCTTAACCTGAAACTGTTCTTAACCTGAAGCACCACTTTAGCTTATGGGGCCTCCCGCTGCCGCCACGTGATTTCTGTTCTCATCCGGAAGCAAAGTTCTTTACCCGAGGTACTATTTCTGGGTTAGTGGAGTCTGTAACCTGAAGCGTTTGTAACCTGAAGTGTCTGTAACCCGAGGTACCACTGTATGGAGCATGTTGCTTTGGGTGCTTTAATTTTCCTCCAAAAAAGCTAGAAGCAGCCAGGTGACATTTTATTTTTCTTTCTTTCTTTCTATTTATTTATTTAGAGCATTTGTACCCCACTCCTCAGCGAAAGAAACTCCCAGAGCGGTTTACGTACAATCAAAACGAGACAGTCCTTACCCGTAGGGTAAAATCTAAAAGAACACAGTACACGAGGGACAAGGAGGGGAAGAGGAAAATCAAAACAGTTGTTCCTATAATGCCCAGCTGGCACAACTGAGGGGGTGGAGGTGCCAGCAAAGCTGATGAAATGAGCCCTGCTTCCTGCCTCTCCCACAGAGGCAGTCTGGTGGAATGGCTGGCCCCAGGTGACCGTTGAGAGGAGAGGAGGAGGCCTGATGGAGCTGGCCTGTCACAGCAGAACCCATGGAATCTCACCCTTTCCCAACTCGGGTTGCTGGATCTTATGGAATGGCAACAATTGATGCAGAGTTGGTGCAATGCTGTGACATCCCCAGGGCTTTGCTTCCCCAGTCTGGTCCTGTCTCCACAGTCCGTTGGCACAATAGCCTATCTTCCTGCCTCAGCTCTCGAAACTATTCTGCTCCAGCCCCCCTGGTCTCGGCGGCGTGTCTCCCAGGCGCCACAAGGCCATAATGCTCTCCCAGCTGACTTAATGCTCCTGAAAGCTTCTATTGTTGTAGGTTGGGCCTATGCGAAGCAGGGGAAAAGCAAACATGGCTCCGGTCCTGATCGACGCGTTGCTTTTTGCTGCCCTTGCTCATTTCACAAATGTTGTCATATCCCGTGTGCAAGCACCCATCTCACTCCAGCAACTGTTGGAGGAAAATGGATATTGACTCCATTGTATTGCAATGAGCAAAGCTGAATGAGAGACTTGTGTCTGGTTAAAAGCTGAAGGCTCTGATGACTGTGTGTCAGTGGTGGCTGTGGTGCCCATTGGGACTGGTAGGGTGGAAGGCAGGGAGCCCAACAGTAGGGGGAGCCAGAGGCAACAACAAGCAGAGCCAACTACAGTGGTACCTCGGGTTACAGACGCTTCAGGTTACAGACTCCGCTAACCCAGAAATAGTACCTCGGGTTAAGAACTTTGCTTCAGGATGAGAACAGAAATTGTGCGGCGGCAGCGGGAGGCCCCATTAGCTAAATTGGTACCTCAGGTTAAGAACAGTTTCAGGTTAAGAATGGACCTCCAGAATGAATTAAGTTCTTAACCCAAGACTGTAGTTCTAGTTTTGTCCTCACACTGCCTTCTGAAAGGGCAGAACCGAGGCCAAAGACGAGGAAACTGACCATTAGGGCTGCGCTCAGCTGAGACTCAGGAGCAGGAGGGCAGCCAGGACTGGTTGTCAGCAAGAAGGCAAACATCTGGGGGTGCCCGCTGTGCCCATGTGGCTTTTGGGGATCTGCTTGGGACACGGCAGTCGGGATGGCAAATCCCAAGGGCTCTGTTGCTGTACCAATGCTCTCTCTCTTTTTAGCTATTGTATTTCTGGGCACACCAGCGCTACAAGGTCCCGTTGACCATGCTCGACAGCACGTGCGCCTGTAATGTGCAGATGGGGAGTCCTTTGTGGGTTTGTGTTGCTAATGAGCAGTGAGGGTTTGTGGGTTTTTTAACGCTCATTTGAACAGGGATTCAAAAGCTTTCATGTAGCCTATTGTGTTGGCGGGGACCGTTGGGTGAGGTCACCATAGCAACATCAACTGTATACAATGTGCCCATATGCTTCGGGGGGGAGGAAGACCTGCACCAAGAGAGAAGCAATAATGAGTTGGGTAGACGACTCCAAGCCATGTCGAACTTGTCCTTTCTGTGCCGTTGGTCCTGGACCTGTGAAGAAGTTGGCAGGCAGCCAGCTCCCTGCTGTCTCTCTGTTGTAACTGCAGAACAACACTTTGATTGGGTGGGTGGGCTGGAGGGGTGGCCTGGCAGCCTTTCAGAGATCCTAATTCTAGAGATGCTAATGAATATACAGAGGAGGGATGTTGGATTTCAAAAAGACACTCATGTGGGAAAAGCTGGGTAGCATGCATTTAAAGTACAGTGGTACCTCTGGATGTGAACGGGATCCGTTCCAGAGCCCCGTTCGCATCCTGAAGCGAACGCAACCTGTGTCTGCGCGTGCGCGGGTTGTGATTCGCCGCTTCCACACATGTGCATGACGTCATTTTGATACCTGAGATTGGGCCTGACTTCTTCTCCATGCAAAACTCTGAACTTAACTATGTGCCTTTTTGTAATAGGTGCATCATCAATTTGGGATGATCATAATGTGTGTGTTTTTTGTTTGTTTGTTTTAAAGTGTTCACAACATCCTTTAAGAAGTTATTGTCGTTCTCCAATTCTGTACCTACCCTTTTGGAATGAGGGAGATCAGGTGCTTTGCACAAACTCCATCCACTACGCCACACTGCCTCTCTAACCCAGTGTACCATCTGACGCAATGTAAATCTGCTGCAGTAAGTCTAGGGAGTTTTTTACTGCAGCAAACTCAACATGCACGGCATCATTATTTTATTGGATTTGCTGCAATAAATGAGAACTTGGCAGTTAATTTACCCCAGGACAAAAATGATAGTTTGCAAGCTGTGTTGTGGTTGGTAGATTTGGTTCATTCAGTTCCTGAGCATGTAAAGTTGTAAACTTTATTATGTGGTCAAGTGAGAGAAAGACTTGTGGTAGCAAGAGACCTGATTGTGTAAAAGAACCTTCTGATCTCAAAGTCTTTTTCTGCCTTTAAATGAGCAGACATCCTGACACGTATCTCTTGGCTATGCCAGTGGAGAGTTACTAATTAGGGTCTCGCACCAGAGTAATATTCCAAACTGTAGCATACTCTGGGAATATGCTGCTCCTAACAACCAGACCAGAAGAACAAAATTATTATTTCATTTTAAAAATGCCCAATCCATTTCAAAAGGGGGTTGAGGAACTGCAACTCGCTCTATTTAAAATCACTTTTCCTTCTGCAATATACAAAATGCTGCTCCACAACTCTGCAGACCCCCTTAGCACAATTAAAAAACCATGGGAGCATGACATAGGTTACGAGATAAACTCTACCCATTGGACTAGAATGTGGTCTAAACCTCCCTTTAAATCCATTTTAGCCAAAAGAAGGGAAATCACTTTGAAACTTATCTGTAGATGGTATCTTACACCAAGGAAATTGATACTAATACATCCAGGAACCTTACCAAAATTCTGGAGAGGCTGCACCTCTACAGGCACGTACCTCCACATGTGGTGGGATTGTCCCTGAATCCAACCCTTTTGGACAGCAGTCCTACAAGAAATATGTAAAGTAACTAAGCAGGTATTGGAACCCATCCCAGAACTGACCCTATTAAATATTTTCCCAGACAGAAATGCTCACTCACAGTAGAAAGAGCTTATAACCCACCTACTCTCAGCAGCCAGAAACATCATAGCTGGACACCGGAGAGACCTGTCAGGAGTAAACATGGACCTTGGGCACCAAATGGTATAGGGAAACAGCTTTAATAGAAAAGCTAACCGATAGATTGAAACTGACATGGGGACAAATAAAACAGAGAAACTGACATGGAGCCACCTTCACCCTGGTATGATGATGATGATGATGTTGTTTAGTCGTTTAGTCGTGTCCGACTCTTCTTGACCCCATGGGCCAGAGCACACCAGGCACTCCTGTCTTCCACTGCCTCCCGCAGTTTGGTCAAACGCATGTTAGTAGGTTCGAGAACACTGTCCAACCATCTCGTCCTCTGTCATCCCCTTCTCCTTGTGCCCTCAATCTTTCCCAACGTCAGGGTCTTTTCCAGGGAGTCTTCTCTTCTCATGAGGTGGCCTAAGTACTGGAGCCTCAGCTTCAAGATCTGTCCTTCCAGTGAGCACTCAGGGCTGATTTCCTTCAGAATGGATAGGTTTGATCTTCGGCTCCCCTTTATTACACACACAGCTCAAAATGACAATAAGGATAGCAGAGATGTATCAGCAGCATACAGATCAGTATGGCTAACTTGACCCAAGAATCCATTTCTCCCTTCCACACATGCAAATGAATCTCATGGCGGTCAATCAAAGGCAAACAACCATGCCCCAGGCCCCCCTCAACCTTCTCTCACTGCCCACATAAACCAACAAATGTATAGAAAGAGAACCTACCCAAATGACGTCGACATAAAAACCTTACCCATATACCAATTTGGGGAAATGAAAAAATAATGTGCAAATTTATCACTCGCCCTCTCCTCTCTCCCCTTCCCTCTGGGTGCCATATTGACTTGCATTGAATGTAACCCAAAGACTTTATAATCTGAACAAAAAAAGGGAGTGACGTTGCATGTTCTTTTGTAGTTGATGAAAATCTTTAATAAAAAGTATTTAAGATCAGTTTTCCAGGATATAATGGTCTCCTCCTGGATGTGATTTCAGAAGAGCAGAAATTTACAAAGCCTCGAAAGGGGAATTGTTGCAAACCAGACCGGCTGCAATGTGCAGAATCAGCAGCCGTAAAACCGCCGTTTGAGAAGCACGGCTTGTGTGTTGAAACGATGAGCCAGCTATACTCCTTGCTGCTCAGGCTGCGCTACTGGCTGAAGACGGGACCTAAGCTCGTTTCTCAGCATGAATTACGGTATTGCCCTTGGCAGCCGCAGACCCTGGTTTAAGAGATCTAATTTATCAGGCTGCCATGTGCTAGACTTCAGCTGTAGTGGACTGATCCTGATAGAATAGCCTTTTCCCGCTTTCATATTATAGGGGACAGTGTCGCAGTAAGGGAAGAGCGGAAGGACTGTAGCTCAGGGATGGGGGAACTCAGTTTCACTCCTTGACATCTTCAGGGTAGGGCTGGGAATGTCCCCTTGCCTGAAACCCTGGAGAACCGCTGCCAGTCAATGTAGGCCAGGTTTCCTCAGCCTTGGCCTTCCAGATGTTTTTGGCCTACAACTCCCATGATCCCTAGCTAGCAGGACCAGTGGTCAGGGATGAGGGGAATTGTAGTCTCAAAACATCTGGAGGGCCGAGGTTGAGGAAGCCTGGTGTAGGCAATACAGTGGTACCTCGGGTTACAGACGCTTCAGGTTACGGACTCCGCTAACCCAGAAATAGTACCTCAGGTTAAGAACTTTACTTCGGGATGAGAACAGAAATAGCGCAGCAGTGGCGGTGGCAGAGGGAGGCCCCATTAGCTAAAGTGGTACCTCAGGTTAAGAACAGTTTCAGGTTAAGAATGGATCTCCAGAATGAATTAAGTTCGTAACCTGAGGTACCACTGTACTGAGATTAGGTCTGAGGAGGTGCAAGACAGCTTCCTATGTTTCTAACATGGCAAAGAGTAACTTTGTACTAATGTAAAAATGGTTTTTCCTCTAGGAACCTTCTCACTTGTGTTGCTTTTGCGCAGGAAAACTATTGCATGAACAAATTTGTAATCCCATGGTAGGGAAGCGCCAAGTATAGGTAGAAAAATGTTCTCATGGGGTTGGGGGTGGGGAAGATTCTCAAGCAAAATACTGTTGACAGCTTTCCGGGTCGTGTAACCAGCATGACTAAACCGCTTCTGGAGCAATGGAACACCGTGACGAGTGCCAGAGCGCATGGAAACGCCATTTACCTATGTTTTTATCTGTCAGTGTCAGTGTGGTAGCAGCAAACTGATACATTCTCTATGCCCGCTCTAATAGTAGATTATTAATATTTTTTATCCACCTTTATAACTATTTTCTTACCTTTTCAAAATTAATTATATTTAACAAATGCATTTTCAGTTTCATTTGACCACACTGTGAAATTTTGCCATTTTCTTATTTTTGACATAAAATTATAATTTTCTATAGTCTAATTTGAATTTGCATCCCCAAAACATCACCACACCACACTTGCAACTGTGTTAGATTTCTGGGTCATATGTTAGATTTCTGGGTATGGTTAGATTTGACCACTAACTTGTTGCTTTTAACATATAGCCACAAGATTTTAAAACTTAAAGTTTGTTTCTTTAAACTTATATGCAAATATTTTATTTTTTTTAAAAAAAAGAGATTTTCCTGAGCTCAGCTTTTGGAATCTGACCAAAATCTTAAATGGCCTTTTTGACCTCCTCTTGGAACATGCATTGTAAATTCTGTATTTGTGTGCCTACGGTAATCAATATCTCTTGGATTTTGGTATCTTGAGAGTTGAAGGTGTCGGGGTGCCCTCCAGGTGTTTTTCACGACTAAGTTGAGGAATGCTGTGTTAAAGCAACATTTGTTCAAGAAGCAAAGCCCCTTTTCAGCTTCAGGTGTGCCATGATTCTATATGTGTCTTTTTCTTTTAATATTTGGGACAATTTACCGTATTTTTTGCTCTATAAGACTCACTTTTTCCCTCCTAAAAAGTAAGGGGAAATGTGTGTGCGTCTTATGGAGCGAATGCAGGCTGCACAGCTATCCCAGAAGCCAGAACAGCAAGAGGGATCACTGCTTTCACTGCACAGTGATCTCTCTTGCTGTTCTGGCTTATGAGATTCAGAATATTTTTTTTCTTGTTTTCCTCCTCCAAAAACTAGGTGCGTCTTGTGGTCTGGTGCATCTTATAGAGCGAAAAATACGGTATATCTCTTGCTGGAATATTATTTTTGCATTGGCTCCAACAAATTTCTACTCCTGAGTATGCCTAGCGTTTAATACAACTTTTTACGTACTTTCAATTAAATAAAATTTATTTTACTGCAGCGAGAAGCAAACGATATTTTCAAGCAATTATCTCATAATAGCGGGCATGCTGCCTCTCAGAGGGAGGCGATTCTGCTCTATCTCTGTATCAGCAGGGATTGAACATTGCAGCTCACCTCACCTAGAGATGCAACATGGTTTTCCCCACTGGAAGCGGAGATAAAGGCAAGGAGAGACGCACAGCGGGCGCCAGAGGAGCCTAGGGGCCAAGGTCCTTTCGTCCCCCCTAAAATAATTGAGGGGGCTGCCCCCCTGAGTTGAAGGGAATTCCCATTCAAATGGTTTGTGTGTGCCACGTCATGTGATCGATTATGCAGGGTAGGGTTTACCTGGAACCCCCCAATATTTTATTTAAGCGGGCACCCCTGGTGGACACCCTCCTCTGTGGGTGGAAACTTTGGGCTTACAGAATGTCCTTTGCATTAATCTCCTGATGCTTCTCCTGCTGCTTGAGACTTCACTGGAGGAGCATTCCAACCCTCAATGTTGCTTTTTTAAATAAAAAAAACCTGCCTTTCCCTCCTGTAATAATAATTTGGTGTGTGTCTGTGTGTTCTCACCCCCTTTCAGCAGTTCCTGACAGCCAGCTCTGCACTATGGGATATGCCCATGATGAACCACCATCTGCCTGTCCCGATGAGTTTGATGACTTTGTCACATTTGAGGTGAGTGTCTGAACACAAAGCCTTTTGCTTGCCCCTAGTGACTAAGGCCTGTACAGGGTTTGAGTCTTTACAGCAGCTGTCTCCAGCCTTTTCAGGCTCAGAAGACTGGCCTTAAATCCAGACATGTATTTGGGGACCCCGTTGCTTAATTCGTCAATTTGTTACCTGGTTGGGAGTGCTGCTGTGGTGACCCACCTTAAACCAGGCCACATGGTCATGGGTCTCAGCTAGGGATGGGGGAAAATGCCATTCAGTTTAAAGGCAAACTTGCCTTTTATCCTTCAAAATTTGCTCCTTTCCAAATTTTGCAATGCAGGTCTCCAGCCAAGTTATCTGTGCAACAATGCATATACTAAAGTGTGCATATGTTTGTGAAAATAACGTTGTTGGTTTTTTTTAAAAAAATGTATTATATTGCAGAAAATTGCTTGGCAAAAATGAAATGCCCTAAAATGCTGATGAAGTGTCGTGAGGACTTTTAAAAAGTATTCACCAGCTGATGAGGAAATGTGGTATTCTTAATCTGTGAGGGCTTTCTTGGCAGCCTTGCAAGGTGGCAGTGCCATGCGCCACCGTTTACAGGATCTCTCACACCCACCGCCCTCCACTCCTGCCACATTTATTTTCTTAAGAATGCTTGCTTTTGCAAAGAAGCATCCGTCTGTGTGCAGGACTGGATGGAGACCAGAATTATATGCCCACTGCTTGAAATTAGTTAGCATGGCCCATTTTGCTTTTCTTGATAAGTGGGCAGGGACTGGTAGCCTTGATTTCTTGGTGTAGCATTTGTTTAATTCTCCTTCCTCTAGTCTGCAGGTTCAGGGGTGAGTATTGCAAGCATGTATTGCAAGGGACACGGGTGGCGCTGTGGGTTAAACCACAGAGCCTAGGACTTGCCAATCAGAAGGTCGGCAGTTCGAATCCCCACAACGGGGTGAGCTCCCGTTGCTCGGTCCCTGCTCCTGCCAACCTAGCAGTTTGAAAGCACGTCAAAATGCAAATAGATAAATAGGTACCGCTCCAGCCGGAAGGTAAACGGCGTTTCCGTGTGCTGCTTTGGTTCGCCAGAAGCGGCTTAGTCGGCTGGCCACATGACCCGGAAGCTGTACGCCGGCTTCCTCAGCCAATAAAGCAAGATGAGCGCCACAACCCCAGAGTCGGTCACGACTAGACCTAATGGTCAGGGGTCCCTTTATCTTTACCTATTGCAAGCATGAAAGACTGGGGAAGTTCAAATCTTTATTTGCCTCACCTTATCCAGTGTCAGGCCTTGTCTCCAACATGGATTTTCCCCACCTCTTCCTTTGGTTACCCATTAAGGAAGCTTTGCAGGATTGAAGTATATGGCTGTCAGCCTGTCTTGATGACATGAGTGCTCTGTTTCATGCTAGTCATTTGCCTGGGGCAGATCAGGGTGCAGGGATGTTGAAGCCTGTGGCTACTGGGTTGCTGCAAATTGTGAGCTTTCCACTCCATTCAAAAGAACAGTGTAACCGGCAAATGGGGGTGGGGGGGGCAGCGTGACAACTAAATATTTTCAAGCCCAATTTATTTCCCTGAGGTCATGCCCTTAGGCATTTAAAAACTGCATGCAGGTCATATGGCTCTACTCTCCCCCCCTTTCATCCCCACTCAGATCTTGCCGCCTCTGCAAATACATCCCACGGTCAGGCAGAGTGACTGGCAGCTAAATCCATCTGGCTTTGTTTTCTCCTAATGACACTTGAGAAGGTTCAAACAGAGGTTCTCTCCTGTCCCTCAGACTCTCCAGTTACAAGATCAGAGCTTGCCTGGAAGCTGCCTCTGCCCAAAGACAACGTTGAAGTGAGGCCTAGTGGCGGTGATGCAACTTTAGTGTGGCCATTGCTCCTTGGGAGTCGGCGGTTGCCACAGGAGATGAGGCCCTTTCTTTTTATTCTACCTCCCCCTTTTAATTTTTTAAAAATACATTTTTATTAATAACTGTTTAATAGTTCAGAATAATCCCCTTTTCATTTTGTTGACAGGACAAGGAGAGTGTAAAGTGAAATAAAAAAAAGAAATCAAAAACATCAATCCGATGGTGCAGTCTTTCCGAAAGTATCCAAATTTACGTTCACAATATTCATAGCAGCCAGAATGCTTACAGGAGACGCTTTTGTATTTAATTTCCAAACAATAAAACAGTGCCAATGTGCCACAAAAGAGTCTTTATATTTTGTTCCTTTAGCCAGGCGTAGATCATTTGTTATTCCCCCCCACACACCAAAGCAAGGTGCCAAAACCATAAGAGAGCATGCATTTCTCATCTTAAAGAATAAATGAAAATAAATAAACAAACCTCTTCCTGGTCTCTCTGTCTCTCTCTCTCTCTCTCTCTCTCTCTGAGTTGGCAACGCTGCCCTCTGCTGACCGACCAATATAATACACTTGGGTGATAATCTTAAAATGCATTCAAAAACAGAATAGCAGAAACAACAAAAATCCCTTTATTTGTGGAACACAGTTGTAAGACAGGCATTCGAGGTGTGGTCAGAAACACAACTTGAACCAAGATCGGACAAAATGAGTGGTGGTGGAAATATGAGAAGTGGCATAATTGTGCTGGACTGACTTGGGAAGAGACTGAAAGAGGCCGTATTGTATTATTGAGAGCTTGTATTAGATCATTGAAAGTGAAGGATTTGTGTATCATTAGTGGAAAGCACCGGAGTTCTGTAAAGCTCGCTTTTGTTTTACTAGCTATGAACACCCTTCATGCAACCTGCCCTTTATGCTTGTGGACAGGTATACTTTATACTTGGAAAGTTCTTAGAAGCCTCGCTGGCTGTTAAGCAGTATATAAATTAATACTAATGACAGTGATAGTGCTGGTCTAGTAAGACAATCTTGCTTCTGAATTAAAATGAAGAAGACCCATAGCACAGTGGCAGAACACCTGCTTTTGTATGCAGGAGGGTTCCAGGTTCAATCCCCAGCTTCTACAGGGCAGGGAAATGCTTAGAAAGTCAGCCATTAAAAAAGAAGCCGTTAAAGTACGTGGAACAGGATTAAAGTGTTCTAGAAGAAAACAGCAAAGTCCAGCTATCCACTAGTGCCAAGTGCAGGCTCTCAGAAAGGAATTTGCCACACATTCAGACAGCCTACGAATTGAATGGTGTGTAAAGCGGTGGAACATCTGATGCAGAACTCTTCAGCATAAAAGCAAAACCATGGCCAGCCGTAGAGGATATGCTTCAATAATCTGCTATACTTTTGGAAAGTGGTTTGTCTATCTGTCCGTTGGTCTGTCCACTGTGGGTTTGGACACCTCTTGAGATATTACCACACACAGGTTCCCGAGGTGGCAGTCTTTGTCGATGCTGGGCACCATTTTGAATCAAGATGGGTGGCCAAAACGTGACTTTGCCTGATTTTTGGCATGGCAGGTCCTAACTCTGCTAATGTGAAGATACTGTCTTCCCATTTGGCAGGACTTTGGCTTGACTTCACGCAGTTTGGTATGCCAGTTACAAACAAGGTTTCTTGAGGTACAGGAGGAGACTTTTGCCAATGTATGGCTCCCATCAGATGCTCTGAGTCTTGCATCATTGTGTATGTGTGTGTGTATCTAGCCCCAAAACTCATAAATCACATTATCAATTTAAAAATCACAATTTTTTTTAGTTTCTTCAAATGCCTGGGCAGAACCAGACCCTTTCCGCTACCATGGTGGACACTACCGTTGTCGACATTTTCCTTCAGCCATAGTGCTTTTGTCTCTCATGAACTAGTCCAGCCACTGCACTGGATATATGGAGTCTTGGCTCGTCTACCTGTCAGTCTTGATTTAGAGAAGCTCTGCTGATTCTGGGGCTGAAGGAGAGCCGCCTTCTAATCGCAACTTGTCTTTTGTTGCCTTTTGCCAATGATTACTTAAGGACTATGTTCCTGTGTGCTCAGTGATGTGAGGAATGTCAGGTGGGCGAAGTTGACTGAATCCCTTTATCTCCTTAAGCTTGGACATTGCTTCCTCTGGGGCACAGCGTACTTTCTGTGAAAACATTTTTTTGTGGGGGGAGGGAGAGTGAGAGCGAGAGAGAGAGCTCAACCATGCACATTAGTCATGTGCTTTTTTCGAATCACGTGTGAAATCTGCAGTTGCACACAGCCCCATAAAACTTGGACCTACTGTAGCATCACCAATTACTTCTAGATAAACAAGCTTACGCCCTAGATATCTGGGTGGGGCTGTCCTTGATTAACCCCATCACATATGGCAGTACAGTCATACCTCGGGTTACAGGTGCTTCAGGTTGCGTTTTTTTGGGTTACGGACCCGCCAAAACCTGGAAGTACCAGAACGGGTTACTTCTGGGTTTCGGCCGTTGCGCATGCGCAGAAGTGCTGAATCGTGCTTTGCGCATGCGCAGAAGCGCCGAATCGCAACCCACACATGCACAGACGCAGCGCTGCGGGTTGCTAACGCTGCAGGTTGCGAAGGTGCCTCCCTCATGGATCACGTTTGCAACCCGAGCATCCACTGGAATGGCCAGCCAGATACTCTGGGAGCTTTTCTGTATCCCCAGCATCTGTTACTCTGAGGTAGAGTGCCTCTAGATATGGTGGCTCAGCTTAGCAACCATGTCTAGCTTCGGGAGATAGACCTATAAGAGGAGTGGCAAAGCTTTTTTCAGCCAGAGGGCTGCATTTCCCTCAAAGGAACCTCCTGGGGGCCACATGGCCGTGGTGGGTGGGGCCAGAGACAAAATAGGTGGGGCCATGGATGCTGATTTTACCTTTGTACAGTAGGCTTGTTTCTGCACACACCCACACAGATCCCTCTATCCTCCATTCTGGGCACCACAATTTAAGGAGGATACACTGGTACCTCAGGTTACAGACACTTCAGATTACAGACGCCGCTAACCCAGAAATAGTACCTCGGGTTAAGAACTTTGCTTCAGGATGAGAACAGAAATCATGCGGCGGTGGCGCAGCGGCCTCATTAGCTAAAGTGGTACCTCAGGTTAAGAACAGTTTCAGGTTAAGAACGGACCTCCAGAACGAATTAAGTTCTTAAGCTGAGGTACCACTGTATTGACAAGCTGGAAGGTGTGCAAACAAGGGCAAGCAAGATGATAAAGGAACTGGAAACGAAGCCTTATGCGGAACAGTTGAGGGAGCTGGGTATGTTTAGGCTGGAGAAGAGGAGATTGAGAAGAGATACGATAGCCATATTCAAATATCTTAAGGGCTGTTACATGGAAGGAGCAAGCTTGTTTTCTCCGGCTCCGGAGGATGGGACTCAAACCAGTGGCTTCAAGATACAAGAAAGGAGATTCCGACTAAACACCAGGAAGAACTTTCTGATGGTAAGAACTGTTGGACAGTGGAACAGACTCCCTCAAGAGGTGGTGGACTCTCCTTCCTTGGAGGTTTTTATGCAGAGATTGCATGACCATCTGTCATGCATGCTTGAGTTGAGATTCCTGCATTGCAGGGGGGTTGGACTAGATGACCCCTGGGGTCCCTTTCCAACTCTACAGTTCTATGATCCAGGCAAGCAAGAAGCATTATCAGAGTTCAATTACAAAGTCTAGCCAGGCAAAAATACTCAAGGAAGGTGTGAAGTAAGGATGGAGACAACTGGTGGGGGAGCAGATAGAGAAGCCCCCAAGCCTGAGGTTCCCTATTCTTGACCTGTATCATCTACTAATTGGCTTCCCATTATTTAAAGCCACCAAACTCTGTACAAGGCCATCACCATCACTTCCTGCAGCAGTGAATCCCACAGTTACACCCGATGGCATAGAAATCCTTCCATTTTTCTATCCCTAATCCCTTGGCAAGGGATGCGGGTGGTGCTGTGGGTTAAACCACAGAGTCTAGGACTTGCTGATCAGAAGGTTGGCGGTTCGAATCCCTGCGACGGGGTGAGCTACTGTTGCTCAGTCCCTGCTCCTGCCAACCTAGCAGTTCGAAAGCACGTCAAAGTGCAAGTAGATAAATAGGTACCGCTCCGTCAGGAAGTAAACGGCGTTTCCGTGTGCTTCTCTGGTTCGCCAGAAGTGGCTTAGTCATGCTGGCCACATGACCCGGAAGCTGTACGCCGGCTCCCTCGGCCAGTAAAGCGAGATGAGTGCCGCAGCCCCAGAGTTGTCTGCAACTGGACCTAATGGTCAGGGGTCCCCTTTACCTTTACCTTTAATCCCTTGGCAATCGGTTTCTCTGGGTGACACCCCCCTCCCTTTTCGTATAGGGAGAGAGAAATGTTCCTCAGCTAGAAAAGGGTGTGTTCCTTTGACACAAGTTTAAAACTTAGCTCTCTTTGTCCAAAGGTGGCTGAGGTCTGCATTTAGTTGCAAGAATTGAGCCTTCCCAGTGAAACACCGGCAGGGAAATGGGGGTGGGCTGGGGGGGGGAGATTAGCCTGTAGGCTGTTATCTGGGGAGTTCAAGAACAAAAGGAACTCTGTTGAGAGAGCTGAGGCCAGTTTGTTCAAACCAGCCCAGTTTGTACTTCCTGATCGCTTCTTGCCTCCTCCCCAACCCCAGCAGAAAGCCAGGAGGTGTGTGTGTTTCTAAGTAAGCGTATCCAGAGTTGGACTTTCGCTTTTCAGAGAAGGAACTTTGCCTGCCTTCAGGTAAAAGATTATCCCTCGGCTTTAAGAGGAAAGCAGTGCCAATCTGAGGTGCTAACATGGTCCAGATTCCGGTCCTCTCTGGAATGCTCTAGCTCAGCCCCTCAGGTGGGTTTTGAGGCAGTTGAGCCTGTGTCGGGAGGGGTACTTGCCTGTCCATCTGTCCGCCCATAACACTTCGGCATCAGTAGGGAGCCATACCTAGTCAGCGTTTTCCCTTTGCCTGCTAAGACGTGGCGTTCTCCATCTGTGAGTTTGTATGTGTGTGTGCATGTTTTAAAAGAAGGTGTACTTTTGTGGTGGTTTTTGCTCTCCCAGTATCGTTGAGCTCATCCAGGAAGGAAAAGGGTTTGGATCTATTGAGCAACAGAGAAACCGGTTCTGTGGGAGGTCAGCACAAGCAACCGATGTAAATCATTTCTTTGAATGGTTGCAGAATTAACGCACTGTGGATCCTGCGGAGTTTGGGAAATAGAGGAAGGTGCTTGCATGAAATATTCCGTTCAGCAATCAACCAAGGTTTTTTAAAAAAATAATTTTTATTTGATTTTACAGGTGTAGAGTTATAACAATGCAAAATACATATCCATATTTAGAGATTGCTCTGAATCTCTAGATTTTCCACCTTCCCCTCCATGAATCCTATTACTGTATAAACCTTTTCAACTGCATATTATTTCATCATCCAAATTTTATGTGTCTCCAGTTTATCCATAGAATCTTCTGCATTACAAGTGTTACTGCAATCCTGCTAGTGTTTTCATCTGCTTACAGTGGTCTCTCAAGTAAATTATAATTTCCCCCCATTCTTTATTGAAGTTTTGGTCAGCAGTCGTTTGCACCTTACAGCTCTACAGTCCTCAGAAGTTTGAGGGGGCAGCGGCCAGGAAGAGGGCATTCTCTGTGGCCTCCCCTAAGCTGAGGGATCCCCTCCTCGCATCTGCCACCTTCATTATGTTGTTTTTGTTGTGTACCTCTTACCTACGATATCTGATATTTCTCTTTACCTATATAGGACCCACCGTATTCTCTTGGCTGTAGTTTTGTTTTCACTGCATTTAATACTGTAATATTTTTATGGCTGTACCCCACCTCGGGAACTCATGGTGAAGGTGTGCATATGAAATCTCCTCCTTCGTTTGATTACTCTGCAAGCGTTAAGTGCAGACGTTTCCAGTATCCATAAGAAAGTTGTTTTTTTATATATGCTTCTTCCACTCTTTCACTTGCTACCACCAATCCTTTGGCTGTTCTTCCCAGAGACTCTGGGGTCCTTTTCAATTAGGGGAGGATGGAGATCTTATCAGAGCTAGTGGTAATGATGTCTCCTGAAGGCAATTCCACCTGCTGTTAAGGTTGGGGTGTGTATGGAAAGAATAGGCTTATAAAGGAACATAGGAAGCTGCCTTATACTGAGCCCAAACCACTGGTTCATCTAGCTCAGTATTGTCAGCACTGGCCGGCCGTGGCTCCATGAGGTTTCAGGTGGTGGACAGTCCCAGGCCTACCTGGAGATGGTGGGGATCAAACCTGGGGCCTTTTTCATCTATAACAGCTGCTCTAGCACTGAGCTACAAACGCATGTTTAAGCATCTGTATGTGGCTTGCAGGATAGCCACCCTTGGTCTACATACTGACCTGCAGCTGTTTAAGGTTTCAGGCATGGATCTCTCTTAGCCCCACCCAGAGATGCCAGAGATTGAACCTGCATGAAGAACAGGTGCTCCAAGACTAAGATGGGGCTCTACAGTACTTTAGGATGTGTGAGCAAACATAACAGGCCAGGGTACCGGACCTGAGCTATTGCATTGAATGGAACCTGTGGTGTAACTGGGGCAGGCATCCTTGATAGCTGCTCTTAAGCTTGTCCACAATGCAATAAAAAATACATTGTGATTGTGAATATAACTTTTTGTAACTACAGTGTGGTGTTGTTTGTTTCCTCGCAACCTATGGTGAAGATTCAGGTAGGTAGCCAGCAGTGTTGGTCTGACGCAGTCGAAATAAATAAAAAAATAAGAAAATGGTCCAGTTGCACCTTAAAGACCAACTAAGTTTGTTCTGAGTGTAAGCTTTCGTGTGCTTGCACACTTCTTCAGATACCTTTTCTTATCGACCTCACAAAGAGACTTGCGCAGGTACAGGTATCTGAAGAAGTGTGCATGCACACGAAAGCTTACACCCAGAACAAACTTAGGTGGTCTCTAAGGTGCTACTGGACAATTTTCTTTAATGTTTTCACCATACGTTGAAATAATAATTTAAAAAAGACTGGCTGACAGAATGGGCGAAAAACCTCTGCTATAATGTTAGCAGGTTGTTTTTGCAGAGAATGCAAGAGTTACTACTGTATTTGATATTACCACGAACGCAAAATGTACAGACTTGGACTGAGCCTTTATCTTATTTTTTACTGTTTATATGTGCTTTTGTTTTCAAGGCTCGGTTTGCCACTTCTTTCTCTCCCCCCTCCCTTTCAAATTGAGTATTTGTTCAATGTTGCATGGGCAATTCACAGAAAAGATTTATCTGTAGAATGTGCTGAGGTCAGGCCTGCTGGTAACACAAAAAACAAACTTCCTTAGCCGAGGAATCTGCAAAGGTCTTTCAACAGCTGCCCTGGAAACCAGCTGCCCTTCCTGAGGCTGTAAAATGGGGGCGAGGTGCAGGCGGCAAGGTGGATTCCACCCCCCAAAGTGACAGTTTAACTTTTTTTTTTTGCTCTTGCTGCTGCAGCAGCAGTTTTTTGAAGGCTTTGCTTTTTGGTAAATGGATATCTAGGTTAGGAATGTGAGCCTGTCTCCCTGGCATCTTGGCTGGGGGTTTAATATTTAATTGGAGGGGAGGAAACAGAAATGACCAGGCAAGGCTATATCTGCCGTTGCTCCAAAGCAGTGGCTGAAACTTAGAACTCTCTCTACTTTGCCTATTGAGGGGTGGAAGCCACTCAGTGGTGCAATGCACACTAAACACTGGTGTATACCTGCGACTTTAAACCAGCTTTTGCCAACCTGGTGCCCTCCAGATATTTGGACTACAACTCCCACCAACCTCAGCCACTTAGTTCCCCCTTTTCTGCCCCATGGAGGGGACCAAGAAACAGTCACCCACGCCTTCGTCAAATGAATGCTGAGCTACTGCATTCCTCCCTCTGTGGGGCTGCCTTTGAATGTGGGGTTGCAAACGGATGAATGTATTGATTAGAGCAGGCATCCCCAACCTTCAGCCTTCCAGATGTTTTGGACTACAATTCCCATCATCCCTGACCACTGGTCCTGTTAGCTAGGGATCATAGGAGTTGTAGGCCGAGGGCCGCAGGTTGGGGATGCCTGGATTAGAGTATTGAACTGGAACTGGGGAAACCTACCTCAGCCTTCTGACTTGGGGCTAGTATCTCGGCCCTCCAGATGTTTTGAGACTACAATTCCCATCATCCCTGGCCACTGGTCCTGCTAGCTAGGGATCATGGGAGTTGTAGGCCAAGAACATCTGGAGGGCTGAGGTTGAGGAAGCCTGGAATCTGTCCTATCCCTCAGGGTGGTCATGAGGGAAAAACAGAGAGAACCTTTACCGTAAGTTTTGTGAAAGAAAGGTATGATATAAGACTAACATCTAAAAAAACCATGAGCATTGACAAGAGCTGTCGGTTTTGAACTGGCTTTTGGGGCAGACGGGGGCTATGGTTAAGCAAGCTGGCAGAGGGTTTCAGTTCTTTAAAAAATTGTTTAATGTTACTCTGTTAAGGGGACTGTGATCAGTTTTCACACTTCAGCTCAAGGCTTCAGTATCATATGCTGAAAATCTAGAAATACAATTCTGGAGTGATCCTCTGTTTACCTGTCTTATGTGTGCCTTTGGCATTTAAGCGAGTGTCATGAAAGCTTGCAAAATCTTGCTGCTAAGCACATGGTGTCTCCTTTGCTAACCTTTCTTGATACAGAACTTTGCAGTGTTTTTGAAAAAGCTCCTCTGAACTTGATATGGGTGTGTATTTATTTGTTTTCCCCTGGTGTGCAAATTTAATAGTCAAGAGTCAAGATGACCTTCAGGAGTAATTTGCCTGCTTTTGCATTCTCTTTGGAGTAGAAGGGAATAAGCGGTATTCTCCCAGAGATTATTCTGACGTCTGTTCACCAGAAATAACTGCCTGGAAAAAAAAAAAAGGTGTTGTAACACAAATGGATATGTGTAACCTGGATTTCTTGGTTGCTTGTTGAAAGGGTCTGTCCTTAATGGCTCGAAAAACAATACACTCTGAAGGCTTTTGTTTTTATTTACTAGAGCGTTGTACCCAACGTTGTTCAGGAATTCTAAGAAACAATAAAAGCAATGCAGTTTTGAAATGTTCTGTTGGTGATCTTGATTAAAATGGGCATCTAGTTGTATCCAAACATAGATGAAAACCTGCTCCTTGATCTCAAGACCCATTGTGCAAAAATTTGGATAAGATGTCTTAAGAGGTGTCCAGCTACACAGTGAACAAACAGCCTTCCAAAATATATAGTAGATTTAGTTCATGTCTGTCCACCTGTGCTTCTGCTGTGGAACTCAAGGCACTGTTACATTGGGGGTTCCCAGGCTGTGTCTCCCAGGCACTGACCAGATCAGATCTACTTAGCCTGAGTAGATTAGCCGCATCACATGTCTTCTGGATCCTGCCCTGGGACCACTCCTAATGGCAGGACACAGATCACAGATATTTTAGTTACCTGCTTCATTTATCTGGTTTAAGTCTGAATCCAGTCTTGTGGTTTGTTTTGATCCAAACAAACCATGTGTAGTAAGCCAAGAACAAACCTTGGTCGCACCTCGTGGTTTGTTCATAGTAGAATGTAGACAAATGGTAGGGCTGGCTATAGATATGTCTGTTTGCGTTTGTGTTTTAAATGGGAGAAGAAATATTCTGTGACTCTGAAAACCCAAGGCCTTGTACTGTTAATGATGTTACAAGCCTGGTTGGCAGTGGTGCTTAGTGACCAAGTTCTGAGAGGAGAGGGAGATAGGTGATTGCTTTGAGAATGTTAGGTGGGGCCTGGATCAATGCATTCTGATTGGTCTGGATGGTGGCATAACCTGATTGGCTGGAGGTTCTTGTCAGTTGGGATTTAACTGTCAGTTGGGAGAAAGACAGTTGAGGAATTGAAGGGAAAGGAAGGCCTGATTCTCAGCTGGCCTCCACCTGCCTGTAGTCTTATATACAACTAGCCCAAGGGGTGGCCCTGCTTGTCACCTTCCTCCTCAGTCCGGGGGTTGCCCTTTTAGAACTCAGCAAGGAGGAAGAGGATGGGAACAAACCTAGAACTAGTTGGCTCTGCCAGTCCATGCCTCTGGCTCCCCCTACTGTTGGGCTCCCTGCCTTCCACCCTACCAGTCCCAACAGGTGCCACCCATCACTTCCATTAAGCCAAACCATGGCTTTGCTCCCGGTAGTTGGGGAGGAGCGCAGTGGCCAAAATTTTCTCCCTGTGCACCAGTGCACTTCCTCTTTCATGCTAAGCCATAGTTGGGCTTTGTGTTGTGTGCAGATGAGGCCATTGTAATGGGAGAGTTCATGAAGAAGTATGCAACAGAAAGAGTGCATGTGTACCTTCAGTGAAGGAGGTATGTTAATATGCTCCTCAAAATGGCCTACTCCATTCAGTACTCCACCTCTCTCTTTTTGTTCCTGCTCCAGGAACATAGGAAGGTGCACAATACTGAGTCAGATCATTGGTCTGTCTAGCTCAGTATTGACAACACTGACTGGCAGCGGTTCTCCAGAGCTTCAGCGGGAGCCTCTTCTGACCCCACATGGAGACGCCAGGGATTGAACCTGGAGCCTTCTGCATTCAAAGCAGTTGTTCTACCTCCAGAAAATGCTTTCCGCAGAAAGAAAACATAGTTGTGATTTGGAGTTGTCATGATCGTTCTCTCTCTCTGTCTCTCTGTCTCTCTGTCTCTCTGTCTCTCTGTTCTTAACTTGCTTTTTCTCCTCTTCTCTGCAACAGGCAAATGAAGTGACAGACAGTGCGTACATGGGCTCAGAGAGCACCTATAGCGAGTGTGAGACATTCACGGACGAAGACACCAGCACCCTGGTGCATCACGAGATGCATGATGAAGTAGAAACGGATAGCGCAATCGATTCCACTGTGCACTCGGAGTTCACGGACCCCACCGAGGAGCCTGAGAACGGGTAGGTGCTTTATCTTGGTGTTGGGTAGGACAGCAGGAGCCTCTCCGGGAACTTAAAGCAGAGATTTGGAAACTTAGTTTCTTATCAGACCAGCCTTAGGAAGCACAAAACAAAGGGGTAAGTGGCCATTTCTCCCCTCTGCAAAATGTAAGGGCTGCATTCATGCATCACAGTAAGCCATAAAACCACGGTTTACTGTGTGAGAGCCAATCACACTTGTTTCTCTTCTCTCTCTACCAATGCTAGGAAGAAACAGCCCTCTATCCTTGGCTTCGCGGTTGCGTCCGTTGCACTGATTGTGGTTGGGTTTGCTCCAAACCAGCCGCAGTGCTAAAACCTATGTTTACTCTTGGCTAAGTGATCATGAAAACCTTTTAAAACTTCCAGCCACAGTGATGTGTGTGAGTTCTGCTTCTGGCATGGAGAGCCAGGACAATGTTTTACCATGGCATGTGAACTGGGCCAAGGGGAGCCTTGCTGGATCTGATCAGCAGCCCATCAAGCTAAGCAATCTGTTTCCTGCAGTGGCTAACCAGAAGCCGGCCGTTGTCTCCCGACGTTGCTTCTTAGCATCTGATATTCAGGGCTCACCCGATTCTGGATGCAGCAGAGCCATTGTAACTTGTTGGTAGCCATTAATAGCCTTATCCTCCCTGGATGTGTCTAATCCCCTTTCTAAAGCTATCTAAGCCACTTGCCATCATCACACCTTCATGGCAACCAGTTCCCATGCATTTATATCTTCTGCGTGAAGAAGTACTTCCGTTATTCTGTCTGTTTTTGCCATTGGTCGTGGACCCACAGGTGGCTGCAGGCTGATAGGCTTCTCATCCCTGGTTTACGGAATTTGCATTTATTTCATTAAACATTTGTATCAGGTGTCTTTTCTAGATCAGCTCTGGCCAAGGTGGCAAACGGAAAACGAACTATAAAAATACAGTAATCTAATAATAGCACTTTAAAATTTTTTTTAAAAAGGCACTATGTTGAGATACAATTCAGGCAGTATAAAAACAGTTTTGAGAGCCACAACAGAGAAATAGTGTGAACAATTAAAACACGTTCTTAAATGTAGCAACTGAGGAAGTTCTGTCTGGTAGAGGCTGTCCTTGAGCAGGCCTTGCCTCATGTCCCCACCAGTCTAACTAGGACCTAGGAGAGCAGGGTTCAAATCTCCACTCAGCCATGAAGCTCATTCGGTGACCTTGGGCCAGTCACCATCTTTGAGACTAACCGACCTTACAGAGTTGCAGAGGATCCTTGGAAGATAAAGGTGGTATATAAATGCAATAAGTAAGTAAGTAAATTTTAAGGGCAGGCCAACTGCACATGGCCTCAGGCAATGGTCTTAAAGCACAGGCAAAAATGAGGCCTGTGGGTTTCTGGAAGAAAATGCCCTTTTTTCCTGGGGAACGAAGACAGTGGTGTTAAGACTAAAGGGCTAGAAAGGTGAATGGGGGCTCAAACTGGCAACTAGCTGTGTTGCATAGGAGCCAGCTCCTAGGGGCCAAGGGGTCTTCGGACCCCTCAGTAAAATATTTAAGGAAGCAGGGCCCCCCAAAGTTGATGGGCATTGGCATTCAAATGATGTGTGTGCACCATGTCCTGTGATTGATTATGAGGGGCGGGGCTTACCTTCCCCCCAGTATTTTATTCAAGTTAGCACCCCTGCTGTGTTGACCTGTAAGGTTTGTCTTGTGCAGAGCAAAGTCGAAGTTTTGGGGAAGTGCATGCTAATTTCCACCCCTGAGGTTGGGGATATTTTGTGTGTTTTTGAAAAGGCAGTCATACAGTCATGCTGGTACCCCCCCCCCTTTTAAACTTGACCTGTTCAGTGAAAGAAAAAAGTGCATTCATATATCCACCTGCCACCTTCTCTCAAAAGTGTCCAGAGTGTGATTCAACCTGATCATAGCAATCATTCGTCCTGATAAGGCTGGCACAGGGGGGAACCTTCTTGGTGAAGTCAGACCACTGGCCTTCTTGGGCCCGGAATGTCTACGCTGTCAGGAATTGTACCGATGATTTCCTACAAAGTCTGCGCCCTACCACCAAGCTACAAGCCCTGGCTGGGGTTTTGGCTGGCAGTGATTCTCCAGGTTCTCTGGCAGGAGCTGACTGAGGCTGTGACTTAACTATAGCCCTGTCCAACTAGTTGGGCATAAGCCACCATATGTATCCATGAGAAGGGATGACTCCTCAGGTTTTCCATTTTGGTTATCAGGGTGTTGTTGTTTTTTAAGTGGACTTAGGACTTAATTTGTGCCTTTGCACTAGTTTAGGGTTAGGCAAACCTTCTTTTCCCCACCCCCCAATAAACCCTGTTCACTTTCTACTTGGAGCACCTGAAGGAGGACTTCCTATATGTCCACAAGGAGCTGGAGAAGGTTCTGATTGTGATCCGGGGCTGAAAGAGTGTTTTTGCTGCTGGAGGCCCTGCAGATTAAGAGGGGGAACTGGGATTAGCCTCCTGCCGCTTTCTTTGCTGAAATGAGCTGGGCTCAGTGGTTGCTAACCCTCAGTCCGTAATCAGCTTCTGAGCTGCGAGGCCACCAAGGGCCTTTTTTTTTCCTGGAGAGAATTAGCAAGCATGCCAGCTTGCGTTCGCCCTGCCCGGCCTCCTGGGAGTATGGCTCAGTGCATTGGACTCTCCTGCCTGTAGGTACAAATGCCTTTCTTTGGAGGTGGGCGGGTGGGATATTTGTCTTTTTAAAAGTGGAGTTGCTGTGTTTGACCAGGATAGTGGCGGTTCTGTGTGTGTAGCTTTCGAGTGGCTTCTTTACAAGCACTGGAGACGCGCGGTCAAGCAGCCAGCAAATTAACATCACTGCTGCTTTTTACAAAGCAAGGTGGAAAATGCCATTCCTGCAAGTCTTATAAAGAGTTATGTGTGGGATTAATAGATGTGCTAGGGTGGAAAAGAAGTTGAAGCTAAAACTTGAGTGCGGGGGGGGGGGGCAGCGTCATATGCTCCTGGGTAGGCATTGTATTGCCCAGCCAGGAATGGTATGTCCTAGGAGGAGGGGTTTTTTTATCTCTGACACATACATACATACATACATAAATACATAGAATGAGCCTGGACACCCTCCATTTGCTGCAAGAAGTCAGTGGTATGAGGACTAGAAGGAAAAAGAATGGGTGGTGATTTTTCGTTTATTATTATTATTGCCATCATCAATCATTACAGGAACAGATTCCTTTCAAGCCTTTCATTTCCATATTTTGCATTCCAGTGCTTAACAAAGCAAGTCCATCTCCCGACCAGATGGCTCTTCCACAGTCTGCCTTCTCTCCCTTGGATGGAGCGGCACAGTTTATCCATTTCTGCCAGCTCCAGACATTTTAATAACCATTCCTATTCAGCTGAAATTGGTTGACATTTCCACTTTCCAGCCCACACTTATTTTTGCTGCCATCCACATGATCCTAACTGATCTATGGGAATGTTGCTCTCAGTCAAAATGGCAGGAATGATTATTATGATGGCTTCTCACGAGAGCCCAGGGCAATTGTCAGTGCAGCAGCATACAATAATAATAGACAATTTTTTATAATAGTGTGTCTTAATTATTTAGAGCTGCCTTGGAATGTCCCCCCCACACTTTTTAGTGTGGACAAACTAAATTATTTTTTTAAAACAACAACAACCCAAAACTTGATGGACACTCTGTGCCATCTATTTCTAATATGCTAGTGGTCATTCCTAGAGTATGACTATATACCTGTTGATAAAAATGCTCCCCTTTCTATGTTACAAACTATAGTTCATCCAGATGGGCACTTCCTTATTTTGTTGACAAGGATCTGAAATATGGCATTGGATATAGTAAATATATATGGTCCAAATTTGAACTCTCCTAGAATTCCCGGAATATGAGCTATTTGACTGATTAGACATATGAACAGAAGCAGAAATTGGGCCTTTTGCATAACTGGCCTTGCCTTGATCTTGACATGGATTTCCCTCCCATAAGATTGGCTTGACCACTTCTCTCTTGCTCTTCCGCTCCCTCCCTCCCTCCCTCACTGGGGCTTACTAGATTTTAATATCTACTTTCCTCCAATATTTCCTTCCTGCACTGGGGTCTTGATCCCCTCTTCCTTATTTCTGTTTTGCTGGTGGTCAGAAGATCTTCTCCTTGTTGATGTCCAGAGATTTGACTCCCATCTTGCCGCCTTCTGCTCATGCACTTCCCTTGTTTTTAGTGCGTTAGGGCTCTTTATCAAAATAGGGACACATTCCTCTCCCTTTCCAGAAGCTTACTTACCATGGCCAGTATTTTTGAGCCATCAAAAATGCCTGGCTAAACAGGAATGTTTCAAAATTTCTTCTGAAAGTCAGTAGTGAGGGAGGGCACTCCACAGATGGGGAACCACCGCTGAAAGGGCCCTGTCCACCGCTGAAAGGGCCCTGTCACAGATGAACACCAGCTGAGCAGCAACTGGAAGTGACACCACCAACAGAGTGGTACCGCTGCTGCCAGAGGAGAGGTCACCAGTTCCTTGTGTAGTGTATTTATTTTTACTCTCTTCCTCAAATATCAAAATTAAACCCAAGTTGTGAGCCCAGTTTAGATGACCGATTTTGCTTATTTCTTTTGAAGATTGCTTCCCAGAATTTTGTAATCTTTTCATAACACTAGCATGCAATTACACACCCAGACCCCACAGATACACACAAACCTTAAAACACAATGGAGCAAATCCCAAAAGTAGCATAATTGTATATTATCCTTGGGCAGTGCTTGTAGCTTTTTCATCATGTGTACTTTGTTTTGGAGTACTTCAATCTGAATCTCTGTATTGCCTTTGCTTTTGGGAATTTTTCATCAGCAGCGAGGAACACAGCCTCACTCCTCCTCCTGTTTCCTGGATGATAGCACGACTGTTCCGTCTGTTAACACAAAATGCGCACACACTTTTGCATCCCTAGAATTGCTGATAACTCTGGGTTTCCTGTTTTTGAATTAAGGAAGGACCAGTGTCACGAATTCTCATCCACACAGAGGTGCAGGGGTTTGGTCCTTTTTTTTAAAGCCACTTCTTAACTCTGATTTAGAAATTATATTTGAAGAGCCTTTCCAAGTCTTTAAAGTTCTTTAGTCCTGAAAGACCTGCAGCTCACCTAAAGATTCAACCTCATTTACCTTGCAAAGTGGGTGGCCCTTAGGCCCATTTTCCAGTCAGGGAAGTGAGGCTGCAAGACCACGTCCCAAGACCTGTCCAGTGACAACTCAGCTAGTTTAAAATGGCAAACGAGGACTCGCATCTGTGACTCTGTCTGCTAGTCTGTGCACCCATGTACGAATGGCGTGCTTTTTGTTATGGAATGCTGGTATCTGTGAAATAAGCCTGGCGTCTGTTCCTTTGACAAGTTACACTGCTTAAAAGTGTGTTCCTGGGCCCTTAATAGGATTATGCGGTCCTAAATGCCGCAACACTTTAATATGTGGGTTGGCTGTGCAGCTGAAAATATTTTACCGTTGATTCAGCCGCCTCTTAGATTGGTTGCCTGCCATACAGCCACTGCCTTATTGTATGCACTTTCTACAAAGGACATAAGTTTTGCTTGGCCCAGCTATATTTGCGTTGTGCTTAGGCATTCACAGCACATTCTGCAACGCTGGGTCTGCGCAGATTTGCAGCCTTGGGTGTATGCATGTAAACACTGCCATGTGTCATGTGCCTTGGCCTTGTGTGAATGCACAGCTTGAGTGGTGTACTCCAAGGCAGAGCAGTGATTGGTTTGGTCGCCAAACTAAAACAAGGAAGAGGGGAGGATTGCATCCAGTGTAAGAGTCCTGCTGCATCAGGCCAAAGGTCCATTGAATCTAGCATTGTTCCCATAATAGCCAGCCAGATGCCATTCTGCCATCTACAGAAGACTGCCATGCAGGCCCCTGGCTCTCCCTGCATTTCGCACTCTGCTGGCTGAGGCTGATGGGACTATGAGTCCAATGCAGCTGGAAGGCACCAAGTTCATAAAATCTCCCTTTTAGCTTGCAGCAATCACCGCTGCTCCTGTTAACCAAGTCAGCCCAAAATATTTATCTACTAGCAGACCCCGTAAGTGGCATTGCTCAGGCATTGCTAAGAAAGCATAAAATCAACACCGTTGCTTTGATCAGTTCAGTCTGCCGCCTTGGTTCAAAATGATGTGCAACCGTATCCAAACACTGACAGAAACCTGTTCTTTGATCTCGGGGATCATCATGCAAAATTTGATTATGATATCTTAAGAGGTGCTGAAATGCGTAGTGAATGAATGAACTAACAACTTTCCAAAATATATAGTAATGTAAAGGTAAAGGGACCCCTGACAATTAGGTTCAGTTGTGGCCGACCCTGGGGTTGCGGCGCTCATCTCGCTTTACTGGCCGAGGGAGCCGGCGTACAGCTTCCGGGTCATGTGGCCAGCATGACTAAGCCGCTTCTGGCGAACTGGAGCAGCACACGGAAACGCCGTTTACCTTCCCGTGGGAGTGGTACCTATTTATCTACTTGCACTTTGACGTGCTTTCGAACTGCTAGGTTGGCAGGAGCAGGGACCGAGCAACGGGAACTCACTCCGTCGCGGGGATTCGAACCTTCTGATTGGCAAGTCCTAGGCTCTGTGGTAAACCACAGCGCCACCCACGTCCCTTGCCAAGGGATTAGGGATAGAAAAATGGAAGGATTTCTATGCCATTGGATGTAACTGTGGGATTCACTGCTGCAGGAAGTGATGGTGATGGCCATGTGCAGACTTTGGTGGCTTTAAATAATGGGAAGCCAATTTGTAGATGATGCAGGTCAAGAATAGGGAGCCTCAGGCTTGGATCCTGAATGCCATTGTGGTGAAGCCACATGATAAATGTAATAATACATAAATGATTACATAATGACTGATAAATGTCATAAATAATAATATTGCGGTCCTTTGGCAGCAAAAAAATGCAGGCAGCAGTTTTGAGCATGACTCCATCAATGCCGCTCTCTGCAGGGGTGTGGCCGTCATTTGTTGGAAGCGGTGGGTGTGGTGAACTCCTTGATTCCTTCTCTTGAGATACTGACTTCCCTTTCCACCAACAGATCTCACCCTCATGACCTTCCTTTGACCTCGGACATTAACAATCACTCCATCGTCACCGTAATTAGCGGGGAGGAGCACTTTGAGGACTACGGGGAAGGGAATGAGGTGGATCTCTTCTCAGACAGCTTGTGCAACGGAGAAAGTGGCTTCAGCAGTTCATCCTTCCTCTCTCCCAGGTAAGATGGCCAGAACCTGTGTCTCATGTTGCTGCATTTTGAGCGTTTCTCAACTGGCTGGTGCCTGTCTCTAAGCTTCTTCCGTAGCCTATCTTTAGCACCACCACCACTGGTTGCGGTGTCGAAAATAACTGTTGCAGATAACTCTGGTTATATGTCTTTGAGCCAGCCGCTAAACCAACCTTTCCCAATATGGTGCCCTCAATAAAGTTGGACTACAACTCCTATCAGCCCTAGCCAGCATGCTACGCAAGTTGAAGCTGATGGGAGTTGTAGTCCAGCAACATCTGGAGGGCACAGGTTGGCAAAGGCTGCAGTAAACATTGGCCGGAGGGAAATCTATTAGAGCTGTGCAGTTAGCAGTATTGGTGAACAGTCATGAGATTGCTCCAGCACACGGCTTCCAGTTCTGCTCTGCTTTAATGGAGGCAGGCCCCATGACAGCAGGAAATCGTTGGTGAAGGAAAAACAAGGATGATTAAGTGTAATTATCCTTGCAAATCCCACCCCCACCCCCAGGGACAGGGGGAATGGGCTTTACTCGCAGTTCATCTCAGTATCTGGCTCTCGCTCTGGCAAGGAAAGCACTTTGCCTGTCGAAAACCCTCCAACGCTGCCATTAAGAAGCAGAGGTTCTCCTGTTAGAGTTTAATTGAACTAAAGTACAGGCGCATGCTAGAAGAGATGAGATCACAAATTCCAGAGCCAACCCAACTGCAAGGACTTTAAAGTTTGAACTTGAGATAAGACTTCATTTGGTGCAAAATACAGAGGGAGGGGAGCCTACAGTTTCTTTATTTAAAGTTTTCTTCTCTACATTTATGATTTGGCAACCCTCCTCTGAACATTAGTTCAAATTATATTTGTACAAGCAAGGATGGAAGAAATTGGATTATAAATACGGAATGTAACATCAAACGAAACTGTGAGTGTAAAAAAAGCAAAAAGGGAGGAAAGCTCTATTTTGCAAAAGGTTTATGATGGAAACTTAGAGCTGATTCCCCATTCTTTATTGTTTAAAGTGAACTGAATAACGCTAAGAGGACTTGGAATTTAATTTAATTGGAAGTATAATTGCTCATATATCTTCAGTTGGAAGGAAGGATGAAAGGAGTCTGTGAACTGCCAAGGAACTGATAAGGTTTTTATTGAGTCATCTACAGCTTGACAGATCACTCTTCTTCCCAGGCTGAGAGGAAAAATGGTGACAACAGGTTATTTATTGAGTGACTTTTGCAGCTGTTGTTAAAGTTACAAAACAGTGAAGCACGGGACAGGGTGAGGGTGAAATTTCTGGAACAACGATGGGATATCAGCTCCGTCCAAGGCATGATGGATAACAACAACAACTGGGGGAAAGAAAGACATAACATCTTACGAGGACAGGAAGAAACACCATGGACAGAATAATTGCCACACACAGGAAGAACAAGAATAAAGCTTGAGTTCCTCACTTGTAGTTTTATAAATCATTTAATGTGTCAACACGAATAGAAGTTATTAATACTGCAGCTGTTGTATAAGGGATTATTATTATGACCGGAATGTAATTGAAATTAATAAGATTTTGGAACGCAGAAATAATGCAAATAATCAATCCATCAAATCCAGCATGCAGGGGCCTACTTCATCTGAATTATATAATTCGATATTTGAACAATTGGTATTAATAATTGTATCATAAGTTGGTATTGTTATAATGGGGCTATTATTAGACTGTAATTGAAGACTAATAAAAAAATTTTGCTCCCGCACACACATCCTGATCACAGCTCCACAAGCACTTGGGCGTACTTTCAGCAGCGGCACACTAGCATATCAAACATGGGTCAAGTGGCGGATGGGAAGGTCTGGTTGTTTCAGCACGTTCCCAGCACTGCCTGGTCGCGCTGTCTCCACATTCTCAGCACTCCCCACCCAGCTGGGGTTAGCTTGGCTATTGGGTACTTCCACCAAACAGGTTTTTGCTGGTATCGAGTTGGCTTGTTTACCAGCCTGATACTCTGAAGCCGTCAGGGCACACCTTGCCACAGTTTTCTCCCCTCTGTGTGCTGAATGTGCAGGGGAATAGCTGTGAGCCAACAACACACAGGCAGCAGGAAGAAAGTGACTGTGCTACATAGCAAGCTGCACCATCCCAAGTTAGATTGTTGGTCCATCTGGCTCAATCTTGTCTGTACTTACTGGCTCTGCAAGATTTCGGAGAGAACTCTTGCCCCGTTCTACCTGGAGTTTTAAGCTGACAGCATCCACATGAAAAGCAGAGGTGCTCTCCTTCTGCAAACATAGGAAGGTGCGTTGCACTGAGTCAGACCATTGATCCATCTTGCTTGGTATTGTCTACACTGACTCGCTGCAGATTTCCAGAGTTTCAGAGAAGGGTCCTTCCCAGCCTGACCTTATGCATGGAAAGCAGATGCTCTACCACTGAGCTGTGACAAAAAGCCCTGTGCACCACAAATCCTGCATCTCTCACCTCTACAGATCCATATAAATGTGTCCTAAGCAGCAGGGAGAAAATGATTTGTGTGAGAGAGCGATACTTTCTTCGGCTGCACGAAATAGCTATGGAAGATGATGGGTGTCACATACCTTCTCTGATGCCTTCTGAGCATAATAAAGCACCTTTCTCCTGCCTTTCCCATGCAGTCCATAGAGATGCCTTCATTTTAGGGCATTTCTCCCATATCTGTCCAGATGTTTCTCTACCTGGATTACATGTGCCTGCGGCACACAGGTCATCATGGCCTGTGCCCTTGGCATGCAATGGGTCCAGGTTGCCAGGTGTGCTAGCAAATCACCCAGCAGCTTAGTGCAAACACATCTTCCCTCCATGCAAGGAAATGAGTGCTTTGATGGGATCTAAGTAAGGCCATGTGCAGATTGACCATACCTTGGTGCCAAATGAACCTGCTGGGAAACGAGGCAAGCAGGAGGAGCCAGTTTGTCATAGGAACAGAGGAAGCTGCCTTATCAGACCACCGGCTGGCAGCAGCTCTCCTGGATTTCAAGCAAGCGTCTCTCCTAGTCTCTAGCTTGCAGATGCAACCTGGGGCTGTCTTGCCAAACGGGATGCCCCTGAAAGATGCTGAGCTGGACTCTGGCTACCGGCTGCTACCGGCTTGTGTGGTTGTTGACAGGATGCTTGGCGCTGGCTAGTCCTGCTGAGTGAGCAGGAGAAAATAGGGAGAGTTGCACAAATGGGTTGAAGGGCTTCCTGTTGTCAGTGGTCCAGCAGGAGCTGGGATTTCCTATGGGGATGTGAACAGGAAGATGCATCTTACTCCTCTCCTAGCTCAGAAGCTGCCATCTTGTCCCAGCAAGCAAGTCTACTGCATACAAATATGTCCTCTACTCTCTGCACTCCTGAGGTTGTTATACTTAAGGATGGATGGATCTGTCAGTTGACTTCTCTCTGCTTCTCATTTTTTCCAACCTTGAATTCAGTTCTCTTCATTTCTGCAGCAATTTGTGTTTTGTTTTTTTAAAAAAACCTTCATTTAAATCCCAAGCGGAAATACAAAAAAAAACAGGAAAAACAGGAGGGGGGGGCTCAGCGACCACAGAATGCTTGTTTATTGTAGGATGGGGGAGAGAGGGAATGGAGAGGTGGACTCCGGAACAGCCACCCTCCATGTTGCAACACAATGGCGGTGTAGCTTGAGAATGACTTGAACATCTTTCTATGCTGAACAGAGTGCTTCTTCTATTTGCGGTTTGGTTTTGCTCTCTTCTCCCAGTCTTCCCCACAGTGCTGCCCTTACTTAAGCAAAAGCAACAGCTTTTGGTGGTGTAGTGGTTAAGAGCAGTAGACTCGTAATCTGGTGAACTGGGTTCGCGTCTCTGCTCCTCCACTGCAGCTGCTGGGTGACCTTGGGCTAGTCACACTTCTCTGAAGTCTCTCAGCCCCACTCACCTCACAGAGTGTTTGTTGTGGGGGAGGAAGGGAAAGGAGAATGTTGGCCGCTTTGAGACTCCTTCGGGTAGTGATAAAGCGGGATATCAAATCCAAACTCTTCTTCTGTAGTATTTACACAGAGAGGAACATTTTGCTTTGCAACTTGTGAAGAGGTGGTTCTCAAGTCCAGATTTCCAAAGCAGGGTGTTTCTGCAATTAACAAGTTGCAAGCTTTTCCTACTCTCAAAGGAGGGAGCATTGTATTCCAAATCATGTGGAGCGAAATGGAAAGTGTTGTATCAGTTAGCACCAGAGCTTGTTCTTCTCTAGGTTTGATTCTTCATTGTGCTTTTTTCCTCCGCCTTGCAAGCTTCAGCTCCTGCTAGGCCGCAGTGTTCAAAAATTATTATTTTTTTTAAAAAGTGAATGACTTCTTTGGGGGTAGGAAGGGGATCAATTGTGGGAGTTTGTTGCACATTTTAGAACAACTTCATCTGAAATCAGTAGCTTGGTATAAGAATGCTGTTATGCATACAGTGCCAAAGCTTTTTGACTGCACACCAAGAAGTGTGAAGCTCCTGCAGTTTGCAATGGCTTCAGTTCTGGCACCATAGGTCAGCATGTTCGGACATCTGCCACAGACCCACATATTCCTGCAGGGGTCCCTCTGACAAGAGCCCCCTGGACCAGCTGCAGTAAAGGATGCGCATTCACTGAGGGGGCACAAAGAGGGGGTCTTTCCCAGGGCCCTCCAAACCCCGGGACTGATGCTGCTTGGCTTGTTGCTTCTTTCCATCCGAATAGATGCTTGCAGCCTCCTCTTGAGATGTAAGTTGCTCAGCAAAACAGTAGGAACTGAGCCAAGTCGTTTACTGTCTTTCCAGCTGTTTGTAAATTTAACCTTGTTTCTACCAGCTCACACCTCTGTGTGTCTATGTTTGTGTTTGCGTGTGTGTATATGAATTAAACCTCTCCTTTGTGGTTTTCACTATTAACCTTATCTCTGATTTAAACCTTGTGGCTTCCAGAAGTTTATTTCAATGGAGGGGAGGTATAACCACCTGCCTCTCTCAAACATATTTTAAATCCTTACTGCAATTTTTTCTTTTTTAGCTGTCACAGTACCAATAATGGCTGCCACAGATCACTACACGTGTAAATGTTGGCACAGATCACGTGCAACTACGTTGGCTTGGGGAGAGTTCCAAGGGTCACACAGAATAGCCTGGAGAGCTATATTTGGCTTCTGGGTTTGACGTTCCCATCCAGTATCCTATATAGTGTGGATGGGATCTGGCTCTCCTGATAATGACCTTTGCAAAGGCTTCTAGCAAGACAGATGAGCATCAGTTGGGACACTCTATTGCAGGTATTCCCAAACTGCAGTTCATAGACCACCAGTGGTCTGCAAGCTTCATTTAGGTGGTTCACGGCGTGTTGTCTATGGATTTGTGGTTGAAGATGAGAGAAGGCACATACACCACATTAAATATTAATATTGATTTAGAATGGTATTTTTCTTGATGCTTTTTTAATTGGAAAAAAAATACCAACTGAGCACACGCACACCCTTTTCCCCAAAAGCTCAGTTCAGATGTAAAGTTCATGCACAAGCACTGAAGTGGGGAGAGACTGACAGTTGTTAAAATCCATAAGAAGGAAAATGTGGATCCAACCATATGTTAGGGGATGCTGCAGTTTGTCCTGTAGGGTCTTTCTTTGTGTGCTGGATGAGTGGCCACCAGTTCATGGAATTCAAATTATAATACAATGAAATTCAAATTAAAAGAAATAAAAGAAGCAGTAATAATACAATTAAAAATCATGCACAGTGCATTACAGTTTCTGCAACAGGCAGAAAACTCATGAAGTGGTCTTCTAAGACGCTCAGCAAATCTTCAAGTGATTCGTGGGGTGAAGTGGCAGTTTGTTGGAAAGAGGCAGCAAATCATTGTCTCCTTGAAATGGCATTAACTAGCCCACGCCTTTCTTTTACAAAACACCACCTGCCTCCAAAATTGGCTACTCGAGAGCATCCGTCGTCTTCTCCTTCAACTTCTGGAAGCCACAGGTGGAATCGAGGGGCTCTGCCTGAATGTTCTTCTTTTTTACAAGAATGACACACTTGTGATTTTTCTAGCACCAACCCACTTGCGGCGAAACTGCACAGCATTATCACTGATGAGGCGTTTGAGTTTTACTGTACCCAGTGCCACAAACAAATCAACCGCCTCGAGGACCTGTCTGCTCGCCTAAATGATCTTGAAATGAATAGGTAACTCGTTTGGGGCATGAGACACTCTTCTTTTTAAAGTTGCATGATTTATCTGTTCATGGGAAAGTAGGACTTGCATGGTTTGCTAAGCATGGGTGCTCGCTTTTTTCCTTCCTTCTTTCTTGTTTAACAAATCACGTCTGCAGTACGTACAGAGGAAGGGCCCTGAACTGCTGTTGTCTATTGTTGAAGGCTGAACTGTGAATCAGGAATCTAGTTCGAATCCAGTTCGAATCTAGCCTCTGCCAATCTGCCTACCAGGCAGCTTTAAGTGATATTTGGGCCCCTGTTATTGAAACCATTTGATATTTGGGGAGCTTACGCTGCAGGGTGGGCCTATTTCCTTTGAGGTTTGCCAAATTGGTTGGTTGGTTTATTTCACAAGATTTATTTTATATACCACTCGAATGTAATACAATAAAACCCCAGAGCTTATTTACAAAAATAACAAATTTAAAACGGCTAAGTGTGATGATGGAGCAGTGTATTATTCAGTTGTGGTTTCCCCCACCCTCACCCCCCATCCTCTTAGTAATATCAAGTCCATTTTCTTGCATAAGATAGGAACATAGGGTTGTGGCCCTCCAAGTCATACTCAAGAATGGACCCACTGCAATAGATCCAAGTTAGTTTTGTCCATTAATTTCAGTGGATCGACTCTTAAGTAGAGCTTGGCATTGGAGACAAGCCATAGGAAGTTGCCTTACACTGAGTCAGGCTGTTGACCCCTTTATGTCAGTTCTGGTCTGGGTCTGTCCAGGATTTCAGGCAGGGGCCCCTCCCAGCCCGATCAGGAGACACCAGAGAATTGAACCCAGGACCTTCTGCATGCAAGCAGCTTCCCTGTCACTGAGCCACAGCCCTTCCCCATCACCCTCTTCACTGCCTGTGTGTATATCTTCAGGGAGGAAGGCTGTTTCTCAATAGCAGTCTTGATCACTGGCTGCTGATAATGCACATCAGTGTCTGTGCAACTTGCACTCAGTTGACTGCCCTTAAAAAAAAGGTTGGGAGATGGAGGTGTTTGTTAGCGCTGCACGTGAAAACACTCTATCTCTAGCCCTTCAAAACCAGGAAGAACACTGCCAGTGAGAATCCTCCTTTTTGCATTTTCTCTGCTCTGCAATTAATCTCCTTTGCATGAACTAATCTGTGTGTCTGAAGCAAATGGCGTTTCTGGATTCCTCCTTGGTGCCTTTGTGATCTACGCTGGCCTAAGGAGAACGGGGCGTGGGGAATGGCAGCAGCTAGCGAAAGAGGTGGGGGGCTTCAAGCAAGACGAGGCAATGGTGGTATTAGAAAGCAGGTTGAGAATTGTAGATGAATATGTTGGGCAGGCTTGGTAAATGGAGACCGTAGCGATCGCTGCAAGCCATGAGGCAGCTGTCACCAATCTAGCCCCCTCCACCTGCTTTGGATAGCATCTCTCATCAGCCTCAGTCAGCACAGATGTTGGCAAATGTTGGGATAAGCCATGGCAGAAGGCATGGAGTTGGGTATGGCAGATGGGAGGAGGAGATGAGGCAAATAAGAGAGGAACATGAGAGGCCTTGCTGCAGTGCAATCTTATGCAGCTCTACTCAGTAAGTAAGCTTAATTGAGTATGTGTGCAGGTTTGTAGTCTTGTCAATTGATCTACTGCATTTACTTGAATCTAATGTGCCATTGAATCTAATGCGCACCCTAATGTTCATGATGTAATTTGGCCAAGAAAGGTGCGCTTTACATTTGAGTTAATGTGGTATTTAGCTCAGTATTGTCCGCACAATGACTGGCAGTAGTTTTTCAGGCAGGGCTCTTCCCCAGTCCTTATTTGGAGATGCTGGGGGTTGAACCTGTGACCTTCTGCATGCAAAGCAGGTGTCCTGCCACTCAGATACCAGCCCCTTCCAGCCTGAAGGAAATGATTGCATTAGATCGGTGTGGTGAGATCAAAGGCTTATGACAGTATTGCAAACATTGTGAATGGAGATGTCATGTATTCTGAGAACCCCCTTTTCATACTGCTTCATGGATTTCCAGCAATTATATTATGCTGAATGTCCAACATCCCTAACTCCTTCTGGTGGATGTTCACAAGGGGAAGTCACAAAAGGCATGGTTTGGGGAAGAGATGGTGTGACAGTGGAGGCTGCTATATCAGGGCAAGTGGAGCACTGGCCCTCTAACCTCAGCCCAGCCTCAGCCAGCCCCCACCTGCCCACTCCGACACATTGCCAGTCTAAGAAATGGCACAGCCAATCAGCTTCCTTCTCCTTAGGCTCCGGGTTGCCCCTTGTAGCACTCAGCAGGGAGGAGGAGGGCGACAAAAGTTGGCTTTGACTCTAGTTCTGGCTGTGCCTGTCATTGGCTCTGGCTCCACCTACTGTTGGTCCCTCCCCCTGTCTTCCGCCTTACCAGTTCAAGTGGGCAGCAGCCACCTCTGAACATGGCAAGGACGTCTTGGTGCCATGTGCCACTGCCAACAGGGACCTGCGGCCACTGCTGGCTGCGTGTGCCTGTATGACATGCCTACTGCTAAAGTATGTTCAAATCCATGTTGCCGTTTTTACACGCAGATGCCTCCCCTTTCTCTCCACTGGAACTTAGGTTGTAAATGCCAAGAAGAGGCTGACCTTTGTTTGCATGTTTCTCTGTACAGCACTGCATGCATTAAGGGTGCTATATATAGAATCTCAGCATTGAAAAGGACCTCCAATACCTTTTAGTGACTCTCTGTTGATGCAAGAAGCCCACTCCTACAGCTTCTCTGATAGGCGGCTACCCAGCTTAAAAACCTATCGCAACGGTCAATCCATTCCTCTCTGTGTGTTTGCATATATTATGTTCTGCTCTTAAGGACCAGCCCTACCATTAGGCAAAGTGAAGCAGTTGCCTCAGGTGGTGGATGCTGGCAGGTGGGTGGCGGCAGCAGCAGCAGCACCTTCAGCCATTCCTGCTGAGCCTCCTGGGCATTCTCCTCTGGTGGAGGTCAGAGCTATGTGTGCTAGAGACTTGTTATGCACCCCCTAAACTAGCCTGCTGCCTTCATGTGTGGTGGAGGACACAATCCCTTTCCCAGTGTTGAAGCAAGATTAAAGTCCCAGTCCAGGCCACACTTGCGCCAAACATTTAAAGCACTATGCTGCCATGTTAACAGCCATGGCTTATCCCAAAGCATTCTGGGAACTGTCATTTGTTATGGGTTCTGAGAGTTGTTAGGAGACCCTTTCTTCCTCTCACAGAGCTACAGTTCCCCAAGTGCTTTAACAATCAATTCACCTTTCCCAATGAACTCTGAGAAAAGTGCTGGCTGTTAATGTGGCACCATAGTGCTTTAAATGCATGGTGCAGATGTGACCCCGGTCAGATTCTGCTCTTGGAATTGTGGGAGATGGGGGACAGATGCCCTCTTGTCCTTTGCCTCAGTGGATAAAAATATTTTGGGCAAGCTGTTGCTCCTAAGTGTTATATATCTTAGCAGTTAAAACTTAGTCCCTGAAACAGATACACACACCTCTAGAGGTCAGAAAAGGTGATGCCACGATTTGGGCTAGAAACCTTTTTCCTAGGGGTGACCTTTAAGAGTTCTCTCAGCCCCACTACTTACTAGGTTTGGGTTCTCCTCTCTCTGCTTCTTGTCATGTTTCCAGTCATCCTTCCGGCCCCTTCTCCTCTTTCTCTGACAGAAGCTCCTGCTTAGAAAGATGGCCAAGGCACGTCCAGCCTTGTTTCGTAGTGGGGCTTTTTCAGGTGTGTGCATTTGGCTTCACCTCTGTGTGCCACAGACCTTTTCTGTGGTGCGCCTGTTTGAGGTACGTTGCTTGGCACTCCCTGCACCTTGCTATCGGGGGTTCAGATGCCCGCTTGGCTGACAGGTGGGTTTAAATCCAGCAGAAGCCGAAAGTCCCACCACACTCAAGTTCTATTCTTAGCCTCGGGATCTGTTTTCAGGACTGGCCAGCGAACGGACGCGGGGGGAAGAGGAGCGGTGGACGCTCCTGCAGGCACCGCAGAGGGCCCGTTTTGTTCCGTTCCGATGTTGCAGCGCTGCTAAAAACGTGTGCAGAAAAGATGTTGCCTCTGGCTGGGTTTAGATTTGGGGCGGGATGGGGTGGGACATGGGGTGCATGGCCTGGGTGTGCTGTGTTGTGCATTTGTGCCGTGAATTGTAAAGGATATGCCCCTGCCGCTCTGTCTTCGCTTGCTTCCTGTTTCGCTTGTTGCTCTTGGGTGTCAGTTTTCCTGACTTAGTTTTCCTGTTGTTCATTCCACAGTCCAAATAAGAGGCTCTCAAGCAAGAAGGTAGCCAGGTACGCTCTGATGTTCCTTTTACTCTCCCTGCGCTTGCTCTCAAAGCCCACTCGACAGCTTCCTTGCATGGGCCCCCCCCATGTGGTGGGGGTCACTCTTTCTCCTTCCACCTTCTCTTTTCAGTGACTGCATGAGGGCAGTTTCTTTCCTTGTTTTTTAAAAAAGTACATCTCCTGAGCAGTTACATCTTTCGGCGTTGCATGCTAGAAGTGCATGTGGGTGGTCTTTGTTTGGTATGTTTTCTTCTTGTCCCAGAGGGAATTGATGAAGGTACTCCTGGAGGCTCTATTTATATTTTGCTTGGATTTGAGGACTCTTGCAGTTTGGGAGGGTTGTCATTTTTTTACTCGTCTGCGGGGGGCTGGTGGAGAAGGGGGACACAGCGAACCCGCATTTCCACACTGGGTACAGAGGAGGGGGCTTCTCCCTGTAGCCTGTTTGGTTTCTCTGCTGGGTGCTCAGGAGGGCCGGATTGCTTGACCTGTCCTCCATCTGCCCTACTCACCAACTGACATGCTGCTCCTTGTTACCAGTCTAGCACTTAAATTTGGAAGGCTACCTTGTCTCAGGGGTAAAAGCTGTAAGGCTTCTGCCCAGCGTACCTTGGGAGACTGCTTTCTCCACGTGGGGCTCTCCTGTTAAAGCATCTCAGACATCCACCAGCACACACTTTATTTTAATGATTATTCTCTACACATAGGTTGCAAAAAGAACAAAGTGTGAGAAAGGGCATTCTTGGGGCTTCTTCCTGCTCTGGCTCGCTCTCTTTCCCCAACCCGCCATTATGGAATAGCATCCTGCTGCTGATTTGCCAAAATTCAACCAGAGCATGTGGATACCCATCTGTTGGTCCGCCCTTCGGGACTCACGATTAAACTATGAAAGTTGCACAAGGGGTGGGTGTTCTTCACTGGATTAGGTGTTGCTTTTGCTGCCGTTTTGGGTCTGGGAAAAGGGGTTAGCTTTAATCAGAGTAACCCACTTGAAATTAACAGACATGGTGAACTTAGTTCCTTTCTTTTCAATAGGTCTACTCTGACTAAAACTTAGGTGGATACATTTAAGCAGCTAAAACACCAGCAACTGCCTCCCCCAAAGTAGGTGATACACACACACACAGTCCTCCATCTATTTTTAAATTCTATTCTATTTATTACATTTATACCCAACCTGAGCCTCTGAAGTGAAGAGATAGAGGAGCATTTAAAAACTACATGGGAGGGACTCCTCACACACCCCAGCCCTGGGTAACGTCCATGAGAGGTGCCTATAAGACTGGAGCTTTTACATCACTTTCCTCGTTTATTGGGGGGCAGGATGCAGCTCACCAACCCTCTCATGCTAGCTGGCCAGTGGAACCAGTTTCTTTCCGACATGAGCACTGGTTGGGACAATATTGATTGCCCAGTCACCGCTGTGTCCTCCTCCTGCCCCCACAGCCAGAGGTAACTAACATGGCATCCTCCAAATAAATACTGCTGGGCCCCAACTGCCATCAGCCCCACCTAACATGGACTAGTGGTTAGGGATGATGGGAGCTGTAGTCTAGCAACCTCTGGGTTAGGTTGGCTATCCCTGCCAATTGGCCTGGCTCAGATTTAATGAGCCATCAGGAAGGAGGCTGTGCTTGCCCTCTTGCAGGGCTTTTGGGGTGGCATTTCTTTACCAAAGCTGATGGTATTCCTGGCTCTGCCTTGTTTGCAAGAGACAGGTTTTGCTGCTGTGGAGGGAGATCTGGAATGAGGTCCATAGCTTCCAAGCTGCCTGTATATATTTCATGCTTTCCTTTGGTTGATCAGCAGTGTAACTTTTATTAACCACCTGTAACCTATCATTAACCACCTCTTATTAACCACCCTTCAAACACTACAATGCGTTCACAGTCTCTCGGTGCATGAATTTCTGTATTAAGGCTTTGCATGGCGGGTGGGGAAGGCAGGGGACGCCCAAAGCCTGCCTCCCCCTTGTCCTTTGGGTGGAATATTGAACACTCTTTAAGTGATAAAGTGCATTACTAGTTAACAGCTGATAAATGTCTGACCTGGGTGTCGTGTCATAAAATGATGGCCTTTGGACCACAACAGAGGCACACAGGGAGAAGTGTTAAAATGGAAGCAGCTTCCAAATGTGTGGGGGCGTAGAATCGTAGCATTGTAGAGTCGGAAGGGACCATGAGTGTCATCTAGTCCAACCCCCTGCAATGCAGGAGCCTCAACATGATGGGAGGGCTTGTTTTATGAATTTGCTCTCTGCCTCCCAGCCTGCCTCTTAGGGAACACAGAAAGCTGCCTTATGCTTTCCACCTAGCTGAGTATGGTCTACACTGACTGCCAGTGGCTCCCCAGGGTTTTAGGCAGAGAAATTTCCTGCCCCTACCTGAAAATGTGGGGATTCAACCTAGGAACTTCTGAATGCAAGGCAGGTGCTGTGCTCCTGAGCTACAGCTCTTCCCACGAAGTAGATTAGACTGAAATACAGCCGCTTGCCGAAGGCTGTCTAATAGGCTTTAGAGTGGGTGAGGATTTGAATGTAGGATTCCCAGATGCAAACGGGCCACTCCAGCAATTTATCCTGGGACGTCCAGCCTGCGAAGTATATATTCTGCAGCGTTGAGCCACGGTCCTTCCTCTTTCATGTTCTTTATTGCTCTTGAGAACGTGTTTTATCTCACTGCCATGAAGATCAGAAAGAAATTAAGTGGGAGAAAGTCAGATCTTAATCATCCCATATTCCAAAGAGCAAAGGGGAAAAGGTGTGTAAGTGTGGGTACCTGGTAATACGCTATTGTTCTTTCTGCCACCCCACAAAGGCGCCAGACAACCTTGTTCAGCTTAGAGGACTATCGAGGGATGCTGTGGGTGGGCAGGCAGTAGCCCGTGAAACAGAAGTGTTTGGGGTTTTTTAATTGAGAAATCCAACTCTGGTAGTCAGACAGGGCTTCTGAACTGCACTTGATGATGGAATCCCCTGCAGGAAGGGAAAGGAGCAAGGTGGAAATGTTAACCCATGCACAACTGTGCTAGTTCGGTGTTTTCTGTGATGATGGTCCTTCTAATTGTCTTCTTGCTTTGGATCGGCCTGGTCTGTCTTCGTTACAGGCACCTTCACCAGACAGGAACCCTCCCTCTGGATGTCATGGAGGAACCCTTCCGGAACAACACCGAATGCCTGGAAGAGGACATCACTGATAAGGTGGGTGTGTTTTACAGCTGGAAAGCATTACTGTTAGAGTGTGTGGAAGCAAATGCTTTCTTCTCTGTCTGTCTGTCTGTCTGTCTGTCTGTTAAAGATCTGGATATGTGTCTCCTGATCAGGAGGAGACTAACACAGACCAGTGACTCATACAGAGAGGCAGCAGACACCCTCCTCCCATAAGGGTGTCATGCTGCTCCAGTACTGCTCCAGACAATTTCGGGCTCCCACCAGCCCCAGCCTGCATGGCCACTGGGATGCTTTACTTTTTATGTGTTTAGAAAAAATTCTAACCCATCCTTTATTAAAGGCCACAGGTTCCCTATTCATGATTATAAGAAGGCCACCCCCCCACTTTCCCAGCTGCTTCTGCTGCTGCTGCTGTGGTGCACTGGCTTAGGATATGCGAGCATCCAGCATCTTAAGGGTTTTGAAACAGCAGCCCTGATCATTGACTCAAATGGATTACCAAGAAGGAGCATTCTATTTTTAAATCTCTCCCAAAAGGTGAGGCTTTGGGTATTACAGACTAAGGAGCCAAGGATGATAATATGACTTTAAGCAAAGGACCATGAAGTGCGGAGGAAACAAAGTGTACAATTGGTTAGAGCTGCTTGCTCTTGAATTGGACCAAAACCTCTGGCCCCAGACTGGCTTTCATGCCCTATGGGTGAAGCAAGAAGGACAGGCCTTTTAATGCTTGACTCTCACTGCTCCTTCTGCAGGTGATCTTCCTAGAGAAAAGAGTGACAGAGCTGGAAAAGGACACGGCAGCAAATGGGGAGCAGCACAGCCGCTTAAAGCAGGAAAACCTACAGCTGGTGCACAGGTAAAAAGTGGGTGGGTAGGAGGTTGGCTTGCATGACAGGTGTCAGCTTTGAGAGGAGCCTGTCTGTATGTTCAGAAATGGCATGTGACACAGTTGTGTGGAATGACAGGGCTTGAGACATGACACAGCCCTATCAATCGTTAGTAGAATTTACTTTATCATGCTCTGTTATTTAGCTGGTGGAGACAATGAGAAAGAGGAGAACTGGTTCTGGTTTGGGGTGTATGAAAGCATCAAGGTCAACTCAGTGTTCCATTTTCCTCTATACTCAATATAATTTTTCTCTTTTATTTAGTTATTGTGGTTCTCTATTTTGGTAAGGTCTGTTAGGGTCCATGGCAGCTATATAAGTTGATCAACTTATAAAGCGGGGGACCCTTGGTTTAAACAAAGAAATTAGGCCAATGCTCAAATCATTGGGTGGGGGACATGATTCAGCTAATATTGTGAGGATAGGGTGTGCAGTTTTTGGATTTCATTATGGGCCTCATGCTTCCCCTCCATGCCCCAGTAATTTGGGTGTGGTGTGCATGTGTGCCATTTCAAATAGAATACTTCCTATTTATTTAAAAACATTTTCTATGTTTCTAAGCATTTACAAAGAACTACCTGAAATAGTAAGCAAATAATATTGATAGGAGTGAACATTAAAAACAAATTTAATGTCGTATTTTGTCAAAATAAAAATAAAACCAGCAACTTTAAAACAAGTATACACAATAAGAAAATTACATGTTAGAATCGGCATGGTGAAATGACCCCTATACCAAATGTTATTTTCCTTCATTTGTGTGCAAAATGCTTTTTCGCCTGAACAGTTGTGCTCCAGGGGGAGTTGCCCTGTGGAGTGTCAGCCACTGAACTCTACAACCTCTTTATGTCTTCACAGAGCGAATGCCCTGGAGGAGCAGCTGAAAGAGCAGGAGCTGAAATCAGATGAGGTCCTCATGGATGAAATCCGGAAACAGCGGGATCTGCTGAGCAAGATGGAGCGGGAGAAGAGCATTGAGATCGAGAACCTCCAAGCCCGGTACGGTTGGCAAAAGCGTGGAGACTCTGCTTAGGCACTTCCATACTCGGGGTCATCCAGTTACATTCACTGGCAGAAGATTCGGCACGTAAAAAAGGAAGCCCTTATTCGTACAACATATAGTTAACACGTGCTGGTGCTGGTGGGGCTACATTCCCCTTTGGACAGCCTTCTAGGGGTTCCCATGCCAGGGGTGGTTGGGACCAGGCTAAAGGTGGGTGGAGCAACCAATGTAAATTTTAGGCTTTGTACAGTTATTTGCACTCTCACACACGTCTCTATTCTCCATCCAGGCAAGCGAGAAGAAAGATCAGGGTTCAAGGGCACACGAGGCCAGCCAAGGCCAGTGAGGGGTGTGGCCTGGGGAGAGTCACAAGGGCCAGGCAGAGAGGCCTCCTGCTTGCAGGGATGGCAGTATATTTCCAAGCTTATGCTTGTTTCTGTGAACTGCAGGATACAGCAGCTGGATGATGAGAATGGCGAACTTCGGTCCTGCGTCCCTTGCCTAAGAGCCAATATTGAGAGGCTAGAGGAGGTGAGGTGCCTTTGCCGGGCAGAGATTTTTGTAATATGCCTCTGTGTGCCTTAAAAATAAAAGGGGTGGTGTGCTTTCCTCTGGACCAGAATTTCTCAGCGGTAAAGAAAAATGCATATGGCTCTATGTTTCAGTGACACAGCATTAATTATCCCACCGTCACGCAGCATCCTTGCCTTCAGAGCAAGCTGTGCTCAGTTTGCTCTTGCCAGAGATGCTGCACACCTGCTTTAGGCCATGCACTTATGCAAATCTCTGATTATTTGTCTCCCCCTGAGGTCAAATACTAGCCTTTCTCTGAATATGAGCCTAGGCTGCCTTGTAACTTCAAACCTGTCACTTTTAGACTCCAATCCCTGTGTTCACCTACCTTGTAGTAAACCCCACTGAATATAGCAGGGATTTCTTTGGAGTAAATATGCATAGAAATGTATGATGTATCTCCTGTGATTTGCTATAGTGGTTATCCTAAGATGATACTGCATCAACTTTCTCTTATATGATCAAGTGGAAGGCTAGTTTGGAGGGGTTGTGATTAGATTTTGGCTTAATTTTTGCGGGGGCAAGGGGTAGGTCACCTGTAATCCAAGATAAAAAACATAGTGCAAGTGAGTGAGACTTTTATTTTGGGATGCAGGCTACAAGTGTTCAGCTCCTTCAGATAAGAGGAAAGGAAATTAAAGGGATTTTTGTAGCAGGTAATTGTATCCAAGTACAGGGTGAGTCTTTTAAAAGAGGCCCTGTGGAACATGTGTACTCTGTATCCACGGGTCCTCTTTTAAAGGACTCACCCTGTATATACTGTAACTGGGAAATTAACATTGTATATGAATTCTGTGATTTTATACAAAATGGGCAATATGTGCGATTTTGCACAGATGGATTTCCCTTGGTATCAAAACCAGACATTCTGACACCTTGTTTCAAATGTCAGCTAATAGTATGTACCTTCAGTTTTTGTCCTTTTAACTTGAGAGTAATTGTTTCTGCACGATACATTTTTTAAAAAAGAAAGGTTCCTTGTCTAAAAATCTACAGTTTTATTTGTTCTGTGATTTTAAATCCAAGAGGCTATTTTTGTCCTGCTTTTTGGAAGCCTAATTTGGCTATTTTTGCTGCATTGTTGAATACTTAGGGTATTGAGTTGCAACCTTCAGTTAGGCTTCTAGTTACTAATTGTTACTGGTAGCAAATAATTGTTTTGGTTAGATATTGAAAACTGGTGGTTATTCCATCATGTAAAGCATATCTGGTCAACATTTTAGAGAATGTTGAAAAAGACAAGCTGATAGTTGTGGTAAGAACTCATCTCAACAACTTCTTTGCCGCTAGCTAGAAATTTAATAGAAGAAGAAGTAGTTCTTTTTTATTGCTTTTTTGCAACATGCATTGTCACTTTATTCCACTTAACAGATGCGGGTGGGGTGACAAAGCTGAGGGGAAGATATGCCTAAGGCCCCCTATTACATTCATGTTTGGCCAAGGGGTCTCCCACTTTTGCTGATGAGGAGAGAGTTTCAAGCAGCATCCATAATAATAAAACCCAACTAACAGCATGTGTTACCTTGTCTGGATCACTTGTACATTTCTAACCCCTTTGCCTTGCTTAAAGCAGGTTTCTTATGTTCCTTGCTTGTTGTCATTCTGCCCTCTAGTGGCAGGCCAATGTTTTTAGTTGCCAACACAAATTCTGACATGGCTGGTTGTGGGCTCCTCCTCAAGTCTGCTCTCAGCATCATGAACTGCTTGACTGCTTGTGGACAGTGTGTCAGCTCAAACAGCCCTGAATTGGATACCAATGGTGTGTATTTTGGGATAGCGGGATATTAACTGAGCTTGGTAGCAATCAGTCCTGCAGTATCCCTTTTCCAAGTGTGGGAAGGCATGGGGTCTTGCTGGACTTCAGAGGTGCTTGGCGAGAGAGTTGGGAGGGTTACAGTTTCATTTCCCTGGTTTTTTTTCAGGAGAAGCAGAAGTTGCTAGATGAAATAGAAGACCTCACAATGCAGCTCAATGAGGAGCAGGAGAACAAGAGGAAGTTGGGAGACAAGCTGACCCACGAGAGGCACCAGTTCCAAAAGGACAAGGAATCGACCCAGGAGGTGAGCAGAGCCTGCTGGCTTCCAGAGGGGGACTGCACCATGGGGCACTCCCTGCTATCCTGCCTCACCCCCACCCCCATATATCTCACTCATCTTCTGACTAGATTATTTGTATTGTTTATTAAATTTGTATACCGTCCTTCATCCACAGATCTTGAGGTGGTTCACGACATAAAAATACAATATAAAAGCACAAAATACATGATAAGAACAAGAACAAAGAAACAAAAACCCACCCCATCCCCTCCAGAGCAGGCTTTTTCCTTGTCTTTTTTCACTATGTTTAGCAAAATGCATTGCTTTGCCAACCTGGTGAACTCTAGATGTTTTGGGCTACAACTCCCATCAGCACGTGTTGGCTGGCGCTGATAGGAGTTAAGAATCTCAGCAGCATAGTGAGGGCCACAGGTTCCCCATCCCTGCCGTAAAGTCTTGGCCCTTATCAGTCCTGCCCTTGGCTGTTGATCTCCAGTTTTGGGTGGAACTAGTTGTAGATCATAGGATTATGTTTAAGACTTCATTTCAGGGTGGGTGTAAGGTTATCAAAGGCCTCCTGTCTGTCTGTCTGTCTGTCTGTCTCTCCTTTTTGAATAAATATTACATTGTTATCAGTGCAGAGGCATTTGTGCCTTTTGCCTTGCACACCTAGTGCTCCAGCCCATTTAACTCCTTGCAGTAAAGAGTCGCTTTGTGTGTATGGGCTAGTGCTCTTGGGCGATAGTCCTCCACTAATCTAGTTTGCCTCCCTTGCCTTGCAGTTGATTGAGGACCTCAGGAAACAGCTGGAGCACCTGCAGCTCTTCAAACTGGAAGCAGAACAGCGAAGGGGCAGGAGCAGCAGCATAGGCCTCCAGGAATATAACAGCCGGACGCGGGAGACAGAACTGGAACAAGAGATCAGGCGGCTCAAGCAGGTACTTGAGCTTCCCTTACAGACTTCTGTGCTGTATCTGAATTGGGTACTGGGAGGAGAGAGCATTGTGGGTCTCAGTATAGCTCTACTGGCCCTGCATTTCAGAGACTGGTTCAAATTAAATGCAAGAGGATGCTAAAAAAAATGTGCTGGCTGGAACAACTAAAGGTCAGATGTTGGTGGAGAGAGGTCAAAATAAATGAGCAAGTTTATAACTAAACTGTTGAATCTTTGGTCCTTAAACCATTATTGTGCCCTTAGGATTTGGTATGTTGGCTAAGCAGAACAATTGTGCACTCATTAATCATATACACTTCTCCCAGCTGTATGCTAAAATAATCATTCCATGGCACATTATTCTTAAACTTAGATCTTCTGCCATTTACGGATCTTTTACAGATTGTAGGTGCCAAGTAATGTCATCCACGTATCTGCAGAGCATATCTAGATGGTCAGCTTCTTTATAAGGCATCCCACTGCAGGATCAAAAATGCATTTTAAAATGCATTTACATTAAAGATATAGATTGCTATTTATTCTGCAGACTCAAGGGAATATTTTTTGTCAAGCATTATTTTATATTACCAGGATGAAACATGTCATGGTTGTTGTTGGAGAACCAATTTTATATTACTTATATGGTGGCATTATTTGTCACAGCTGCCAGGAAATTATGATCATGCATCTGAATTAATTTTATAATCATTTTTAATTCAGCTGAGGTTTATGAGGTTGTATCCAATGCACTAGTGCAACAGACTTGCAGCTTTCTCTTCCTGTCCTCTCTTCTACAGCGCCCCATGTGTCATCAAAATCTGCTCTGGGGTAGTTGTGGGACGCACGAGGGGAGGAGAGAAAGAGTCCCATTGTGCCAGCAAAGCAATGCACGGGGAACATTAGATAGAACTCATTGCACATATGTTTTAGTTTTGAAATATATTTATGTGTGCTGTCAATTTGTGGCATGAATGGATGTGAGGTTTGCAAAGGCTACATGAAAGTGTATCACAAACACTGTCAGTCAGAATTCTGAACTAGATGGTGAGCATCTGCAGTAAGGCAGCTTCACACATTTGTTCATGGTGGAAGGAGCTGGTAGTGATAACAGTTGCAACATTTTGGGTTTCTTTTTGCCAACAGGATAACCGAAACTTGAAGGAACAGAATGATGAGCTGAATGGGCAGATCATAAACCTCAGTATTCAAGGCGCCAAGAACCTCTTCTCTGCTTCCTTCTCTGAATCTCTGGCTGCAGAAATCAGCTCCGTCTCCAGAGATGAGGTACTGTGGGAGGGTCTGCGGGAAACTCTGGGTACCACTTTCCTGTCAGCAGTAAAGGTGAAATTAAATTCATATGAAAGGGAAATCAAAAGTGTGGTGGTAAAATTTTGCAGTCAGAACTCAAACCTTGCAATACTTTGGGTTTTTAAAGGAAGACTAAGGACTTAAATCTTTTTCCCATATCCAAGTGTAAATACACTATAAATTATCAGTTTGCCAGATGCAAGCCTCACCCCCCCCCTCCTGTTTTAATTCGGAACAAATAATCAAATTCAACAGTGTTCTGCATAATGCTGAGTTTTCACTGTTGATGCTGCACTGAAGTGCTGTTCCTACATGGAACTTTGCAGGTATGAAGCCTGATGAAACAGAAACTGTATTTTTCCCCACCTCAAAAACAAAAAAAAGTTTCTGGCCTTTAGGAAGTTGAAAAGTATTTATTCCAGTGCGAAAATGGAAGTTAGACCAGAATCTTTAAATTTTAATTTGTGGACCATCCTTCTGCAGCACTCTCCTTGTCACTTACAACCCACTGTAATGACAAAATAGGTATATGGGGGTGGGGATTGTGCCATTTTTGTGCTTTCATTATTACTTCTCTCTCTGAATATGGTTTTATTGATGCATTTTAAGAGTTGTAAGCTGCCCCGAGGGGTCTTAAATCAGAAAATATAAAAGCTGTATTTTGTGAGTGAGAGCTGATCAGTAAAAAACAGTTCAGTAAATAGTCATGTAAGTTCTCTCTGGAAGAGGCAGTGTTAGAGTGGTACACAAAGCAGTTACCCTGGGATTCATTTCAAAATCTTTCCCTAATAACCATGCAGAATTGGGGTGCAGGTGGGCCTCACTCTGTATATTTGGTTGTAAGGGATGTCAGTTAAGACAACACACAACTGCAGATGTCATCCAGCTTTAAAATCCACTGAAGGAAACGGTGAGAAGCATGAAGGGAGATGGAACATGGCTTCCACATTGTGATTGGCATGTTCCATCGAAGGTGCAAGAACAAACTCTGGATTGATTCCACAGAGATTCCATTAGGAAGGGCTATTGGTAATGGTTTGCTGCTCTTGTATTTGGGAGCTTTTTTCTGCACAGAAACATAGGAAGTTGCCTTATACACAGTCCGTCTAGCCAAGCAGTGTCTACGTTGACTGGCAGCGGTTCTCCAGAGTTTCAGGTTGGAATCTCTCCCAGCCCTGTCTGGCGATGCTGGGGATTGGGACCTTTTGCATGCACAGCAGATGCCCTACCACTGTGCTATGGCCCTCTACGCAGCAGTTCATCATTGTACTCTGCCTTTGGACAAGCTGTTCCAGCCCAGACTCAGAATAATAGCCTTCATGTAATAAGTTTCCCTTTTCTCTCTCCCCCCTGCAGCTAATGGAGGCGATTCAGAAACAAGAAGAGATCAATTTCCGGCTCCAGGACTACATTGACCGGATCATTGTGGCCATCATGGAAACCAACCCATCCATCCTGGAGGTCAAGTAGGAGGCTGAGAACTGCGGTCCTGAGTGACACTTGGGTGCCGTGCATTTGCTGCTCTTGAGGAGATGCTGGCAAGTCTTGGCTCTTCTGCAAAGAAGGTGCGGGAAGCCTCACGCCATGAAATTGGTTAGGTGGTGGAACCTGGTGGACTTGTGGGAGAGAGAGAGATGGCTATTGAGCCTGGCTGCGCTGACTCCAGTGGGTTTTTGAGCCCTTGTGACTCACGAGGGTTGGGTGGGGGTGGGCAAAAGGAAACCCGGAGGGGGAAAAAATGCAAGGCGCAGAACACAGCGGGAAAAGGGGATGGGGGAATGGGAACGTACACCAGCAGCCTGCCGTGCTGGGCTGCAACTTGAAACCCTCTTCCTGTAAGCTTACAACCCTGCCCTGCACAAGGGGAGAGAAAAGAGGCCCAAATCTCTCTTGCCCCGCAGCAGCCATCACAGGGGAGATGAAGAAGAGGAGAAGTTCTTCACTGCCTCCCTCCCTCCCTCCCTCGCCTTGGCCACCCCATCCTTCCTGAAAACTCACTGGGAGACACATCAGTTGCACTCTGCAGCATCTCCCTTCTTGAAGCTGTGGGCGCCCTCCAAGAGGGGTCAAGGCCACAAGACACGTGGATGACTTTTATCATTGAACCAGTGGAAGGGGAGAAAAGGGCCCTTACCTGGTCCGAACATTTTAGTCTCTCTAGCTTGCAGAAGCATCCCCCTGTTGCACCCAGCAAAATATTTGAGGGAGGGGGCTTGCTTGTAGCTTGTGTGATCCCTGACCCCGTTCGTTTGGCAAGCTGCCTTAAAGAAAACATAGCTGGCTTGTTTCCTATCAGAGGTTGCAGGGAGGTGAACAGGTTCTGGCAGGTGGGGAAACAGGAGAGGGGCTTTCTGGCATTATAGTTTAAAAAAATTGCCTACTGACACCCTCTGCTTGAAGACCTAGTCGCAGCTGATGGCTGTTCTGCAGGCCTGCTGCCCACCAGGTGATGTGGTTGGTCTGCTGGAGGCACTGGGGAGGGGGGACGCTCAGCTGATGATACTTCAGCACTGGAGGCAGAGCTATTCTTCCCCTCAGGTGCAGCAGCAGCCACATCCCTTCACCTTCACAGCACACCTTTATCTTATCCTTTTATTTTCGCAGCAGTTTGGTCACTTTAAGACAGGAATGGTGACTGTTCTATTCCATAAGAATTTTTTTTTTTGCGGGAGGAGGAGAGAGGAGATTTAAGATACTTCAGACAGAGAAGCAAGCTGTTCAGCTGCTGACATAACCATGTCTTGCTGCACAGAATGTTCCATTAACCAAAAATGAAGCTTTTGCCATCATATCCATACCAAGAGTCAAATCTAAAATGGATTTTGGGTTGTTTGCTTCATTTTGCATACCTTTTGGGACAGGATGAGAGAGATGGATGTGTTGCAACTTAATCCTCTTTTCCTTCTTCCTTTCTCCTTCTCTCTAAGCCCAATTGGAAGAAAAAACGTATGTTGCCCACCTCCCCATCCCAAATTTTATAGGAAAAGGTTGGTTTTTCCCATACCTAAAAGGTATGCTGTCTCCACAGAACCAGAAGGTTAAGGTGTTCTTCTATATATATATATTTTAAAATCTGGCCCTGGGGTTGGTTTTAAATCATGTTTTGCTTGGGGGTTTCTCTTTTTAATGGCACAACTAGGGAACAGGGAAGGTGGCGTGTAAATCTGTTGTTGATGGATCCTGCTGCTTTGCACATAGAAAACATTCAGGGCCCCCTAAGAAGGGGCACTGATTGGCCAGTGCCTGGGACTTCCAGCGAAGGTTTGGTTCTGGGATGGAGCTGAGAGTTCTGAGCTTTTTCTGGGTGCCTTCTCTCTCCTTCTCCCTCTCTCTCTTAGATCTCCCCATCCTCTCTTAAAGCACACACATTTAGGCACAACGTATGTAGCGGTACCCCACATACTTGCCTGAGCCATCTAAGCAACTGGCTCTCATGGAGAGCAAAAGTGGGCAGTGAAAGCTGACATATCTCCTTCTTCCTGGAAAGCATAAAGTGCTTGTTCTCAACCCCTGATGTAGAGGGAAAGCAACAATCCTATTCTGTTTTTTTAAAATTCAAAAATGCACCAAAGTGAGCACCCCAATCCAAGGTCACTGGGTTTTGCTCCTGTTGAGCTCAATTGCATTTACCAGGTTCCCAGGATGTATTGCGGCACCATGGCAAGATTATGTGGAACTATTTTTTTGTATTATTATAATCAGTGGGTTCATGCTCTATAATTTCTAGCTAGATCAAGTGTGGGGGTGAGGAACACAGGGCAAAAAATGTGGAAGTGTTTGCTTCTCCACCTGGACAGCGATTCTTTGAGCTCAAACACCCACCTTCACATTTATCCCCTTGTGTGCCCACTCAACCACCCCTGAAATCTGGAGAAAGAATCCACGTATTGTACATTTCCTGTGGACTCTTGGGTGTAAATCAGTGTATACTTGGAGAAGGAAGGCTTTTCTTTTTCTACCTTGTAGAGTTAGGTATTTTTTATAGATTGATGGCTGATCAATTTTTTAATACTTCAAAAAAAGAGAGCAATGTATCTGTGTATACACACACACATGCACACACACACGCACATATATATATGTATAATGTACAAATCTATAAATAAGCAGATCTGCCTTTCTTGACTTGGGCATCTATGCCCACGATAACACACACACACACTCCTCTCCCAGCCCTCCCGGTTGATCACAAAGAGGTACTGTAATGTAAATAGTCACAGGAGGGGGAAAATTATAATAATAAACCAACAAAAGTGAAGCACTGGCTTGCACACTGCTTTAATTTCCTGAGGAAACCTGTTCTTCCCTGCTGGTATGTGAAGGAACTTCCAGAAAGAGGCGAACAGTATTTGTCTTAACGGGTGTACTGACTCTTGTCTGATTAAAAGCTGTTACCGTCTCTTTGCTGGAGACCAGTCTCTCTCTGTCTCAGTTTTTGTTCTCTTTTGTGTTGCAATGCACCAGGGAAACATGGAAATAATAAGAGGTGGGGGGAGGACTCCTGGTGCAGAGGCAAGAGCCGCAGCTTACCTGTAATGGGAATGGGAGTTGACTGGGAGCATCAGGCTATGTGGGTGAGTCTTCATGTGGGCTTTGCAGTATTTGGCCCCAGGAAGCTGCACCCAGGATATTAACCAGAGGTTATCTGCCATTGTTAGTCAAACATGCCCCTGGAAGTGCCACGTGTGCATTTGTATGTGATTATAATAAAACACACATCACTACACAGGGTGATTCATTCTGATACATTCATCTGCATTCAAGCCAAGATGTTGAGATATATATACACACACATGAGCAAGTTCTTCATGTAGAGAATTTTGTACATTTGGTGGGGATATTTGATGGTTTCTCCAGTACTGAGCATATTCACACAACAGGCACACTTCCCTAAGGTATTAACAGAGGCCTAACATAAGTTCTGAGAAGTGATTTGAAAACTCATGTTAAAAAAGATATTAACCTCATAGACAATTATGCAAGGCTGATGACACTTCTCTTGTTCTGCCACTAGATGACATCAAAGAGCTGCTGGAATTTGAGTGCTAGCTCACTGCAGAATGTATGGGAGAAGGCGGGGGGGGGGGGACTCCTCAGTTGAGTTGCTGATAGTGAGTGCCGGGCCAGCAAGAGTTGGTGGAGGAGGTAAATTTTGCATGCACCTTACCAGTGTCCCCAAGTGCTCCCTTTCATTTTCCCTATCAAAGTGTGTGGCAGCCATTCTCCTGTATGGGAGAAAGCAAAGTGGTGCATCTAGTGGCCCTACTGGGCTTCATCTGCCCCCTGCCCTTGATGGAGAGTGGCCACTTGTGCATTGCCAAACATAACACGTCCTATTTTATGTTACAGATGCACATTTAGAAATAATCACTATATTTAATTATCCAGAAAGAGACTACTTCTTACCATACTGGAGAAGACAAACAGCAAGTGACCTGTGTGCCTCCTTACCTGCTGTCCAGGTGCTCATGGCTGATGGGCAACTTCAATCCTCCTCCTCCCTGGTTCTCCCCTTTTTTGGTTCTTCGTCTTTAACTGGACAGCCTCTGTAAAGTAGAACACATGCTCACCTAACCATAGTGACCTTGGACACCTGAAAACTGAGACTACTCCTATTTGCATAGCCTCTTCCTGGGCCTTGTCTGGTTGTGACAGTTTTAAAAACTGAGCATTTTATATAGATTGACTGTGAATCTCTTATTATTTGTTTGTTTATATCCCTTTATCCAAGGAGCTCAAGGTGGTCAACATGGTTCTCCCCCTTCTCCTTTAATCTCCACAGCAATCCTGTGAGGTAGGTTAGGCTGAGAGGCAGTGACTGGCTCAAGGTAACACAGTGAGCTTAATGTCTGTGTGGAGATTTGAACTCTGATTTCCCAGGTCCTAGATTCAGGTAGCCATGTTGGTCTAACTCAGTAGAAATATATATATATATATATATATATATATATATATATAGTCCAGTAGCACCTTAGCATATATATAAAATAGTCCAGTAGCACCTTAGATCGATAAAAGTGACATACAATTTTTGCTTCAAATTATGGACATTTACATAGCAGAAAGTTCATCACAAAGCACTGGTCCAATGTGGATTTCCCTCTTTGGAAACCTGCCTGGACTTCAGATACTACCTTTTTGTATCTGCCCATTCTTCCAGTCTCCCAAGAAGGAGCCTGGCATATAGTTTAGAGGCTACATCTAACAAACTAATGGGTCTATAATTGGCAGGGTTTTTCTTCTCACCCGTTTCATATATTGGGGCACTTTAGAGACCAACTAAGTTCTTGGTATGAGCTTTTGTGTGCATGCACACTTCTTCAGATACACTGAAACAGAAGCCACCAGACCTTTATATATAGTGAGAGGGAGGGGTATTACTCAGAAGGGTGGTGGGAATGGGTGATTGGCTGATAGGTGTGGTAAACCCGTTGACGACTGTTAATGACTGCCAGGTCCTAGTCTGACACGCTAAGCACTACATCATGTTGGTTCTCCAAATTCGCAAAATGACTTATACTTCTGTGTCTTTGGACCCTGTGGAGCAAACTACTTCACTTTTAAATAAAGAAACCTCTCAGTCATGGTTGCCCTTGAAACATTGTCCTATCCCTGTTTTAGTTCTTATTTATTTAAAGCATTTCTACTCTGCCTGTCTGCCAAGACAGACCCTCGAGGCAACTTACTATCACCCGAAATGATCTACAGTAAAATCTCACAAACATATAAACAAAATGCTTAGTTCATAGCAGCAACGAAGCAGCAGTTCCCTCATGCTTGCTTGCAAAGGCCTATGCAGATAAATACATTTTAATCTTAATACCAGAAACCACAGGAGCGGAGAGTCGTGTGGTACTTGGGTCCTGGTTGTGGGCCTGCCATGGGCATCTGCTTTGCCACTGTGGGAACAGGATGCTGGACTACAGAGGCCACTGGCCTGATCCAGCAGGGCTGTGCTTATGTTCTTAAGCTCTCACAGTGAAGGGAAAAGAATTTACTTAAACATCGCTTGCAGAATGGGGCAAGAGATAGATGACCAATGACCCTGGCTCCTTGCAATGTGTAGAGCAGAGGAATAAGATGAGGTTCAGGCTATTTCCTTGGGAGTACCTTATTTGGGCCCCTTCCAGCTGTGACCAAGCCTATTACCTTCCACTGACTCAGAGACACAGACAAGCTTCTCCAGGGAGCCCACCACACTCCAGGTCTGGACAGCCTGCAGAAGGTTGATGTTAAAAGAGCTGAACTGACTTCCTGTCTGCAAGTGGGCCAGTTTCAAGGTACTAGTGTGCAAAGCCCTGCACAACTTAGGCCTAGGGTCTTTTAAGGACTGTCTTACTCTGTACACCCCAGGTCGATCCCTGAGCACCATTAGTGGTTGCCTGTGGGCCAGAAGCATAACTCGTACCCAAGTAAAGTCACACATTCAGTGTTGTGGGCCTCCTACAAGAAGACAAGCACCGGTCCTACTGAGTTTCAGATGTCTAGTCAAAACTTACATTTCAGGAGTCCTTTGCCCTCTTGAGTCCTTCTCAGATGTTTTACTTTAAAAAGAAGAGAGAGAGGTTTTAAATTCATGACTTTTTTAATTTTGGAGGTTTGATTGTTTTAAATTCTGCGTATAGTATATTTATTGTTGTGAGCTGCTTTGAGACACATGTGGTAAAAATAAACAAATATGTTGTGTTTTTTTAAAAAATAAACAAATGAGGCAACATCGCCTAGAGCTGCCTTAGCAGGACCCCTTGGAGCTGTCCAAGGTCCTGTTCTTGTCTACCCTGATCACTTCTCCGGTGAGCTTCAAGCTCCCATGGAACAGGACACCGGAGTGGGGTCTTGCTCTGGCTCAACTTTTGAGTTAAGCATACTTGTTTACCATGCTTGGCACTGTCTATGTTCACCTGTGTCTAACATACACAGCAAGACCATGACCAGGGGAGGGATGACAGCCGGGAGGAGCACAGAAAGAAGAAACAACATGGTGCACATGCCTCAGAACAACAAGAGGCCTTCATTTGCCCCAGCTGCCACAAAACAGGTCTCTCCCATAGCGGTCGCTGCAGCCACAGCAGGCATTGTAACTCTCCAATGGTTTGGCTTTATCCCTGAAGACACATTCTTCTATTGTCTCCCGAGACAGATGGATGCCAGAAGGCCATTCTTATCTTGATTTTCAAAAGTTTGGGGATCAGCTTAGAAGCTTCAGCTGTTATGTCAGCAGCATGAAAACACCGACCCACCTATTTGTACGGCAACCTCCTTTGTGGAACACCAGGAGCCTTTGCTGCTTGCTCACTGGAGGCAGTGGTTAGACGTCCCATCTCCCCTTCAGCCTTTGGCAAACTTCCATGATATTAATTTGGTCAGACGGCTGATTCTGCAAGGATCGCCTGGCTGACTTTTCTTTCCTGACCTGGATTTCTTGGCTTCCATTGGTCCCCGCCCCCAAGTCCTGTCTGTTTTCCAGGTTGCTCTGGCACTGTCCACAGCTCTTCATTAGGGCTTGCATTTCCCCTGTGACTTGCAAACCTGGTGTTTATGAGAAAATGAGATGTAAGAAGCTGCCTTGAGAATGAGGGTTGACAGGAGGGTGAATCTATGACAAGGTGGTGAGCTGCGAGGCTGTCTTTTTAATTCTGGTCTTTGGAAGTAATCATGTCTCCCTCTTCTCCCCTCAGTAAATTATTCATTTAAAATAAGTGAGGGATTGGAAAGGCTTAAGCTCATTTAAGTGCTCATACCCTCAGTGCAACTGATACGAGTGCTCCATGAAATTGTTTGCTGGGCATTTGTATCCAAAGTAAGCAAAACCATAAGCAGCACATGCCCAGCAAATATATGGTGTGTCCCAATGGTTAGAAATAGGATACTCTGTACAGGTACTGGAAACATGCCTTTTACCATAAAGTCATATTCTGTGATATTTGGACTACGAATTCCTATACTGTAGGTAAAGCTACTCCATTTTGTACTCTTGAAACCCTTTTTATTTTTGAAAAGTTGCAATGTGTTGAAACACAATAAAACAATTGACATATTTTATTGCAGAGTATATGAAGTGATACTGGTTGGGGGAAAAGCTTTACATATGGTATACCCTTTTGGAGTCATTTATGACTCAAAAATATAGCAAGTCTTGTGTTTCACGTACAAATCTAAACTTACGAAATTCACAAGTTTGAATATAGGTTTATTGATGTTTGGATCTGGAGATATCTAAAGAATGTGAGCAGCATTCGAGACCATATAAAGCTGAATTTCTAATCTGATTTTTCACTCTTTACTGCAACTTCTTCATAAGGGTACTTCCACAACCTGTTAAAGTTGTTACTATATTGTAGCAAGTTTCAAATTAAATGGATAAACATTCTGGACAATGATGAGGTCCAGCAATGTGGTGTGAAAGGAGACCTGTTTTCA